CCCACCGAGTGAAATCAAAAGACAGAAGCAAGGAGGTTCGAAGATATGTTTGATAAGCTATAAATATATCAAGGATTGTCTCATCTAATCTGGCTAGCGATTCAGAGGATGTTGGGCATGGCGTTCCCACTCGTGATCTGGTGCGGATGCATGACCAAGAGCCTTCAGCTAGGTGAGTCCATTAAAACTAATGTGGTAAGAACCCAATGTCAAAAACTTACTGAGATATTTATTTTGGGGATTTATTTACCGCTACACTACGTTCCTAGAACACCTATACGCTCTAGAAATAATTTGCGAAAGTACTGAATACATTTACTTAAAGCTCAGATATACTAAGAAAATACATCACATCAGTCTATATTGGGAATAGGGGCAAACACCGGTAGTTATGTTTTGGGTAGTAGTATAAATTAGCCTTCAAAACAAGTTCTCGAAATTGACGGGAAACTTGGCAAAATTAGTTGACACTACAAGTATTGTGATCCGATTACGGTGTGGTGAAATATTTCTCTATGTCTAGATATTCCTTTTAAAAGTTCTACGTTTCCTTGCTTCTATCTCACTTTACATCTGCCCTGCTTAGATCACGAAAAAGATTTTGTGCACTGTAAAGAGGGGGAATGATATTTTTTGAACATGTATAAAGCATGTATTCTGCAGTGTAATTTCAACGAATAATATGAATGCAATGTACATATCATCCAAGAGAAACTTAGAGATAAAACATAAAATCCTTTAAAAATTGATTCATTTGTAATCTATATTTATTCCTGAGCCCAGATCAGTACTGGAAGAAGGACTAAGAAATATTTATAATTCATGAGTTGTTGTCTTTTGAAATCAAAGACCTAGCCACCAAGTTCAAATTTTCTAGGTCATGGTTATCACATCGACTTGTCAGCGTTGTGTGATGGTTGTTAAAGACGAAGCTCATTGAGTGTACTGTTTAGTATACGCTTCTCGACAATTCTACTCATGTTTAAGAAGTTCCTGGCTGTGGTAATTGACCACATTCTAGGAAGATATTTTGAAGGTTTCAATGGTGAAAATTTGTCATATGGTCTGCTTAATGGTAAAATGATTTATTTTCTCAACTTATCAGATTTCTCATGTTATTATACCAGATGTGGTTTTTCCTAATGATTCACATATTTCTGATTAAATTCTTTACAAAACTGAGGAATATATTTTGGGTCAAACTAATCATGATCAAAAACCTAATGCAGTTTTATTAGATGCTGATTTTCCTAATGACCCTTTGCTCTGAAATGACATTCTTAATAAATCCGAGGAAACTATTTCAGAATAATCAAATATTATTTGTTCTCATAATTCATTTGTTTCTTATGGGGAACTTGTTCAGTGCGAAGCACAAGTACTAAATGAGCTCGAGTTTGATTAAAATTCGGATGATTTCATATCAACTGCTGTTTATCCTTATCACGAAGTCACTTTTAATGTTTATTCTACTCATTGTGAAAAATATATGTTAAATGAAGCCACATCATTCACAACTTGAGGATATGAAGATCCAACATTATTTAGTGGCGGGAGGATAGTGTTGGGGAATCTATGGTTCAAATTATGGATATTAGTGGTTTCGGTACACAACTGACACAGTGATTGTATACAATCCCTGGAACCAAGCGAGTCTGTACTGATTTCGGTTGTTAATTCTAAGGCTAATAAGTACATTCTAGATAATACAGAGTCTTTATCCAATACGCTGTCGGACAGACACAGGATGAACTTGAGAAGAAGACGTACGATTGATTACAGGCATTTAGACTCCAATTTAAGCTATGGCGGACGTGGTGTTTGCATGAACTAATGATTCCTTTGTACTTGTTGAATGCTTGATTTCGAATTCCAAATACAGTAAATTCGTTCGTGCTCATCTAGTAAATCTTGACCCGATTGTGTTATTCCTGGGATTCCTAGTTTGTACTATAGATCAAATACTACTAATTATCACAAAATGTCTTTCCGTTAAATCACTATCTTCCTTTTTTGATATATTTTATTTATTGACTTAGCTAACCAAATAGAGAGGAATAATTACAATCCTGGGTTTGAAGTGAACTGAAATCTATCGAGAGTTTGACAGCGTTTTAACCAGTAACACCTTCTAATATTAATCGTACCCACCAAGCGTCTAGCAACCGTCCAGAGAAAAATGCCAAGTGTTGCCAGGAGTGGTTAAGCCATTGTTGTAAGTCTCCTCTGATTGCTGAGTCGGATTCATATACTGCGATAATAATGGGTGCTTCAGTGTCCTGATGAGCGAGCATTGTTGGTTGAACGATAAGTTCCTTAACTGTGGAGAATGCTTTTTTCGCTGTGTCGTCCAAATTAATGGATTTCGCTTTTCCACGAAGTTGGTCGGTAAGAGGTTTCATAAGTAAAGCGCATTTTGGTATGAATCGTCTATAGAAACTTACAAGGTCGTCAAACATGCGTAATTACTTGATGGTGGTCGGTTCTGGGTAATCCAGAATGGCCGCCACTTTGGTTCTAAGGGGTCGAATGCCTTGAGAATCTATAGTGTGTCCTAGGAAGTCTAATGAGTCATTTCCGATTTGGCATTTCTGAACGTTTACAGTAATGCCGTGGTTTTGTAGTCGTTCGAAAACGATATCCATGTGCTTGAGATTAGATTCTCTGTCCGGACTTGCGATTAGGCAGTCGTCAACATACGCATTTACGAAGTTGAGACCTCGAGAAACGTCGTCTATGAATCTCTGGAATGTTTGTGCAGCATTTCTCAGACCAGGAGCATTCGAAAAAATTCATAGAGTCCAAAGGGATTAATGATGGCGGTTTCCGGAATGTCGTCAGTGGCCATGGAAATTTGGTTATACGCTTTAACCAAGTCGATGTTCGAAAAAACAGTTGTATCTTTCAAGGTAGCTGTCAAATCGTGAATGTGAGGCAACGGGTAACGATCGGGAATGGTTTTGGCATTCAATCGCCGATAGTCATCAGTTGGACGCCAATCGTTGCCGTCCTTTTTAGGGACCATGTGCAACGGAGATGCATATGGGCTATTTGACGGTCGTATGATTCCTAAGTCTATCATGTGGTCGAACTCGTTTCTCGCCAACCTTTGCTTTTCAGAGGGTAATCGTCGTGCTATAGAGAATACAGGTGGTCCCGTGGTGTGATGTGTAACGTTGCTGGTTACACACGGTAATTTCGATTGCGTTTGATGAATCCCAGGATACTTATCGAGTAGTGGCTGATAAAGTGGGTCTATCGTATGCTTAATTGTGACTGGGGATAATCTGCAACCAGAAAAAGAAGTTACGCAGACGGATAATTTAGTGTTTCCGTCTACTAGAGTCCGTTTGCGCGTATCGATGATTAAATTATGGCGTTGTAGAAGGTCCATACCAATGATTGGCATGGAAACATCTGCAACAACGAGAATTCAGTGAATGGGTTTGCATAAACCCACGTAAAGGTAAACGTACCTTTTGCCATACGTATCGATAGGCTTTCCGTTTGCCGCCTGTAAGTTTAGAGCCGATTCGTGAAGCCGGTCGTTAGGATTTGCTGGGAGAACGCTAACTTCTGCACCAGTGTCGACGAGGTGGCGAACTCTCGTTGTCAGATCTGTGACGTCCGTCGCAGAACCGTGCTGCAAGTCAATGTTATTAAAGAGTTGATCCAACCTTCTTCTATCGGTTAGGTCTTCGCGTTTAAGGACAGATCGTTTCAGTGTTTCGTAAGGTCCAGAAACACCACTAGTAAATACTAGGTGTTGCGTACCTGTTGAATTCGCGTGGTAGTGCCTTGACTACTGTGAGGTATTGTGCATGTGTGCCGTTCACGTTGTGCCCACAGAAGTCGACTTCTGCGTAGCTGAACCAGGTTTCGGTGTTGTCAGGTACGTGAATGAACAAGTGAAAAAAATATATATCCAAAAACACGGAAAAATAGTATCACAGTCTATGGAAAATTAAAATAAGGGAGTGATATATAAAATCCAAAAAGGGAACAGACTCACAATTTGCAGTTTGGCTCACCAGATCACGTTAGGCTCACCAATGTAGATGCCACAGGTATTCGGAATTTGACAACGCTTTAGCCAGTAACACCTATTGTTAATCGTACCCACCGAGTGAAATCAAAAGACAGAAGCAAGGAGGTTCGAAGATATGTTTGATAAGCTATAAATATATCAAGGATTGTCTCATCTAATCTGGCTAGCGATTCAGAGGATGTTGGGCATGGCGTTCCCACTCGTGATCTGGTGCGGATGCATGACCAAGAGCCTTCAGCTAGGTGAGTCCATTAAAACTAATGTGGTAAGAACCCAATGTCAAAAACTTACTGAGATATTTATTTTGGGGATTTATTTACCGCTACACTACGTTCCTAGAACACCTATACGCTCTAGAAATAATTTGCGAAAGTACTGAATACATTTACTTAAAGCTCAGATATACTAAGAAAATACATCACATCAGTCTATATTGGGAATAGGGGCAAACACCGGTAGTTATGTTTTGGGTAGTAGTATAAATTAGCCTTCAAAACAAGTTCTCGAAATTGACGGGAAACTTGGCAAAATTAGTTGACACTACAAGTATTGTGATCCGATTACGGTGTGGTGAAATATTTCTCTATGTCTAGATATTCCTTTTAAAAGTTCTACGTTTCCTTGCTTCTATCTCACTTTACATCTGCCCTGCTTAGATCACGAAAAAGATTTTGTGCACTGTAAAGAGGGGGAATGATATTTTTTGAACATGTATAAAGCATGTATTCTGCAGTGTAATTTCAACGAATAATATGAATGCAATGTACATATCATCCAAGAGAAACTTAGAGATAAAACATAAAATCCTTTAAAAATTGATTCATTTGTAATCTATATTTATTCCTGAGCCCAGATCAGTACTGGAAGAAGGACTAAGAAATATTTATAATTCATGAGTTGTTGTCTTTTGAAATCAAAGACCTAGCCACCAAGTTCAAATTTTCTAGGTCATGGTTATCACATCGACTTGTCAGCGTTGTGTGATGGTTGTTAAAGACGAAGCTCATTGAGTGTACTGTTTAGTATACGCTTCTCGACAATTCTACTCATGTTTAAGAAGTTCCTGGCTGTGGTAATTGACCACATTCTAGGAAGATATTTTGAAGGTTTCAATGGTGAAAATTTGTCATATGGTCTGCTTAATGGTAAAATGATTTATTTTCTCAACTTATCAGATTTCTCATGTTATTATACCAGATGTGGTTTTTCCTAATGATTCACATATTTCTGATTAAATTCTTTACAAAACTGAGGAATATATTTTGGGTCAAACTAATCATGATCAAAAACCTAATGCAGTTTTATTAGATGCTGATTTTCCTAATGACCCTTTGCTCTGAAATGACATTCTTAATAAATCCGAGGAAACTATTTCAGAATAATCAAATATTATTTGTTCTCATAATTCATTTGTTTCTTATGGGGAACTTGTTCAGTGCGAAGCACAAGTACTAAATGAGCTCGAGTTTGATTAAAATTCGGATGATTTCATATCAACTGCTGTTTATCCTTATCACGAAGTCACTTTTAATGTTTATTCTACTCATTGTGAAAAATATATGTTAAATGAAGCCACATCATTCACAACTTGAGGATATGAAGATCCAACATTATTTAGTGGCGGGAGGATAGTGTTGGGGAATCTATGGTTCAAATTATGGATATTAGTGGTTTCGGTACACAACTGACACAGTGATTGTATACAATCCCTGGAACCAAGCGAGTCTGTACTGATTTCGGTTGTTAATTCTAAGGCTAATAAGTACATTCTAGATAATACAGAGTCTTTATCCAATACGCTGTCGGACAGACACAGGATGAACTTGAGAAGAAGACGTACGATTGATTACAGGCATTTAGACTCCAATTTAAGCTATGGCGGACGTGGTGTTTGCATGAACTAATGATTCCTTTGTACTTGTTGAATGCTTGATTTCGAATTCCAAATACAGTAAATTCGTTCGTGCTCATCTAGTAAATCTTGACCCGATTGTGTTATTCCTGGGATTCCTAGTTTGTACTATAGATCAAATACTACTAATTATCACAAAATGTCTTTCCGTTAAATCACTATCTTCCTTTTTTGATATATTTTATTTATTGACTTAGCTAACCAAATAGAGAGGAATAATTACAATCCTGGGTTTGAAGTGAACTGAAATCTATCGAGAGTTTGACAGCGTTTTAACCAGTAACACCTTCTAATATTAATCGTACCCACCAAGCGTCTAGCAACCGTCCAGAGAAAAATGCCAAGTGTTGCCAGGAGTGGTTAAGCCATTGTTGTAAGTCTCCTCTGATTGCTGAGTCGGATTCATATACTGCGATAATAATGGGTGCTTCAGTGTCCTGATGAGCGAGCATTGTTGGTTGAACGATAAGTTCCTTAACTGTGGAGAATGCTTTTTTCGCTGTGTCGTCCAAATTAATGGATTTCGCTTTTCCACGAAGTTGGTCGGTAAGAGGTTTCATAAGTAAAGCGCATTTTGGTATGAATCGTCTATAGAAACTTACAAGGTCGTCAAACATGCGTAATTACTTGATGGTGGTCGGTTCTGGGTAATCCAGAATGGCCGCCACTTTGGTTCTAAGGGGTCGAATGCCTTGAGAATCTATAGTGTGTCCTAGGAAGTCTAATGAGTCATTTCCGATTTGGCATTTCTGAACGTTTACAGTAATGCCGTGGTTTTGTAGTCGTTCGAAAACGATATCCATGTGCTTGAGATTAGATTCTCTGTCCGGACTTGCGATTAGGCAGTCGTCAACATACGCATTTACGAAGTTGAGACCTCGAGAAACGTCGTCTATGAATCTCTGGAATGTTTGTGCAGCATTTCTCAGACCAGGAGCATTCGAAAAAATTCATAGAGTCCAAAGGGATTAATGATGGCGGTTTCCGGAATGTCGTCAGTGGCCATGGAAATTTGGTTATACGCTTTAACCAAGTCGATGTTCGAAAAAACAGTTGTATCTTTCAAGGTAGCTGTCAAATCGTGAATGTGAGGCAACGGGTAACGATCGGGAATGGTTTTGGCATTCAATCGCCGATAGTCATCAGTTGGACGCCAATCGTTGCCGTCCTTTTTAGGGACCATGTGCAACGGAGATGCATATGGGCTATTTGACGGTCGTATGATTCCTAAGTCTATCATGTGGTCGAACTCGTTTCTCGCCAACCTTTGCTTTTCAGAGGGTAATCGTCGTGCTATAGAGAATACAGGTGGTCCCGTGGTGTGATGTGTAACGTTGCTGGTTACACACGGTAATTTCGATTGCGTTTGATGAATCCCAGGATACTTATCGAGTAGTGGCTGATAAAGTGGGTCTATCGTATGCTTAATTGTGACTGGGGATAATCTGCAACCAGAAAAAGAAGTTACGCAGACGGATAATTTAGTGTTTCCGTCTACTAGAGTCCGTTTGCGCGTATCGATGATTAAATTATGGCGTTGTAGAAGGTCCATACCAATGATTGGCATGGAAACATCTGCAACAACGAGAATTCAGTGAATGGGTTTGCATAAACCCACGTAAAGGTAAACGTACCTTTTGCCATACGTATCGATAGGCTTTCCGTTTGCCGCCTGTAAGTTTAGAGCCGATTCGTGAAGCCGGTCGTTAGGATTTGCTGGGAGAACGCTAACTTCTGCACCAGTGTCGACGAGGTGGCGAACTCTCGTTGTCAGATCTGTGACGTCCGTCGCAGAACCGTGCTGCAAGTCAATGTTATTAAAGAGTTGATCCAACCTTCTTCTATCGGTTAGGTCTTCGCGTTTAAGGACAGATCGTTTCAGTGTTTCGTAAGGTCCAGAAACACCACTAGTAAATACTAGGTGTTGCGTACCTGTTGAATTCGCGTGGTAGTGCCTTGACTACTGTGAGGTATTGTGCATGTGTGCCGTTCACGTTGTGCCCACAGAAGTCGACTTCTGCGTAGCTGAACCAGGTTTCGGTGTTGTCAGGTACGTGAATGAACAAGTGAAAAAAATATATATCCAAAAACACGGAAAAATAGTATCACAGTCTATGGAAAATTAAAATAAGGGAGTGATATATAAAATCCAAAAAGGGAACAGACTCACAATTTGCAGTTTGGCTCACCAGATCACGTTAGGCTCACCAATGTAGATGCCACAGGTATTCGGAATTTGACAACGCTTTAGCCAGTAACACCTATTGTTAATCGTACCCACCGAGTGAAATCAAAAGACAGAAGCAAGGAGGTTCAAAGATATGTTTGATAAGCTATAAATATATCAAGGATTGTCTCATCTAATCTGGCTAGCGATTCAGAGGATGTTGGGCATGGCGTTCCCACTCGTGATCTGGTGCGGATGCATGACCAAGAGCCTTCAGCTAGGTGAGTCCATTAAAACTAATGTGGTAAGAACCCAATGTCAAAAACTTACTGAGATATTTATTTTGGGGATTTATTTACCGCTACACTACGTTCCTAGAACACCTATACGCTCTAGAAATAATTTGCGAAAGTACTGAATACATTTACTTAAAGCTCAGATATACTAAGAAAATACATCACATCAGTCTATATTGGGAATAGGGGCAAACACCGGTAGTTATGTTTTGGGTAGTAGTATAAATTAGCCTTCAAAACAAGTTCTCGAAATTGACGGGAAACTTGGCAAAATTAGTTGACACTACAAGTATTGTGATCCGATTACGGTGTGGTGAAATATTTCTCTATGTCTAGATATTCCTTTTAAAAGTTCTACGTTTCCTTGCTTCTATCTCACTTTACATCTGCCCTGCTTAGATCACGAAAAAGATTTTGTGCACTGTAAAGAGGGGGAATGATATTTTTTGAACATGTATAAAGCATGTATTCTGCAGTGTAATTTCAACGAATAATATGAATGCAATGTACATATCATCCAAGAGAAACTTAGAGATAAAACATAAAATCCTTTAAAAATTGATTCATTTGTAATCTATATTTATTCCTGAGCCCAGATCAGTACTGGAAGAAGGACTAAGAAATATTTATAATTCATGAGTTGTTGTCTTTTGAAATCAAAGACCTAGCCACCAAGTTCAAATTTTCTAGGTCATGGTTATCACATCGACTTGTCAGCGTTGTGTGATGGTTGTTAAAGACGAAGCTCATTGAGTGTACTGTTTAGTATACGCTTCTCGACAATTCTACTCATGTTTAAGAAGTTCCTGGCTGTGGTAATTGACCACATTCTAGGAAGATATTTTGAAGGTTTCAATGGTGAAAATTTGTCATATGGTCTGCTTAATGGTAAAATGATCTATTTTCTCACTAGCCATTTTTTCCAGGAAATATTACCTTGAGTAATTTGACTTTAAGGAAAGACACTTTGAACAGTCTGTTTGATATCCCGCTAACGTTAAAGTCTGGTGAGTATCATGTGCTCTAATTTCTACATGGAATTTATTAATATGGATCTATGATCAGTTCGGGCTTGCCATAGCGTTTAATTTATTCAAATTTTGCAAACTATATATATCGCTAATATCATTGACCAGTCAGGTTACAGATTATTTATAAACGACTGTTAACCGTAAGCTGTTGATTGTCAAAAGGTTCCCAATAAATTTGACTCGAACAACTCTGCTAATTGTATCTAACAGGGATGACACTGACCGGAGTATTTTATACCGAATGTTTCAGGTCGTAACAACCGAGTATTCGGATTTTGCGGTTTTCCCCATAGCTAGATGAAAATTCGTAGTTTTCCGCAGTGTGAGTAAATATGTGGAAAAACTCTAAATTTTCTTAAACTTCGAATTTTTTGGAAAAACCTCAGACCAAGGAAAATTTTGAGTTTCATTTCTCCAAAGTTTTCCATTGCAGCTTCCCCGAAATTTGGAAATTGAGTTGTTGAGCAATTAGGGAGTAAATAATTGTCCATAGTCGTAAGTTAATGAGTTATTTAAAATTGTCAACGCACCTCATACCTGAATAAAAACAACCTACTTAAATAGTTGCTGGACAGTTCTATTCTTCGTGGGCTAATAAATGTAGACAAAGATGGAAACATCATTCTGTGCAGTTTTAAATTCAGACCAGCTATTGGATATTATGTAGTGGTTATTTTTAGAGGGAGTTAATTCTAAACTATTTATTCGCGGCATCAGGAGTGTGGTTGGTTATCATCAGTTTTATTGCTACAACTACAAAACTTGTAGGCCTTCTAACTTCCTATCATTTAACATTTTAAAACGGTATCACAACAACTTGACGCAAGTCAATAAAACAATATATTATTCGAAGTTTTCCCATCAAATTGCTATATTTGGACTAATTTCAACTTTCAGATTTACCTCATGAAGTTTCCATTTTCAACGTCATACACTTTTATCCAGTCGAATTTGATTCTGTTCTTGTTTAATGTTAGCTCATTATGTTGCTCTTTGACTGTAAGAGTCTAATAAAGACATTTATTGAAGACTGGCTGGATCCCTCAATAGAATAGTTGTTTTAATATTGTAGTAACGTACTTAAGGTTCGAAATTTTCTTCTCTATGTTAAACAAACGTGTAGGTAATTAAAGCAAACCTTTCATGACAAACTTTATCTAATGACTATTTTAAAACAATTCGAGTGAGATGGTTTATTATGTTTGGATGTAAATGGATAATTATTTTCATGCTGACTAAAATTAATTCTGTTCCACTTAAATGCAGTCACAACTCATATCCGTTATACTTGTGTTAAATGGGATGTTCATCTTGAATATTTCTTTTAGGTTCTGTCGGTAATGTGTCGATATTCATTCCTTATACTCATCTTTGGAGTCAAGCTTGGCAACTTTCACTTGATAAGGTTGACTTAGTAGCATATGCTTCAGCTGAGGACCTGTGGGTTAATTTGAATCCAAATCATCCAGATGGTCCAGTCAAAATGTCTTCCATAAACGAAAGTCAGTCAGAAAAGTGGGTGACTAAGACTACTCCAAAAGATCAGGGAAATAAATGCTTTGCTGAGTCTCCAGTTAATGGAAAATACAGCTTAGACCAAATGGAGAAGAGATGGTATCAGGTCTGTTACTTTAAATCAAATAGTTTTGTATAACTTTGCAAGCTCTTTTTTGAATCCACATCCATCGAGTTATGGAGATTAGTTAACACAACTGACCGTCATAAAAATATTTATCCTAGTGTACATATTTTGTCTTTTCAGAATTCAAGTTTCTTTCTTGGCTTTGCTTTACAATATTTTAGATGTTAAGTGTGCACTAAAATAAATAGAGTGGGAAGGGGTTTAATGGTTGAAGTAACGGATTATCAAATATTTTGGGGCTCCGAACCTTATTGCATTTACTTCTGACAGTTGCTTAATATCCTAGTTCCTGATTAGTGTGACACAAAACAAAGTAAACAGGCTTATACTTTGTTTCCAGTCCAAATTACTATATGAAGAATTGCAAAGCAAAATGTTGGTCTACTTATTCGAGCGTTTTTTATTTAACTATTTAGACACCTGGAATTGCTGTCCTGTGCTGAAGACAGATGGAATGAGTATTCATCAACTTGAATTTAGGTTATAAACCTGATATAAAATGCAAAATAGTGGACTGCCATTAGACACTGTGAACAAACGTAAATTTGTGTATTGAAATAGTGGAAATACATCACATAATAATCTTAAAGTGAAAAAGGATTCCGAGTTGCGGATAGTGTGAAATGTTACAGACATGTGGATTTGGAATGTTCAATCAGACTCGAGACCATTGTCACTATTACAATGACTCTGAAATTTTACCATTTCTTTTGTTTTACAGGCGTTTAAATTCTTCCAGTTTCACTTAATCCTGTTAAATTCCAACCTTTGTCCCGATATTTGGTCGAAAATGATCACTTATTAAAGCAATATTCTATGTTTATGTGCTCAACTAAAATCTACTAGCAAACTTCTATACTAGTGTAATTAATTTTATCATTCACTGATACAATTCCCCTGTAATTGTAGACAATGTCCGGTGGTAAACTAAAAGACGCAGCAGCTATGGCCGCATTAGTTGCTATGGATTCTAGGTCAGACAACCCTTCTTGGTGGTCATACATAACCTCAGTTGGATATAGCATAATCCGTAGTCTTCAAGTAAGTTATACTTTTCTACGTAAGAAGCTTGTTTATTTAGTTGTAATCATTGTATTTGTTCCAGTGAGTTATCATTTTCATTCTTAACATTCCCTTATGACCCCACATTCTATGATATTAATAAGCGTCATTATTAATTTACTTGCCCACTGTACTGTTATAAGTGGCTATCTTTAGGAGTTTTCTGGTCGAAGAAGCATTCAGTTCGATAATGTTTCCTTGTGGGTGCTTTTATTTATTTGAAAAAGGAGTTAGTCTCATCCCTTTGAACGTACTATCGATCAACACTAGTTTGTCTTTCTGGTGTAAATATCGTGGTATTTATATATTAGTTGTCTTTTCTGTTGTATACTACTGTGTATTTTAAATCTTTCATACTGTTGTTATAATCTCTTTTCTTACGGTATGACCCAGCTATACCTATTGCTTAATATTCTTGGACACCAATCACTCGACAAGTCCCCGAATCAGAAGGTTGAACAGGAAAGATTATATTCCAAATAACGAGGTTAAATGGAAGTAAGATGCACAATAAAGAAAACGTTAGTATATTTATAGTTTTTACATGAGATTCTAGAGTATTCTCCAACTATCGACTAGTGCTGATTGGATAAGAATTAGCCAATCAACGTGCACCAAAGCAATCGTGCATTGAGCATGCTTTAATTCAGTCTATGTTCCGCTAACAACTGTCTCTTCATTTTTCTCCTTTGTTTGATAGATTGAAATTCGTGAAGTTCGTATTTCTCTAATTGACCCAAATACTTTCGAAAATCGGGACGCATTAAGCAATTCATCTTGTGATTATCATCCAAATTTTGGGACATTTACTATCAGTCTACAGCGTTTAACACTGGAAACTACGGACTCGCTCTGGGTATGGTCTAATAAACATTTTTATATTTATGCTTGCCTCTCATGCATTGTATTATTGCTAAATTTATGAGTAGTGGAAAGCTAATCAGTTTTAACGCATTTAAAACTCCTAACTTGATGGAATCCAGTTGTACAAAGGTTAAGTTAAACTTTTGAATAAAGCTTTCTGTAAATCTTGTACGTCATTTTGTTAGCCATAAAAATTTATTGAAAGCATATATCGGTATTGAACTTCATTATGATTCCCCATAAATTGTTGATTATGTCTACAAATGTTTGTGTATGAGTCTTTTGGGGCTCGTATGCCATAATAAATGGATTTTTGTGATATTCCAGCGAGTAGAACATTGTATTTCTTACGTCTCGTGACTTAATGCAAGTCAACTCTTCAGAGTTTGGCTATCACAAAAATATATATATTATTGTCTGACCAATCCTCAAGTTATTTTAAACTATCAAGTCCAACCTTGGCATTGGTACCTACAAACTCATTTCGTACTCCATGTATTACAGCCCTAAAAATATAAGAAGCAGATTAACGTGTTTTGTAATCGCCATTTATTAACTAGATGAACTGGACTTGATGAAAGTCAAGTAAAGTTTTACTTTACTAATGTTGATCAGTGTGTGAGAAAACTAGCTTTTTAAAATTGTTAATGATTGCAATAGCGTATGAATAACACGATTTATTTTTCACCTCAAATCCTGTTATATTCACAAAAATTATCTTCATTCTTCTCGTGTTTTTCCGAATAATTAGCAACGTACCACTTCAACATCTCAAGAACCTGTTGAGTACAAATTAATAAATGTTCACGGGCTCAGCACTACATGGAGTCCAAAGTTATCTGCTCCAGGAAATTTGTCGGCTGTTGAAATTATGACTGAGGTCAGTATATAACAATGTTATAAAACAGTTACACAACTTCATAGTTTTAATTGCTAGTTAAAAATTGTTTTAAAATGGGCCTTCCTCGATACCAATAACAAATCTATCCTCCAACAATGTTTAGTTATTTTGGATGTAATCAATGTTGTTTATTCGAAGGACACTGTAAAAAAGCTATTTATATAGTCATTCAGTTTCGATCGAACTTTACCTGTCTATCTTAAATTTTGTGTTTTGCTGATATGTGTGATTTTAATACAAACCAGTTACTTAAATACTCGAACACTTATTGTGTATTGCTTATGAATAAAGACACACTAAGCTACTCCGGTTTATATAGTGCTTAAATTAGGCGATTGATTCTAGTTGAATATAATGTAAGGCTTAGCGTTGGCTATAATTTAGCCTTCTCTATATTATTCAATACATTACAACTCAGAGTGCTAGCTGTTCCATTTCGAATGGTTTAGGAGCAGTCATCTCATTCGTGTACTCTGTTGCACCACTTAATAAGACATTATAAATCATTTTGATCTCGACCTAAATGCACCTTCATGCAGTTTACTAGCACAGTTTCAACCCTAATACTCAGGACTTCCAGCTACATTTTGGGTGTGATTGATTGCGATACTACTATCTAGTTGTTCAGACTGAGTTTGTTGTCAGGTGGATTTTTAACCAACATTCTAATCAATGACTGGAAACTAAAGGTTTCAGTCGCTAAGCTATCAACCAAATAGACGTTACCTATTGGTACTAGATATGTATAAGATATGATTGGAATGGCCTATTTACTGATTGTTTCTACACAAAAAATGAGACAAAACTGAAGAGACTCACAACTTACGGTCATTACCGTGCATAAAAACGAGATTCCAATTTTTTCAATCCAAACAAACGATACAGTATATTTATAACACGATGTAATGATTAACAAATGAAGTCTAGGATGCACATGTCCTAGTTTGGACTTTTCACCTGGATTTATTTGCCTATCAGATCTTAACTGAACATCCTATCACTAACGGCTACCAGATGACTATGGCTCTTAACTTTTTCCCATGTTAGCTATTGTTTGTTCAAGGGATCTACTTGTCAACAGTCAGACTAACAGAGGGAGAATATTAAACCCTTGTCGTTAATTTCAAATATCATTCTCATTGTTCTAATCGGCAGCTATCATGACCTATTGGATTACTAATTAATAGTTTATCGTTTGAAACAATTTGTGCTGGATTAGTGTCTGAATGTAATTATTATTATCACTAAGATCCAAATGCATACACAGCTGATGAATCTTGAACAGTGTGATACATGAATTCTAGATTTCGTAATTAGTCATCAACCATGATTAGTTATCAGCTTGTAGGTATTTGTTCTTTGGAGGCAATTAAATCCAATTGTGAATATCAAATTCTTACAATGAATTTAACATATCTGTTCGTTATTATACAAATTTAACAAAATGCATTATCAATCTCCTTTTGTTTTTGACTGGTTTATATTTTTCCCTATTTTTTTTTTTTCGTTTCTTATATAGTCATCTAAAGATTGTAATAAACTGTTGAAAGAGAATTTGTTATATATTTTACCTCCATGTCATTTAACTGGCCATTTAAAACGTAATCAAACAAATATTGGAATAATCGGGAGTAGTAGTGGATCAATAACATCGACACCTACTAGTAATCATCAATTGGAGTTAAATAACAAAGCACAAGTTGAATTAAATATTAATTTAAGTCAATTAAATATACAAATATCACAAGAATTTTGTTGTAATCTTTTACATTTATCAAAAATATTAATAAATCAGTATGAACGTTTAGAACAATTAAAACGTAGACCATCTAGTGTAGTAAAAAAGTGAGTAAATCGTTGAGATTTTTCTTTTTTCCCCTTCAATTCTAATAATAATTGATATTTAAGGATCAGAAGCTGATTATTATGATCTGGTATCGTGTAATGACAGTGTGTTTGAGCTACTAAGTTCATATACTATGTGACTGATTACTGAATACATAAATCTGTATTTAGCATGAGCTGAATTAGTGAAATACGCCCAGAGTTAAGGTCTCATTGGGACTATTCAGTGTTCCCACCATGTTAGGTGATAGACAACCAGAAACCTTACATCTAGGTTTCGTGCTAGTTGAAACTTGTCAGAAAGAAACGTGGAACCCTAAGGGAACTGATGTCCGTCAGTGGATTCGGACTCGGGTCACCTAGTTTCGCAGTCTAAGACGTCACTACTTAGGTATCACGGGCGTGAATGATCTGTAAGACATATTTGCAGTGAATAATCACAGAATAGTGGCCAATGTCATGTTTGTGTAGTCCGTAGTACCTATAAAATTCTACGGATTAAGTTGCGTTGTAGCCACCAGTCCAAGTGACTAGATATCGCTTACTATCTTTTTACAGAGTTTGGCCAGCACTGCGAACCTGACAAAAAATGACATTGACCATTAATATCTGACCAATCAATTTAGTATTTCTCACGAATACAACTAACGAGTCTTGCTGTGAACATTTATCAAATTACAATATGTGAAGTGAATTTTGTTGTATTTTAACATTAATAACATATTATGTTACCGTCTTTTAGATAATTCAGTCTGGTCATTTTTCTTTATATCGAATTTCATGGTAACATCGGATAGGTGACCTTTGATCCTTGGATTTAGTAGTATCTTTCCGGGACTTATCGCATGGTCAGTTCCGAGTATCTTATAGCTAAAAATATCTCAACGAGTATCTCGCTTTAAATATCACTGTGTACGCTGTGATTTTTGTTTGTAGGATACAAAATTTTGATGAAGTTAGCAGAAATATTTGAATCAGGCATTTTTCATAACCCACTATTTCAGTCTTTTTCTTTTATCTTCATTATTTGTTTACATCTAGCAGTCAATGGTGGCGTTATCTAGCTGGTGAAATTCGTCCAAGACTTCGTGTTCTATTTCATTCAACACTTAGCCATATTTCGTTATCCGATTTAGCATTAGAAGCGAAATTAAATGTTATTTATGTGAAAGCATACACAGCTTATTTAATTCAAGGTTTGTCATCTTCAACAACCAAATGTTTGATTACAACTGACCAAATCAATAGTATATGTAATGGTTTAGGTTATACATCTGAAATGCATTTAGAACGATTAAAACTAGATCAGTTATGGTCTATTCAACGAATTGCAACTCTTCGCTTAATTGCTATGAGACGTGCTGCAGTTACATTACTTACGCTATTGGTAACTATCCATTCTGTAATTTTTTGATACTGATAAGAATACTATCTAGTTGTTTTTAGCCTAATTATATAAAGATTTTTGGTGTTAATTGTTTTTTGTTCATAGTTTAAATAGTTTCAGCAATGCTTGTTTTTTTCTAGTCATTCTAAAGGATTGCTTATCACTTCATATTTAAATCTCTCCCCTCTTTCGTAATTTTATTTTTCTATTAAACACAAATATTAATACAAAGGTCGCCAAGATAGATAGGCTACAAAAATCAGTAAACTTTTATTTAGACCAGGATACTCCCCAGGTGCCCAGATCGAAGCAGGTGATTTTCGTTGGGGCCCATTCCCTGGGCTTTTGATTTAGAAGGAGCCTAATTCCCAAGGGAATGGAAACGCCGTCTCATGGTGGCTAGTAATCAGCAATAGGTCCATAGGTCAAGTTTTCCGCGAGGATGCTGGATCTCATGTGTACCATTGACTTGGGATCAGGGTTTTTCAACTCGGTTTAAGCATCGGATATTCGCGTTTGGTCCTTTTAATTTCGTAAGCAACACTCCTAAGGCGAGAAGTCAGTGAGTAGGACTTCCCTGGTAGTGGCTGTATACGCGTGGCGATGTCAGAGCGTTTTGAGAACAAGGGCGGATTCTCTCTACCTTTGGGCATAACTGCCTTTGCATTTTTTTGATAGTTTACCCGTAGTTAGTGAATGCCTTGTTACTGATCCCTAATCCATACTATCCAAACGATTTATGATTGAAGTTCATTCAGTTTGCTAATTTCAGGTAAGAGGAATAATAATCTAACGTTTAAATACTATCAATTACCTAACTCTGATAGATATTTCAACTAGTCTGAAAGCGATGGTTTATCCGTCATCGTTTAACAGAGGAAATTTATCTTTAAAGTTCCGGAGTGTTTGTATCTTGTGGTCACCTACTAATAAGCTGTATATTACAAATCATTTGGCGGTGTAACTAAAAAATGTTTTTATGTAGGGATTTGAAGTTACAGTCAAAGTATTTAATCAACTTACAACCATACTCAGTTCGCGATTCCAACTTGCATCACTCTGGAACGGGGTTTCAGAGTAGTATCATTAATCCTCAAACAAAGTGTATAACCCAACAGAGTGAATAAGGCACGTACTTAACTATTGAAGTGCATCAGAATAATTTAAATAATGTGGCAAAATCTTTACTTTGAATCAAAGTACCTTGCATTTTAAAAACCGTACCCGAAGTGATTTGCTACATGCAACTTGTGAAATATCTACTATCGTTGGTATGTACTAACTTTGGTAATCTAGACATTTTATATAAGATCCCAATGACCATCTCAGTTTTTAAGTTCAACCATTTTTTTTCAAAGTCATTTCATTAAGTATAAACTCCGGAAGATCTATCGGCTTTTGCCAACTCGCGTCACCTGTGATATAGGCAAGATATCCGTCCTTCAATTAAATGACGAGTATATTGTGCAGCAGTTCGTCCTATTCTACTTTATAGCTATGAAACATATCTTTTAGAAATAGAGGATATTCGTAGTTTGTTAGTATCATAGCATAGATGGTTTCTGAGGACTGCTTGGATTTGTTAGGATCACCGCGTAAGCTTTTTTTAAGTTTTAATTCAGAGTACTAAGTAAAGATGAAAAGTCGGTTGATAAGGTTGTGAATCTTCGTCAATTGAGGTGTTTGGGACATGTATTACATGTTTACCAAAAGATCCATAACTGCTAAAACAATTTTGTAAATATAAACATGGGAACTTATATATCTACTTGTTTGCATTGCGTAGAATAGCAGTTTGATGCTTTAAAGCGCTCGACGTTCAACTTCGCTCATGTTTCAACCCTTCTACCTCTATTTGTGAAACTGAGTAACCTGTGGCTAACCCGTCACATTTGAAGTGTAACTCGAAGCTGAGTATGTGTGATTAACGTATTTTCATCCCTTTTTCCAGTGATAATTTGTATTTCAAAATTATCTGTTCTAAAAAAGATTATTCTGAATGTATTTTCCCTGTCATTTTGTTTTTGCTCTGCTTATTTTAAATTTCTTAGAAATCGGATAATAAAAGTTCAACAATTATCATCGATCCAGGAATTCATCCCTCTACAGTCACTGGAAACTCATCAACAGCGAATCAATCATGGTATTATACTTGGTGGCGTTTTTCTTCAGGGTGGGGAATTCCCTCACTATTATCATCATTTACATCTTCAACAACAGTTGATGAATTACAATCTAATGTAGATAATTTGAATCAGTCTATAACAGATCAACAAACAATTGATTCGGATTTAAATCATTCAATGAATGAAGCAATCTTTGAATTATTGGATGAATTTGCTGCACATACAAATAATATTGACTATACTTGTATTACATATCCGATATTTGTACAGTTGGTATGTACTGTTGATGGATGTAGTTTACGATTAATTGATCACCTTGAAGAATCTGTCGAAACATATACAGTAAGTTGTTGTTATTATGGTTTTCATGTTACGGTTGTAAGAGCCCATTCATTCATTCAGTCATAATCAACTTACAGTCTGGCATAGTTGTATATTAGCCTAAAGTGCCATATTACGTCAGCAGGAAGAGATTACGGTGAATATTGTAGTATTCAAAATAATTTAGTAACAATGGTTATACGAAAGATTAGGCATTGAATGTATTATTCAAGAATTCAATAGGAAAATATATTTTTTAAAAAAACCTTGTAATTCAAAATCTACGGCAAAATAAAGAATAAGTTTATTTGTGTCAGTGTGACCGATTTTAATCCATGTTTCCCGATGTCTTCAACCACTGATCGTGGTTTGAACATGGAATCCAATAGTCGGAATTCACTTAGTCTTTGCAATAGATGTGTTATTATTCTTATAATTTATTCAACTCGTGGATAAATAGTATTCTTTAAAGAAGTAACTGTTATGTAAATTAGCCTATAATGAACAAAATACACAGTTTATATCGATGAAATTCGTCATGTAACTATAACATATTGTATGCTAATGACGTAATACGTAGTTTAGAGTAATGTTTATACGCAAAGTTTTATTTAATTACTTTAAGGCGAATATAATTTTCAACTTTTGATTACAGTATCATCAATCCTCACATTTAAAGTGTTATGCACAACAAACTACACACTACCTTTACACTCAATTCATATATATTTCATGCCTAGTTTGTAAATAACTGTTTCATTTCTAAATATTTCTCTTTGAAAGCATCCAGCATTTATTAGTTTATCAGGAAAACAAGTGTATTTTGATTTGGAAGTTCGACCACAATGTAATTCCTATAGATTATCAACTCATATTCAATCGTTTACTGTTCATGATGAACGGTATATGTTAAAAAATCGTAAACAGTCATCATTATCATCACCATCATCGCAATGTATCCCCATGTTTCCTGTTGTTGTATTTCCTCGTTATCAAACTAGTTCCTTAAGAACTGATAAACAGAGTAATGAAAGACATGTTTTCTCTCTTATTTACGAAGTAAATCCATCACAAAAAAATGTTGATTATATGTAAGTGTTTTGATATTGTTTGATAGTCAAAATTATTGTAAATTATAGAATTGTATTTGTTTGTTTTTAATCGCTTATTTGGTGCTTGCATTAGCTTCATGTATAGTCGGATAGGATCAGTAGTCTTCACTTTTGATTCAAAGTCGAGTATTTCGAAAATGAGTCACAGATATATCCCATAATTGTTTCATACATCTGTTATATTTCTTTATGAATTTTATTTCGTTATCATAAGTTATCTCTTCCGAAATATCCGCGTTAAATTATTTGCTAGTTTCAATGTTATACATTTAAGAGGAAATCTGTACTGTGTTGGATAAATCACTGTACAATAGATTCGGGAGATTTTTATACTTACAATAAACCTAGTCAGATTGTTTAGGATAGATGAAATTGTTTTGATTGATGTTACCTTGATTAATCAATTTGTGGTAACCGATATTATGTTATCTATTCCTTAGGGGATTATGACCATTAGTCTAAGTGGCTGGTTGTTGCATGCACTATATTTTGACGTGAGTTAGTTAAATGTATTTGGCAGGGAACCATGTTCCTAGGTTTCATGCTGGTTAGAACCCGTCCATAAGGTCTAGTTAAAATCTTGAGTGGACTGATGCACTCTATCGGATTCGAACCTGGTTCACTCTTTTTGACAGTCTGAGTCTAGGTAATATACGCAGTTAAGTGGCAGATTTATGCTCATAGCACATTTATACGTTCATCGCTCGATCAAATTGGAGTTAGATCGACGGGCCACAAACATGCTATGTCTTAGTTTGGCTGCCCCTAACTTTCTTCCATCCTATTCTTACATCAGTAAATATTAAGTTTAAAGATCAGCGGTGATTAGCGATAAGTAATACAAATTCACTTCAACTCAATCGATGAAGATTTACCATCATATCGACCGATTCGCCACCTATGCCTTACCTCAGTATTGCTTACTTGATTGTTCAACTTATTATCTGAAATCTGTAGTCTACTCATGTTTTCCACTTTCAGTGACCATTTTTCACAGTCATAAAATAATATAGAGCGGATTTCTGCGAGACACTACTAATAGGAACCTCCATATCTGAATAAATTTCTTAACTGGAAAATGTACATTCTCAAATAAGTGAACAACTATACTACAACACATCATAGTTTGGAAAATATCATATGTGCCCAAAACAGGACATTTAAGATAAAAGTTAGGATACAGTGTTGATCATCAAAATTTGTTAGGTTTGAAGCTTCACGGGTTCACTTAGACTGCGAACGAGAACAATACTCAGTGACCAAAGACCAGTAATCTAACTATTGACGCGTCCCAGCCCCGCTAACTAGAAGGAGAAGTCCAGGCTTGGTATGGAAAATATATTCTGCATACAACCAGCAAACGAGCGAGCAAGCAAGCAGCAGCGAACAGTAGCGAACAAGTCAAGTCAAACACACAACTCACGCGTATTTATACAATATTTACAATCGATATTGTCATAGGAAAATTGTAAACACTAATCAATGAGTTCATAAATTGACCTATTGCACATTAATCGATAGTTCATCAATTGACCTACTTGCACATCCAATTGATAGGTTCATCAACTGACTGCTATACAAACATTTAATCGATCAGTTCATCAAATGACCCCAATACAAATATTTAAACATTTTATCAATAAGTTGATCGATACAATAAAATTTTAAAAATATGAGTTTGGGGATCTATCGTCCCCAACACTCCTCCCCCTTTTAATAGCGCGCTTTTCTGGGGTCGACTTGCATTTTGACTGTAGTTCGCCGCTGACGGAGAGGCCACCTTCTGGGACGGGGATCAGCTTGCTGTCGAGCTTCTTGTGGTGGGGCTGCAGGTAAGTTGAAAGTATCAAGCAAGATGTCGAAGGGAAGATTTACTGCATTTGATGGGTGGTCTGGGGCAATCCGCTTACGTAGTTGGTTTCGGTGTCTAGTCCACGTGTCTCTTCCCACCTTTACCTCGTACATAACTTGACCTAGTCTTCCAACCACACGTGCTTCGATCCAAGGACCATGATTTGCTCTGTAGTCTCGAGCGAACACGGGGCATCCAACCTCGTACGCTGGAAGCTTCTGAGATTTGGTATGGGATGGTGGTGGTGTGGTTCTTCGGTACATTGGACTATGGATCGTCCTCAATTTCCTTCCAATCAGGATCTCTGCCGGGGACTTCTGCTGTGGTAGCATATCACTAGGTGTTGTTCGGTAAACAAACAAGAAATTCTGCAGTGTTTCTACTGTCGTCCCCTCCCCTTTCGACTTCATTAGAGCTCTCTTGAATGTATCTACAAATCTTTCTGCTTGTCCATTTGACTGTGGGTGGTAAGGTGGAGAGCGGAAATGCTTGATCGATAGGCGTTTGCAAAATTCTTGAAATTGACTTGAGGTGAATTGCGAACCATTATCGGAAACGATTATATCCGGTAACCCGTTGCGAGAGAACATCTCTGTCAAAAGTTGTATCGTTTGAGTTGTCGTTGGTGGCACGACGGGAACGATTTCTGGCCATTTCGAAAAGGCGTCAACAACGACTAGATAGGTAATTCCATTAATTGGGCCTGCGAAATCGACATGTATCCTGGACCAGGGATACTCAGGTTGTGGCCATGGGACCGGCAGTATTTTCGCGTTACACTTGGCTGCTTGCTGACACTGTGCGCGGTCCTCTGTCAATGGGGAGGCAATAACTGCATCTTCGCCGGCCGTATGATGTTCGCTGGTCGAAAACTCCGTCATTAGGTTCCTCGTATATGCTTCCAAGTCATGTGGTTGTTGTCGAAGTTGGGGTTGTGAAACCAGGTTGCATATGGTATTCAACGGAACATCAGCTAAATTTAAGTGATCGAACCAATCTAACCCAAGCAAATTTAGATCAGCTGGTGTTATGTAGCATAACCCGGTAAACGTCGAATCATGAAAAGTCACTTTACAATCTAGTTGTCCCAACAAACGTAGATAATTACCACATGCGGTTCGCGGTTTTTGTGTTGTCGGCACCAGGCGTGGTCTTCCCATTCTGATCCAAGATTTTCGTGAGAGAATCGTTACATCAGATGCAGTGTCTATTTGCAATCTAAGAGGGTGCCCATTAATGCTAAGGGTAATAAATTTCCTCTCAACTGGGGTTGAGTTCTCACAGCTTGCTATTAGACTCAACGAATTCGTGTTGGATCTAGGCGTAGGTTTTCTGGTACCTCTGGAGTTGCTCGGCTTCTTTTTTCGACAAAAACCATCTTTATGACCCACCACATTACATTTCCTGCACCGATGTTGCTTATATGGACAGTATCGAACAAAATGCCATGCACCGCAGTGCCAGCATGGAGCAGGAGGATTTGTTTTTGTCTGTCGACCTGAACTAGATGTAGCTGGGGCAGATTTATGCGAGTTGAGTGGTTGTTGGACTACATGAACTTCGGTACGATTTGAACCACCACGCTGGACCATTGTAGTATCACGCTGTAGATTGATTAGACGTTGATATTCATTTGCAATATCATTAAGAGTTAGTTTTGGGTCTTGGTCCAATCGACTTAGCAAACGTGTTCTAATGTCACTGAACTTCTGCGATTGAAGGCTGCAGATGAGAATGAGTGCTTTAAATTGATCTTCAGTAAGCGACTTCAATCGGAAACGTTCACATTCTCGGTTGACAATACCCACATGTGTGAGAAAATCATCATCTTCGTTCATAGTGAGCTTCAAACATCGATAGCGCGCATTGAATAGTGAAGAGTTGTCTCCGAATTGTTGGCTCAATGACTGGACAGTGTCGGAGAATGAACGATCGCGTGGGTTTAAAGGCAGAATTAGATTGCAATACTTGTCTAGTTCACTAGGACCCAACTTTCGAAGCAGCAAGCGGACCTTCCAAGCATCATCCTGGTTGGCAAAGTCAAATTTGAATAAGTCTTCGTAACGTCGAAACCACATATCAAACGTGACATTGGATTCTGGATCGTAATGAAACTCGGAGATACTGTTAGCAATACCATCAACTGATGGTGCAGTAGTAGTAGGATTAGAACTGCTTGGTTGAGAATTAGATGTAAGCTTTGCATCTGCTAACATTTGAATAAGTTTCATCTGCTGCTCGAGTAATAATTCAAGTTTAGATGGATCCATATTTCCGTAATCACCGTCGCCAAATTGTTAGGTTTGAAGCTTCACGGGTTCACTTAGACTGCGAACGAGAACAATACTCAGTGACCAAAGACCAGTAATCTAACTATTGACGCGTCCCAGCCCTGCTAACTAGAAGGAGAAGTCCAGGCTTGGTATGGAAAATATATTCTGCATACAACCAGCAAACGAGCGAGCAAGCAAGCAGCAGCGAACAGTAGCGAACAAGTCAAGTCAAACACACAACTCACGCGTATTTATACAATATTTACAATCGATATTGTCATAGGAAAATTGTAAACACTAATCAATGAGTTCATAAATTGACCTATTGCACATTAATCGATAGTTCATCAATTGACCTACTTGCACATCCAATTGATAGGTTCATCAACTGACTGCTATACAAACATTTAATCGATCAGTTCATCAAATGACCCCAATACAAATATTTAAACATTTTATCAATAAGTTGATCGATACAATAAAATTTTAAAAATATGAGTTTGGGGATCTATCGTCCCCAACAAAATTACAATTAATTAAGAATATTTGATAACAGTTTATAAATCAAATGAAAGTTTAGGCTTAGTAAAGTAGAGGAGACTCATGAATTAACTGTTAGTAATCACAAATTAGACGTAACTCTGGTAGTTTATCATTCTTCTTCAATCAGCCAGACAGTATCATAACCCTCACACAAATCGATGATAACTACTACTGGCCTTACTGTTACTGTATGGTGCATATGTATTTGGTGCCCTCTTTGAGGCAATGTTTATGCGTTCAAATAAATGATATATAAATTCATCTAATTACATTAATTTTATTTATTTATTATTTAAACAAATAAACATTGGTACAAGGAGACACCAAGTAGATATGCGCCACATAGATCATTCGATTTATGTGAGGGCTGGGATACTGCCCGGGTACCCAAACCGAAGCAGGTGGTTTTCTTAGGGGACCACACCCCGAGCCTTCGAGCTCAAGGTCTGGTCCACAAGGCAGTGGAGCATCGTCAGGAGATGCATTCCTATGGTAGTTGGTGACCAACGATTGGTTCATACGCCATTTGTTCCCGCAGGATACTGGAGCCCATGTGCACCATTGGTTTGGAATCCGGTTAAAGCGCCGGACATTCGCTTTTCGCTCTCTCAATTTCGTAAACAGCAGTAATGCCACGAGAAGGTAGTGAGTAGGACTTCCCTGGCAGAGGCTGTATACGCATGGCCGTGTGAGAGCATTTCGAGAGGGAGGGTGTGCCCACTCCACTCTCGGCCATACCAGGGCATTTGGGGGCAATTACATTAATAAATCCATTTGATATTATAAATTTCAACATTTTAAACTGTTCTTTCAAGGTTCTGTTTTATCAAAATATATAGAATATTTTGGTGGAGTTTTGTTCTCTGAGCTGGATGGTTTGGTCGACTAAACCATTCACCTGAGCTACAAATCATCACCATCTCAATATATGGAATACATTTCGTTTTTTTCCTTTTAAAAATTATTTTCTATAGTCTCCAAATTCATACTGAACCTGTGAATTTAGTCTTTCAACCGGAATTAATTCATCATATTATGAACTTCATTTATGTGATTGCATCGGCTTCATCTTCACAGTTAGAAAGTATGTATTTATGAACTTTCTCGTTTCCTATCTACCAAATGATTGCTTTTACAATGTATATTACATTTTATACTTTATCATATTTGATAATTTATTTAACTCTTTAGATTGTCTACTTTTTTCTGACTTCAAATAATACCATGATGGTTGTTGTGTTTTCAATTTGTTTTGAATGGTTAACAGTATTTAAAAACACGTTTTTATGGAAATATTAAATAAACATGGTACAAGAACGAAATAGTACTGCTGACTATACAGAAGTGTGACGGGATTAAAGTGTTCACGTCAGACTCCAATGATCTGCAGCGATGCTGCCTTCTCACAATAGGAGGATAAAATTAGAAAACCACACTTCACTCTGCTGCACGGGTTTCCATTACCTCCAGTAAGGCCGTTAAAGGACTGAGCTAATACTTATAAGCTATTTACTAAAAGTAGTATGTGACCAGGCTTAAACAGCTTCATCGTAAACCCTATTTTGACGCTCCAAAATCGTCTAGATCAACCCTAACCTAGTTTTATGTTTAGTTACCTGAAGAAGAAGACTAACTGGTAGAAAAAGCACATCAGACATTGTTGCCACTACTTTCAGTTTCGAAGAATGTCACCCAACGTCTCCAATCACCGATCTCACTTATCCTGGAGACCTCAACTAGGTAGTCTGGATTTCCCAATATGGAACGAACCAGTATTCAACAACTTGATGGACCGATTCCAAGTCTTGATTTTATCACGTTTTATTGTAGATTTTTTTGCCTAAAATTATCTACACGTAGTAATAAGTAAACTTGAAACACTACATTGTATTCAACCTTTTCTGGTTTTACTGAAATATAATTGAGTGTGTGCATTTTTTCTGTAATTATCACAGCTTCAACTGGACGCCGTTACACATTAATCAAGGAGAGTAAAATAAAGAATTTACATTCATTTCTTAAATCTACTCCTGATAAGAATGTTGAAGCTAAAATTAATTCTTCCAAATCGCCTCAGTTTTTTCCTTCCAATGTATCTACGCCTGTTAAATCACATAATCGTTGGAACATAAATTTCGATATAGATGGATTAAAAGTGTTATTTCCAAATCGTTTTATGCATAATAACATGCTGAATTTAAATACAAATCTTTTTACTACTTCTAACTCAATAATCTGTTTACTATGTGATTTCGGTCATTTACAAGTGACCAATTGGCCAGAGATCCAAGTAACTAATAAAATTGACGATAGATTGTCAGTGAGTTAATGTTTTAGTGTTTTATGTTTTGTTCTCCATTTAAAAATCATGTTTCACTGTTAGATTGATTTTGTAATATATATTTATGTTAGCTACTGAAAGTTGGAAATTTCTAAAAGCCTATTTAATGGTATATTTTGAGATTCTATGACAATAAGCTCATGTCATGTAGACCATTTTCATATTGAAATTACAACTCTCACTTTGCACCTTTATTAGTATTACTGTTATTTTAACATATAAACATTGATACAAGGAGGTATCAAATACATATGCGCCACACTTCACTTGCTTTGTGTGAGGGCTGTAATACTACTGCCTAGGCACCCAAACTGAAGCTGGTGGTTATTTTAGGAGTTCAATCCTCGAGTTTTGACTTAGAGGTGTAATCCGCAAAGCAGTGGAGCAACGCTAGGGTATGCAGTCCTATGGTATCAGGTGACGAACAATAGGTTCATACTTTATTCGTTCTCTCAGGATCCTGAAGCTCATGTGCACCACTGGTTTGAAATCAGGATTTTCCAACTCCTCAAGGTGTGTCCTCCGTACCCATCAAACCTGTTAAAACAGCGGATATCTACTTTTGGTTCTTTCAATTCCGTAAATAACAACCCCTCCTCGAGAAGACAGTGAGTAGGACTTATCTGACAGTGGCTTTATGCACGTGGCCATGTGAGAACATTTAGAAAGGAAGAGCGGACTCCTCACGGAGTACTGGTTTACTCAGTGTTATAATATACATAAATGTGATGGGTTCGCTGCAGAACCTAAAGATCCTGTGTTTTTATTTTTGTTGGTGGTTATGGAGGCTCACTGTTGAGAAGTCCCGTACCAGGAAAAAATAGCTGCCCATTGTTCTCTGATTTTCAGTGCTTATCTAACTAAACTTAGTCTATGATGCAAACTAAAAATGAGACATTCTTCACACATATTTCTGTCGATTATTCTTTACAATATGCTACTTTTTATCGTAATGTATTCAGATGTATTTTAAGGTATATTTATAGTATTTATTTTTCTCACAGTAAATTTTGAAAGAAACTCGATAAATACTTTTGTATATATATATTCTTTTAAATTATAATTGTGATCTGTTTCATATGATCAGGTGAAAATGAGTTCATTGAACAATCATAAACTTGAAATTGATAATCACCAGTGTAAGAAACAGCCTAAGACACTGCAATCATTGGATGTTGATAACGACGATGACAATGGTGATGACGAAGATGATGATGAACTGTACAAAACTCCCTGTAGTACTCCTGCAGAATTATCCGAAATCGAGGAGGGAGATGTAGAGGAAAGTATGAATCATGAAGTTGAGAAAGCATCTCAAAGGTAGATAAAAACACTATTTATATATACTCATTATAATTGTTTGTCTAAACTTGCGTTGTTGTCAGATATATTTCTCCTCACAGATTAATGACCATTAAATCAATTTAAGATAAGCAATTCTCTAAATCAGTTGATGCGAAGAGATATACCTATGGGTTCCTATATCAATTTTTAAGTAATCGTAAATTATTTATGTGTTTTACTGAGTGGGGTTAACGGTGTCTAGCACATGCCGAGAAAACTAAAGCAAAGGTTACTTTTTGTATATATAGCATTCTAATTAGTGGCTTATTTGCTATGAATGACGGTGAAAATTCAATTCACTGTTTTTTACTTAACTCTCAGCCTCAGATAGTGATATATATATCGGTAGTAGTCGATCGGGTGAATTCTAAAACTGAAGTTGACAAATATGTTGTAACACAAATTCATTTTTTCTCGTTTGTACTTTTTATTGGTAAAGTTTTAACTCTGCATCTGCTTATGGTACGTCCATCAAGACTGTCCATCCATTATTTTCTAGAAACTAAACTAAGGATTAACTATGTTATTTAAAGTGTCATGTATGCTAACACTTTGAACAGTCATAAGCGAAATTATAATTTACCAAGTTTCACAGTTGAGTTTTAATTGTTTTACATTATTAGACGACATTTGACCATACTAATTCTATCAGAGTGGATTACGTAAACATCATTGGAATGTTAGTTTATTTATAGAGTTAGCACTATCTGGACTCTGACCATGCCTTGGTCTGCGCCAATCTTGCCTTACTTTTCAGTGGACAACGAAGTGACCGCCATCAAAGGATTGATATTAGCAAGCTGGTTGCAACCTCTGTTGCAAATAAGTATCGAACCGAGCTAGCTTCTAGGCTAGCTACCACTCCACCGAAAAGTATAGATGAGCATTGGTTGCAATTGCATGACGCCATGAAAATGGCGGGTACAGTCAGTTGTGGGTTTGCGAAACGTCCCGCTTATAAGCACTGGGTTTCTTCTGGTTCCTTACAACTTATTGAAGCCCGTCGGTCGACTCCGGGTGACCGTGAGTTTGACCATAAACGAAGGATATTACGTAAGGAATTTGGGCAAAGCTTGCGTAAGGACCGAGAAGCCTGGTGGTCGGAGCGTGCTAATGAGATGGAAGCAGCAGCTGCATCGGGTAACTACCGGGAGCTCTTCCAACTCATCCGAGCCACTGGCAGCAAGAAGTCTGGTGTGAGTGAAACAATCTGCGAGGATGATGGGATGCCAATCACTAACATCCATCGACGTCTTGGACGATGGGCAGAATTCTTCGAAGGGCAGTTCAACTGGCCTGCTGCTCCGGCAACATCGGTCAGACTGTCCTGCCCTCCATGGCCGGTGACGACTGATCCACCAAACGAGGAGGAAGTCCGCAAGGAACTCCAACTCTTGAAGCGTTACAAATCACCTGGCCCAGATGACTTACCTCAGGCTCTTTTTAAAGATGGTGGTGACTTTTTGACTAAGGAATTGACGACGTTGTTTACAAAGGTTTGGGAACTAGAGAGTGTACCAACGTCATGGAATGAGTCGATAGTTGTCCCTATCTTTAAAAAGGGTTCACGTCGTTCCTGCAACAACTATCGGGGGATAAGTCTACTTCCGATTGCGTCCAAGCTATTGGCTTCCGTCATACTTCGTAGGTTGTTCAAAACCCGAGAAAGATTGACTCGCGAGGAGCAGGCTGGGTTTCGTTCTGGTCGAGGTTGTATTGATCATATGTTCACCCTCCGCCAAATGTTAGAACATCGCCATACTTATCAAAGGCCAACAATCGTAGTGTTTCTTGACATCAGGGCTGCCTTCGATTCGTTGGACAGGACTGTTCTCTGGGATTGTCTATTGAAGAAGGGTGTGCCTGAGAAGTTTATTAACATCCTAAAAGCCCTATATAAAAACACCTCAGGCAGAGTGAGGGCATACAACCACCTCTCTCCATTGTTCTATACGAGTAGTGGGGTTAGGCAGGGTTGCCCAATCTCACCATTCCTCTTCAACTTTGCCATCGACGACATTCTGGAAACAGCTCTGATGAATGTAAGTAATGGTGGTGTGGATCTGTTGCTTGGAGAAAGACTTCTCGACCTTGAGTATGCGGATGATATTGTCTTACTGTGCGATAATGCCCAAGGCATGCAATCCGCACTTAATCAGTTGGCGATCAGTGTCCGTAGGTATGGTATGTGCTTTGCACCTTCGAAGTGCAAAGTACTTCTACAAGACTGGCAGGATTCCATTCCTGTACTCACCCTAGATGGTGAGCAGATAGAAGTAGTCGAGAAGTTCGTGTATCTGGGTAGCTGCATAAGTGCTGGTGGGGGTGTGAGTGATGAGATCAATGCACGTATAGTGAAAGCCAGAGCGGCTTATGCCAATCTGGGCCACCTTTGGCGCCTTCGTGATGTTAGTCTGGCTGTAAAAGGTCGGATCTACAACGCGTTGGTGAGAGCAGTTTTGCTCTATGGTTGTGAAACCTGGCCTCTCCGAGTTGAGGACGTTAGACGACTCTGTGTTCGATCATCGCTGTCTCCGAAGGATTGCTGACATTCAGTGGCAACACCATGTTAGTAATGCAGAGGTTCGGCATCGTGTGTTTGGGCACAGAGATGATAATTCAATTGGTGTCACCATCTTGAAACACCGACTTCGGTGGCTTGGACATGTTCTGCGAATGTCGTCCCAGAGAATTCCACGTCGTGCATTATTTGCCGACTCTGGGACTGGTTGGAAAAAGCGGAGAGGTGGTCAGTGTATGACATGGTGTTAGGGTATGAAAGAAAGCTGCAAAGGACTGGCTTCTGTCGGTCCTTCACGACTCCCTGGTTGGGGTCTGAGAGATGGTGCTACACAGTGGCTAGAGACGTTATCAGATATGGCTTAGAATAGAAGCCAGTGGCGATCCTGCTGTAACCTTCTTTTACTTTCTTCATAAAAAGTGGTTGTGTCTCCCTCACTTGAAAGATTTCTTCTGATTGTACCTTTCCGTTCCATCGTTACGACCGCACTACCTTTCACCAATCTCTTTGTTATCGTTCTCTTTTTCTTTTGTGCTCCTTAGTTTTTTTTTCTTTTCTCTCTTCGAATTTTCATTGTTTTGTGTGGCGCATATATATTGGCGCTCTCTTGTACCAATATTTATGTGCTCAAATAAATAAATAATAAAATAATAAATAAATAAATAGTTAGTGTCGGGGATCCATATAGAACCTGAACTCCTTTAGCTGCGGATATTTATAACCTCATTATACTTTATCACTTTGGGTTTACTAATTTTAGTCTTAGGGTTCTCCAAGCAGCATCCTTTGTGTGATAAGACCTAAACGAATGATTATTTCAACCAATATAGTTCCATTGGGTCTTGTTTATTGTCAAGCGTGACCATCATCATCAAGGTAGTTTGTACAGTAGGGTTCATTACATACAAGACAAGTGAATATTTTGCATTGTAATCATGAATACAATGAAAACGCTTAAATAATTACTTCCAACTCTGATCTTTTTCTTTTCATAAATAGAAAACTTCAATCTAATTCAGATTAATTAATATAAAATAATCAATATCCTTAGTGAAGTACGTTGATACAAGACAAATAACAGATATTAAGTGTAAACTGAGTAGTACTGGTACTTAATCGATTAAATGACTATAAATATTTTCATTGTCTAGGTCATTCGTCATAAGTTAATTGAATCAATCAATTATAAACTGCACACAACTGAAATTATTAAAGCGTCAAAATTCTCATCTAATATCATTTGTAGTTAGTCCATCATTTTCTATTAGGTTACTCATAGTTTTTCATTGTCGGAACTGAAAATCTCTGTTGAACAACAAAGGATATGGTATTCTTTTTTAATAAATTAACTCTTCTAAATTCTATGTTCACTTGCAGTTTACAAGATCTCTACGAATAATGATTATCTTTATAATTCACATACTATTGCTGTTGGCAGTACATATTATTTCTCAGATCTTTAATTTATTGTGTTCGGTTCAATTAATCTGGATTTTTTCTTAACGATAAGATCTCAAGGAACAAGTGATTTTTTAAATCATAGCTCAATTGATTTCTTCACTACTAGTGGGATGTCCAGTAACCTTACTCAAGTTATTTGTTTAAACATAAACATTGATAAAAAGTGACACCAATGTATATATATATATATATATATATATATATATATATATATATATATATATATATATATATATATATATATATATAGTTATTATTAAGTTTGTGTGTAGGTTGGGCTACTGCCGAAACCTAATAAAACAGTTTTCTCAGGTCCTCACTCCCGGATCTTTTGACATAGAAAAGACCTAATGAACAAGGGAGCAGAAATGCGGTCCAATAGTAACCGTTGACTAAAAATAGATTTATACGCCATTTTTTCCATGAGCATACTAGAGCCCATATACACCATTGGTTTGGAATCAAAGCTTTCTGACTCCTTCTAGAGGGGATCCTTTGCACCTGTTTTACATTAATGCAGTATCATTAATCATAGTTATCTTAGAAGTTTCATTATTAAATTTATAAGTCAGATAATAATATTGATATAGTTTTAATTTCATTTTGATATGACGGGATGGAAAGAAGTCGAAATTCGATTGATTGATTTATTGTTTTTTTGGTTGAGATCATGAATCAATTGATGTTAGACCACCGTTGGAAACCTGGAAGCACTGGACGACCGTTTCGTCCTAGTATGGAACTCCTCAGCAGTGCGCATCCACGATCCTGCGAGCGGGATTCGAACCCAGGACCTACTGGCTTCGCGCCTGAGCACTTAACCATTAGACCACTGACTCGGCATCCAATGGTGTTAGTGTCTAACGTCAACCAATCCACGAAATTGCGCGACCAACTTCCATTGTACTGAGGTAGATACCTGTCTCTCTCTCTCTTTCTCTCTCTCTAACATCAATTGATTCATGATCTCAACCAAAAACTTAACAATCTCCACAACCCCCATATCGATTGATTTACTCTAATTATGATTCTTACTCAACATTATTTCCATTTTGATTCAATGTGATGATTATTCAGTGTAGTAGTTGTTTTCTCGTATGATATTCTATATAACATACGATATGATTTCATCCTAATTACTAATCAAAAATGAGTGTCTGAATCAATATATAAATGAGTGTATTTTAGACTAAACTTGTCATGATTGTTTGTGCTTCTGGCTGCTTGTAAAATATATTTCCGTCTTACGAACTTGGACTTGTCACTCTAGTTAGCTGGGCTGGAACGTGTCGGAATAGCTAGCTTATCTGTCATTGTACCTCACAGAGTCTTCATTCCATTCCGAGATTAGGTGAACTCGTAATTTCTTCATATATAGCAAAATTTGGAGACGAGGTTGGCGCAAACATGGATCCCTCAAAAGCAACAGCTGAAACTTACCCAGATGTTAGCAGATACAAATATTTCACTTAACACACAACCAAGCACTTCTAATGCTGCTACTACTGCGTCTTCAGTTAATGGTATCGGGAGAAGTATCTATGAGTTTTATTACGATCCTGAGTCTAATATCACATTTGACATGTGGTTTCGGCGTTATGAAGACTTATTCCAATTTGATTTTGCTAATCAAGATGACGCTTGGAAGGTCCGCTTGCTGCTACAAAAACTGGGTTCAAGTGAACTACATAGATATTGTAAATTAATTGTGTCTCTAAACCCGCGTGACCGCTCATTTTCAGACACCGTGCGGTCATTGAGCCAACAGTTCGGAAATAACTCACTGTTCAACACGCGCTATCGATGTTTGAAGGTGACTATGAGAACGAAGACGCCGATTTGCTGTCGCATGTGGCCATCGTCAACCGCAAATGCAGGCGCTTCCGCTTGAAGTCGCTGACTGAAGATCAGTTCAAAGCCCTCATTCTCATCTGCAGTCTCCAATCGCAAAAGTTCAGTGACATCAGAGCGCGGTTACTGTGTCGATCGAACTAGGACCCTAAGTTGACTTTTGATGATATTGCAAGTGAATATCAATGTCCAATTAATCTGCAGCGTGACACTATGATGGTCCAGCGTGGTGGTTTCGATCGCCCTCAAGTACATATAGTCCAACAACCACCCAACTCGGCTAAATCCGCCCCAGCTATGCTCGAATTCAGTCTAACAGGCGAAGACGAATCCCTATGCTGGCACTGTGGTTCATGGTATTATGTGCGAGGTTGTCTTTATAGACAACATCGTTGCAGCGAGTGTAAAGCTGTGGGCCACAAATCGCTCCAGAAGTACTAAAATGCCTGACCCAACATTATTTCGTAGAGAAGAAAAAAGTCAGGATCTAAACTTCGAGTGTTCAAAAAAGGGTAGGTGATATGACGGTATGAAGTCAAAAATTGATTGATTTACTCATTATGATTCTTGTTTAACATTAATTCCGTTTTACTTCAATGTGATGATTACTCAGTAGTAGTATTTGTTTTGTTTTCCTGTATGACACATTTTTTTCCTGTTTCACTTAGACAAACTGAAACTGGTGTAAATGATAAAAACAAATCCAGTGAGAAATTATCATTGATAGACAATAACAATAATATCTATGTCTCGTATACGGTCAATGTTACAAATATACGAGTATTGGTTGGTTGTTTGGACTTACTCAACAAATTAAATTTATGGAATTGTTACAATCTTGAGGAAGAGAATTTAGTAGAACCTAAATGTATGTTTTTTTGATCTTGTATTTTTGTTCTGAAAATTGATTGACTACTAAGTAGTGACCATCGTTATGTTTGTCTAGTTCTTTTAGCTCTGATCGAATTCTATCCATTAAATTACAATATGACCATTAGTTTAAATGACTCGACATTTTGTACACTATATTTAAATGTTGGGCGGTTGGTCGTGGTCTTAATAGCTTAGTAGTATATCTTTAACTGTGAAGGTGCGTAATTCGGGGTCGGATCCCACAGAGGGCATCAGCCCTCTTAAGACAGCACGTACGTTTTTATGATGAGTGCCTTTTAGCAAGTAACCCAGGTTCAGGGTTTTCTGCCTACTATCTCCAGCTGTCTCATTTGATTATATGCTGTCTGTAAAATTATATTCTTTATAGAGTGACATCAGTGTTTATTGAGTATGAAATATTTAATGGTGGTGGGATGATGACCAACCTTAATTAGTGTTTTTAGTATATATTTCAACCCAGTAGGAGCCTGTTTGTATTGACTGAAGTATTGCTCTTTTTCGTCAACTGTTTACTTGTTGGAAAACGGGAGTATATACTTACGTTTGAGCGTGATGATGTCACTTACTGTTAGTTTGAGCCATATAGGTAGATACGTATTACCGGTTTAGAGTTCGTGCGGTAACTTCAATCAATGATTAGAAACATTAAGTGACTTGACCCAGAAATCGGTCACAATGACATCGATGCATTCAATCTGTATCTTGATTCTCAACATTCATTTATGTATACGTTTTTAATCATTTTGTTAGAGCCATGTTCTCGATGTTGGATATTTCTCATTATCATTACTCCTGCATTTGTTTCGACTTCTGTGCCAGTAAACTTCATGTCATCATGGTGATTCACTACTAGAACTTGTGTTAATACTCTGTGACCGACTGACTAATTGAGGTCGAGTGATATAACCAATCTTCACACATGAAATTACACTCAAAATCGAATAAATAACATCCTAAGGTGGACAACCATCTACGTTTATTATTATTTTGACAATTACTCAGAAAGTGTCACTAATTCTTACATAGGTTGATTTTATTATACGAAAAATATCGTATAACACCAATGATGTGTGTCACACCTAGTGGGTAACCGGATATTGACTTAATCAATTGTACTAGTCTGCTGGAACCTGACAAAATGTAGGCAAAACACTCCATTCATTCTTTGAGTAATTATTTAATAGGTAGATCAAAACAATTCTTTTGTGCAATAGATTTTTACTGTTTCCCTCTTGTACGATTCGTCAGCTTATGAAAGACAATTTGCAATTAATCTTTGAAAATGTTAAGAAAAATAATTAATTATATAGGAGGCAGTTTTATATAGATTGTTAGATTTTATACTTTACACCACTCATCTTAGTTAAATAACCAATAATAGCCAGGAAGCACTTGATAGCTGTTTCGTCCTGGTATTAGAATCTTTACTAGGACCCATCATAGGTTTGACCCATGACTTTCAGGTCTCACGCTTTGCACGTAACCTTCGGACTACCCCATGAGCATCGGGTGATTTAACTTCGATTGAATCGGTATTAATTGACCATCGTCTAATGCAATGAATAGGTAACTCCCCCACACAATATAGTATGAGTAATACAGATTCTAGGATCCTGACTGAATTTGTATGCACTCAAGTAAGTATTCAGTTCACAAAATAAAAAGCGGCTAGGTTTATTGAGTACAAAGAGACGCTTTAGACGAAATACGGAACATCAAATACTTAAATCAACCACCACGGAAGTAATTAATAAAAGACGCAGTTGAAGTTTTACTATAATCAGCGTAGATTTCTTTTCGTCGGGAGATTTATCATATTGTTTCTTAAAAATTCACTGTACCATCCCCATTGGTTTTCTTTCTATTTCCTCATTAATCATATCTGATGATAGTCATAGAAAATAACCTTGTCCGGGAAGTTGTGCCATACACAAACAGTTTTTAGTTTTTTTTGGTGATATTTTATTGTTCATGGGAATAGCGTTTTTATGATTAAAATCTTACAATTTACTCCTGATTTATTGATTACTGAGAAGTAATTATATCCTTTCAGCGCATTTCACTGAAAGTTGAAATAAGGTTTATTTCATCATTGTCTTATATTTTTCTAGCTGATGGACGTACATTACCGTTTGGGAGTAATAATACATTCAGTTTCGATGATCAATCTGTTCTACGTGTAAGCAATTCTACAATGATTTCTCGATTATGTTTGATTAATCCATTCAGTTTACGTATATTGATCAGTCGTCGAGTATGTTGCATGAAAGATCTCACTTATATATCAAGTCCTAGATCATCATCATTAAATTATCCTCCGTATTTGTGGATAACAATAAAACAAGAATCATGTGTCGTTCATTTGTCAAATACAAAGATATCGGATTTACTCTCCTGTATAAAAGCATCTCAATGTCAATTAAATCGAATTAAACCTATGAAATGGAAATGTTCTTCAATGATGAAAAAATTCAATCGTATTCGTAATCACAGCATATCATTTTCCGATTCAAATGTACACTCTAATTGTAATACATTTAAACATAGATCACATCATACAAGCATATCTGTATCTCAGTGTTGTCATTGGAGGGATTGTTGCGGTGAGAAATCAGCTGATAATTTCTCGTCTCCGACAATATTTGATTTTAAACGAAAAAAACTTATCGCAACTTATTCCATCCAATCATTCATTATTCAGTTTGAATCAAAAGGTTTGGTCATATTAATTATTATTATTATTATTATTATTATTATTATTATTATTATTATTATTATTATTACTATTATTATTATTAATGCACTTTTTCAGTGACTAGCGTTGAGATGAATCCTCATATTAGTAGGCCAAAGTCTAAAGAACGATAGAATTCAACAAGATCGTGAGAAAAAGGAAAGTATGATCAATAACACTTGATAGTAGTTGTACAGTATTTTGAATTAGCTGAAGTTATAAACATAAACCGCTGTATTTCAAAGCAGCGGTTTATAGGTAACTGACTTACTAAAACGTTTGAAGGCTTTGGGTATTTAGGCCTTGAAGAGTTCTAATTGCGGTTTGCTGATGTGTTCTTTAACATTTCTTTGTAATATTTACAAAATCTAGACCGTAGAAAGTGATATTAAGTAACAACTGATCTACTTTTCATTTGTATGCGACTCCCTAGAAGCTCTCATTGGTTTCAGGGTTAAGCACTCTGTGGGAACTGAAGGTCTTGGGTTAAATCTTTATTCAGGTTATGGATGCATATTTTTGAGAATTTCCATACTGAATTGGGACTGTTATTCAGTACACCCGTGTGTTCAATGACCCATGATGTAACCTACAAAATTCGGCAATCACCATAAACCCCACTTACCATACATAATTTGGAGTTTTTTTAATACCTACACTAACAGTTTAGTGAAAAGATATTTTATTTTATACAATTCTTACTTACATCTAGATCGTCCTCTGGCAGAATGTCGTCTAGATGGAGCAGTTTGCAGTTTATCAGTCTATCATGGTTCACCTATTCCTTATTGTTTACAATTTAAGCTGAATAGAATTTCGATGGTGGATGCCGTAAGCAATTTAGGTGGTGTATACGATGTGATTGTGAATTCTGATGAAAAAATTGAAAGGTTTGAATATATTGCTTAATATTCTGCCTATTTTATTATTTACTTTCTTAATTTAATTATTATAAACCATTTAACTTACATTCTCTTTGTTTACATGAATGAGGGCTAATGATATTACTACCCAGCTACTCAAATCAACATAACCGAGAGCTGAGTGTAATTCACACTTTCGATAAAATCCCTAACTTATCATAGATTATTTGTCTTTTGATTAATTATTGATACCGATAGAAGTATACTTTTTTGGAACAATGGTTTGGAAATCAAATCATTTAGCTTCCAACAAATTTGTTCAAAATGTATTTCTCCCTTCAGTCTAAGCAACCAATTGAATATTACAATTGAATACCAGTGAATAGTAGATCAAAGTTTGGAGTTCATCAACATATAGTTGGTTTCTGAAAATCGCATCTTTAATTTAACTTTATTTTCATCATAAATTTTTATCTACTGCCTAAATTAATCTTGATATTTAAACTTGATTCTTTGAATTGTTCATTATTTTCTCTCTTTTTTTTAATTACAGTACTGATTCACCTGATCTAATTATTCGATTAAATAACCAAGCTAATAATGATAGTAATAATAGTTCATCTCATATTTGTAATGTTTTAAGCGTAAATTCTACATTATCAACAATTGGTTGTATTCCTTTATTGGATCATATCTGTCCTGAAAAAGTATTCAATGGTAAGTTACTTTGTTTACTAATGAAATGAATTAATTGGTTCATTTCTAAATCTACTATTGAGTTGTTATTAGTTTACTAAAAGAAAACAAGTGAAGAGAACCATATCAACAGAAACCTACAATAGTATTGATGCATTTTAATAACTAGTAACGAAATGGATAAATCATAAAACAAATATCTTCGTAACTGTGTGATGTTAGCTGACGTAAGAGTACGTTGAAAGAAAGTTGGGGGCGGATAAATTAAAACTTGGAGTCACTCCATGAAGAGATGTATTAATAGATGAAAACTATTTAGTTCCATCTGATGATCGTAATCAATATTTGGATAATATAGCTAAAGATCAATGCTGATAACATAAATGCATTAATTCCTTGTTTTTTTGCTAAATGTTAGCTTTTAAATTATTTATACCTTTCTTATTCTGCTAAGTCATTTCTTATTTCCGATTCATATTGTCTTTGTCTACGCGTTTCTACTACCATTAATAATGTTGTTCCCTCTACTACTCTGATATTTGTTTAAAAAAAACTGCATTTCGGTGTGTTGATGTGGTGTGACAACTTAAACCGATGCAGATTCCTGACAAGCTCTGCGTTGACAGAACAACTAGCTCCTAGCAATTTTGACACATTTCAACTAGAATCCTCAACAATACAATATGACTGAATAATTGGGTCATCATAAATTGATAGTTCTCATTAATGAATACAAATTGGACCAATTGCATTAGATTTATAGAGTAATATCACTTTATTTTTTCTCTTGTAACTATTTCTCAATCTTATTCTGTACTCTCTATCGTCGTATCTTTAATTTTTGGGCGAGGAAAATAATGATTGTTCGTTTCTTTAATCAGACTAGTAGATATTCTGATAGGCATTGGATGAATTATATATTTTCCTATCTTTATTATAGCTAAATTTTGTTGTCGGTTTTCGGATTGGAAATATACTTACGTTCTAGCCAAACTCGTCACTTCTTGATCTGAATTATGTTGAAGTCCTGTAGAATAGACACTGGGAAGGTATCTGGTGTAGATATTCGTATAAGGTACATTTGTGTAAGGGAGAAAAAAACCGAGCACTATTTCAATGGCTACGGTGGTTGAAACGGATCTACGCCTATATATTCAGTTAAAGTGAATTTTAGATCAATAAAATGGATGATCTGAAATCTTTATTACAATAGCAAAATGCTCTCATCGAATTGTTGGTCAGCATCCTCAAAAACCGAGGTATCTAATTTCAGTATGACTTCGGATTATACTAGCTGTAATTTTAATAGCTGAATTCATCAATCCATCTGAGCGAGACCACCATTGAATACCTTGACGCACTCGATGATTATCTCATCACTATGGGTCTCCTAAGGACTGCGCACGTGGGACTCGAGCCGATGGCCTTGTCTCTCGTGTGCGAACGCTTAATCTCTCGACCTTTGAATTGTATTCAATGGGTAATCTCTAACTTCAATCGATCCGTGATATCGCGCAACCTTTCCTCCATTGTCTGATGTGGATAACTGTCTCCACCCAAACAGGGATTGTTCTTCACTAGTCATAGCGTCTACGATGTACTAGTCTAACTAAGGACCAATCATCACTACTGAAGTATAATCTCTCCAACATAACCGTGATCGAGTCTACTGGCTAATTTATTCTAAAATGTCCAGTGTTAGCTATTTTTCAAAGTAATTACTTATATATATCTCACAGATTGAAATCATGAGTCAGTTGAAATTTCTAAAATCTCCACAAAACCCATTCTGATACTTATATATGTATCAATTTGGATAATTTCGAATTCAGTACTTTTTATCGAAATGTTTTAAATCACTATTTTGTAACGCGATATAATTTGATTTCTTTGGTTATGAATTATAATGTAGTGAACGAGAACACGCGTAGGGAAAAACGGATGCATTTAGCACAATAAGTACAGTCTATTTCAACAATATCTGAATACCATATATTAAATCGTCAATTTTCAAAATATTCACGCATCAAATCAAACTGGATTGTTTGTGTTGCCAACACCAATCCATTGTCTCCCATTCCATTGAACATTGGTTTTCTTACAAATTCCATTATGTTCTCCCTCCATCTTTCTTGATCTTCGACATCTTTTGCTGCCAGACATTACGTTCTTTTAACGAACGTTATACACTACTTATATCAATATAAGTAGCTCACACCACAATAAGACATTTTCTTAGATAATTACGTTTTTTTAAATGATGATTAATACTGTCTGTAGTTTAGTTTTTTTTCTTCACTTTATTATTTCATAATTTATATTGAATGTACTAATATTTTAGTCAAGGAATCTTATGATTTTGTTACGGGTACTCTATCATGGTCTCCATCGCCTGATTGTTTATCTCATAATGAAGTGATTCATTCAATTGGAACATATTTCATTCAACTAAATGTACACTGTTTCAATATTATTGGTGAGTAGTATTTTTATATAATAATAATAATAATAATAATAATAATAATAATAAACACTTGAATACTTCATTGTTCGGTGTAACTCATTGGATATTCGTAATTCGTTTGAAGATACACTTTTGTTATATGAAAATCTAATCAATTGACTCAGTTTTACAAAAAGGAAGTAGATTGTCCATTACATTGATAACCAGTCAGTAGCCTTGTCTAAGTGGTCGTGTTTATATCTTACAGGGAATTAAGACATATGTTTTATGAATGGATAACTTATTCAAGTCTAACTAATTCTTTAGTTGATATATATATATTTACTGGAAGTTCAAGAATTGTATATTAATTTACAAATTGTAGTAAAATAACGGTTCATTGTATTCAAATCTTTCAAAAATTCGTCAATTAGTTTCAGTTTGTAAAAATTCTATGCAAATTTAGTAAAATTACTTAAACTGATTGGGTAACCTTGTAGGTAAAATGTATTATAAGATAGAGACTGGCCTGAGAGATTCTTATAATGATCATATGATTTTGAATTCAATGTTTAGCTAATTATTAAAGGATCAATCAAAAGTATTTTGTACTAGAAGTAATGTTAACATGTTAGAATTCAGTGGGTTTTTTTAAAACGTTGGTCAGTTTTTTCAAGGTATATTATAAGTTTTTCAATCTTAATATTTCATTAAAGTTGTTACATAACCTTATTGACCTAAATACAAATTTATTCACGGCCAAGTTTTATTTCGGAACCCGTTTCTTAGTTATAAATGATTCGTTTAGAAAAATTCATCATTACTGATAAAAGGTTTACACAGAAATTCACTGAAAAGTTAAATAATCATAAGTAAACCATCATTATCGTTATCTACATAGAAAAGAGTTACATAAATATCATTATCATCTCATTCTTCAATGTTACATCCTTGATCCGTCTGTCCATTAGTATGCGGATGAGAATTTTTCTGGAACCAGTTTATAGCCATGACGTGATAAGTTATTGAATCCAACCTGGAAGTCAACAGTGAATATATCGGATTTGTGACTAGACGACCCTGAGGTCAGATGAGGATTATTCTAACACCTGATAAGTTGGTTAGCAAAAAAAAGAATGAAGAAGTGTGAACGAGTTTGCTGTAACGCTGCTTGATTTACTTCTGATTCAGACAACACACGAATAACTAGATAATTAACACGACTACAACACAAAAGGTATCAGTAAAATACAATTATGTCCAAATTAAGCATTAGGGTAGAAAAAATGAATTACAAAAGGTTACATTCAAATTTCAATAATTTAGGAATAATATCAAATGGATTTTGTGGATATGATATTGAAATTTAGGAATAGTAAAGAGTATGAATAGGCAATCATCGACAGTTCATGATTTATAGACTAAACCAGGGACAAAAGTAAATATTAGTATTTTACAAGCTTTAAATTAAATGAAATAATGTTCTCAAGTTTGTCTCCTATTGTTCATTCCTGTTTTTTTTTCTTTAAATTTCTCTCTTTGCCTTAATCAGTTCACCGATTAGTTCAGTGTTACCACTAATAAGATGAGATTTTTTTCGGATTCACTATAAACAAAGTAAACATCAACCAGGAAAAATGATTAATTCACATGTTATGTAAATAAATATTGTGAGATGGTGGAGAAGATTTGTAGCTCAGGTGGATGATTTTGATGGAGTTTTGTTCTCTGAGCTCAGAGAACAAAACTCCATCAAAATAAATATTGTTCTCAATTAGTTTTTCTCTATTCTCTACTTTCCATTGGTCAATTAAATAAACTACATAACTTGATCTATGTACACGGAAACATAATATTTCTTCTAATCTTGCGTTTTTTTTTCTGTCGTAAAGTTTAATTTGACTTTGTTCTTGTCATCCTCCATTTGTGTGTGTGTGTGTGTTTTCTTTTCTGATTTTCTTTGTTAGGTAATCCAATTACTGTAAAATCTATCCATGAATTTCTAAACAATCTCTACTGTTCTACAATGTTTGATCAGTCAGCATCATCCATGGAATGTTGTACTATTGATTCTGAACAGAATAGTTATCGGATATCATCTTTAATGAATAATTGGAATAATAATAATGCATCTACATTCATCAAATACGAGTTTAAGTTATCAGTTGATAATATAAAATTATTATTAATCAATCAATTCGACGTTAAACATCAAGACCAAAATGTGAATGTGTCAGTGAAGAGAATTGCCGAAATAATATTCTCCGGTTTACAAATAAACTTCTATCATTCAAGTCAGTTGATTTTATTATTCAAGTTTTAATTTTTGTAATGAATATCAATCGGTCAGTCATGAGCAGTTTAGAATCTGTCATATATATGGATCAATGTACTTCATCTTACCACATCAGTGGTTACTTACTCCTGTTACTTCTCTTGAAGGAGCATAGACCGCCCACCAGTATTCTCTATCCAACTGTCCTGGGCAATCCTTTCCAGTTGTTTTCATTTGCTATTCATCGTTTTTATGTCTGCTTCCGATTCTCAGCTCAGTGTATTCTTTGGTTTTCCTCTTTCCATTACGACTTCGGGATTCCAAGTTAGTGCTTGCCTCAGGTTGCAGTCTAGTGATTTCTTCAATGTATGTCCTATCCACCTCCATTTTTTCCTAATTTCCTCTTTATCTGGTAGCCGGTTTGTTCTCTCCCACAATAGGTTGTTGCTGATGGTATCCGGTCAACGAACATTGAGTATCTTGTGTAGACAATGGTTTATAAGTAATTTTACCTTTTTCATGATGGTTGTAATAGTTCTTTAAGTTTCATCTCTGTACAGTAGAACTGTCTTGACGTATGTATTGGAGATTGTGACTTTGATATTGGTTGACAGTTGTTTTGAGTTCCATATATTTTTCAACTGTAGGAATAGTGCCCTTGATCTACCTATTCTTGCCTTTACGTCTGCATCGGATCTTCCTTGTTCATTGATGACGCTACCCAGGTACTTGAAGGTTCCTACATATCCAGAGCTTGTCCATCAAGTGTGATTGGGTTGGTCTTCTTCGTGTTGTCTTTGAGGGTCTTGTTTTTTCCCTTATGTTTAGTGAGGCCTCCTAGTACAGAAGCTACTATACCACATTAGTCTTCATCTGCTTTTGTTACTGTGTTATCTGCGAAGACCAAATCGTCTAGTTACATCCAAGTTTTCCATTGTATTCCGTGCTCCCCCTTAAATGTGGAGGTCTTCATAATCCAGTGAACCACCAGCGAGGTGAAATTATGAGGACAAGTACTAGGGCAGTAGAAGTTGCGATTTTATCGGTGGTAAAAGATTTGATTAAGTATATACGATATAATTCTAAAAGAAAACATTGACTTTCGGAGTGAAAAATCATGCGATAATTTTGTAACTTAAGATAAGGCTAAGAGTGGAAGCATCTGAGCCGTCTCACCCAATTTTTCCAAACACTATTTACGATACTTGCACACACTTCACGTCAGTAGTCCTCGCTCACCTGCTGAATGCAACTTAGCAGTCAATGTTTTCATAAACTGATATAAAATCTTGGTTTAACTATCTCCAACTATCTGTAAACCTACTTCTGCATCGCTCAACAAAGCCCGTTCATTTAATCAGTGGTTGGCCGTACGTAATATGTTTCCTAACCATCTCAGTCGATGGGGATTCATAATTTTATTGATAGATTTGTGGATTCAATACTTGAATTTATTTATGACTTTACTGTACCTTTTTCTTTGGTTTCTACTCTCTGAGTATAAAGTTAAATATTTTCTACGAATATTATAATTAATTGTTGTAATATTTAATTCTAATTCAGTTAGTGATAAAGACAAATATGTTTTTGCTCAAGTTGCCACATATTACATGAGCGTGATAAAAAGAAATGATTTAAAATAAAAAGCAAAGAAGGCTCATTCATAGTAAAGTCAATGATAGAGCAAGGTTTTTGAATTTGTAGTTTGCAGATTGACTATAATTAAACAATTACTGAAAATCAGGAAACACTACGTTTTGAAACTCCTTAAATGTGTGCATTAAAGATCTCACTCACAGATAAAACTCAGAACCTTCCAGCGCTTAACCTGGTTTGGACTTTTAACTTCGGTCAATTTATTATCTTGGGTTATCCATAATCCAATACTACTAATGAGTAACTACCTTGCTCCCGATATGTTTGAACGTCACTACTCACCGCTTCACACTAAAACTTCGATCGACCCTGGGAGTTATTCACTAACGAGAACGTGATTTTGTTAGTGTGGGAGGTTCATGTCATTACAACTCACTGGTTTGAAGGGTCATCGGTCAACGCGATTCTTGAATGTCTTTGGTCGGATCCCTGGTGGGACAGTTTTTGTACACTGGTGAGATACCCCATGGTAGGACTCCTAGCTGTGAAGTGTTTTTCAGTTTTTATTTGTTTTCTGATTACAATTATCGCATGATGTAAAATGCAAATATCAATGATAGTCGTAGAGCAAACATATTAATACAGTTCATAAAGAATGATGATTCACTGCTAAATGAGATCAAACACCTCTGTCTTCAGTCTCGTGATTAATGCACAAAAGTGAATACATTACCCGTATATGCGAACTAACTTGTTGAAAATACGGACGGTTGAATTCCAATTTAATCGTTTAGAAGATAACCTGCTAGATGAGAAGCCTAAAAATTATGGCTTTTCCTCAATATGGAGCTCCAGAACAAAACCAAACACCTGTTCATTATTCCTTGGTTTTCCATGGTTATATGGAGCTGCAGTCAGTCCGTGGTTTAACCAGTCCTCATTTTCTCATTGTATATTTATACATCTGTGTTTAATGCTTTGCTGACTTAGTTGTTTTTGTGTTTTTTTCATCAAACGGTACATATTTTCTTTAATTTAGGTTTATCAAATTCAGTATTATTGAAACTTCAATGTTTTCAAATTATACCGTATCGTAATTCAAAATTATCAGCTGATCAATATTTGTTAGGACCTGCTCTTTCATTATCCACCTCAGATCATCACCATTCTAATCAGGTCACATTGGAATATGACTATGGATTGATTGGATCATCCAATTATTTTCCACGTAAAACTAATAAACATCTCCAAATTAGTTTATCCAATATTGTATATATACATCTCATTCATGAATTACATGAGATATTATTTTGGTTTAAACAAATTCTTCCATTATTATGTAATCAGTCTTCTGTCACTAATAATGATCAATTATCTATAGATAACATGGATTTATTATTCAATTGGCCTGAATTGTCAATCACTTTCAATAATCCTCTGATTTTAGTTCCTTGTAAATCAAATCAATTTAATCAATTTTTATTAATTGGAACTAAACTTATTAAAATCAATCATTATTCCTCATACTGTGATGCATCATTGTCGAATTCCTCTATTACTATGATACAACATGAAAGAGTGAACAAGTCATATTCTATCCAGTTATATTTTATCGATTTCGGTGTATTTCTTTACACTAATAGTGATAACGCGAAGACATTATCTAAACAATATTTATCATCGTCATCAACTATCTATTCAGATTCGTGGGTGAATTTTTCATCTTTACATAAATTTTGGCTTAACTCTTATAAATTGGATGACAGTATGGTAACAGCAACTAAACAGAAATCACGGCATCACATCATTATGTCACCAATAAACTTTTCTGCACATGTAAGTCGATGGGCGGGGGGTCACCTCGGCTTTTGTTGATTTTGACATAAATGTATGACAGATGGAAATGAATTCATATTGTACAATCATTTTTTCATTACATCATTAGTTCTCAAGTGTGTAGAAGTAAAGAGTATCGAAACCTTTGAAACTACATAGTGTATTTATTAATTAAATGTTAGAAATGTAGTAGCAGTGAACAAGTATTTCGTCTCTATATGAGTGCAGTTAATAATATGTAGTCGTAACTGCTACAAAAAGTATAATCCAGGGACTGGGCATACAATATCACGAATTGATTAAAGTTAGAAATGTAAACCATTGGTCTTAAATTTGACTGTTCGCTAGGTGGCCTAATGATCGTAAGTATAGTGGTCATTAGGAAGGCTGTAGGTGTGCTATGTTAGGACGAAACAGCTATTTAATGCTTCCTGCTTCCCAATGATTTTTTCTAGCTAAGGTAACTTCGTGTGCGACTAACTAAAATGACAGTTATAATTCCGTTCTAGATGTTCATTTGGATAACTAGTTGTTCTACATCGTTCGAATAGTTATTTTGTTGAGATGCAGGTATCAGTTCTGTTAGGTAACTATTAATTCCTTATTATCATCATTTATTATAATAACTTTGCCAAGTTAGGAGGATAGAAATGTATCCTAGACATGGTCGCGTTATTCCTCACTTACTTAGTAGGCATGATGTTTTATCAACGATGAGATGAGAGTGTGCTGTATCGTCTCAAACATATATAAATGACGAATACTCGGTGCTGCTAACTGTCAACGTTGCTGTTTATTATTTGTTCCAACATTCTTCCGCAATTAGCTAGTAACTGTTACCTTTTTAGTAGGAAATTATCCTGTTTATGTTCCACCTGCTATGAAAAGCCAAGCATGTTCAGAATGTGGTTCTCTCCTAGGTGCAAAATATTACCTCAGGGTTAACCTATATTTTCTCCTAGATTGATCACAGGTATTGATGTGGGTAAATGCATCTATTTTTCCACTTCTTTCAAAAGTCTTATCATCTAGAGTGGGTTTATGTCTAACGAAATTCCTACACGTATTCAGAAATATCGGTTGGTGGATTTCCAACTCGTTGCATTTGTGGTGTGCGCCAGTTATTCATCCGCAAACAATACGTCAAGCATAATGCGCAAGTTTTCTCCGTATTTCTGTATTTCTATGATAAAACCCTTTACAAATCAAGAGTATTCATAGGTTACTAGTACTCGACTATAGTAGCCTTGTGGCAGTTCATGAAATCACCGACTGTTGATCTTAGCCATCCTGATAGATGCAGTCTAACTGGTTTGGATCCGGGCAATAACTGCGATCAGTGGTTGAAAAGGAATGACATAGATGAGGGAATGACTGTGATATATATCCATTTTGTGTTTTACCTTTTCATTTCGTCTTCTTGAAGATGGATTTTTAGTGTTGCAAACTATCATTGATAGTTAACTCTTTTGTTGTTAATGTCATGTTGTATCAATGCAATATGATGGATTTTGCTAGTACACATTGCTCTCTTCGTCCATATTGATTATGACTGACTTGTTGTTATTCTATTGTGTATGACTTCAGACATTTAAAATTTTTCGATATAAAATAATTTATCTGAAAACGTTATTGGTACTTCTTCTATTGTCTTTTTATAAACAGATGGCCTATGTGAAATCAAATTTTCCAAAATGTTTTTCCACATTCAATTCACGCTTTCAATCAGTTCGTTTCAATTTTTCTGATTTCGTCATGATGCATTCTATGACATTGAATCATACCACTGACGATAATAATATTACTGAAGATTATTCTACTATAAGAAATTCACCGTCTCCATATCGATTATCATCCACATCTCCTGCTTCTAATATGAATTTACTGTTATTTACTGAACCAATTAATGCTCAATTAATTATAGAGTTCTATATTCAAACTGTATATATTAATTTGACTAAAATGAATTGTAATTTGCTAACTAACGTAATTCAAGAATTAAATAAAGAGTATTGTGATTATTGCTGTAACAATTGTAGTTATTCGAATATTAAATCTTCACAGTATAATCAAACAGAATTATTTCAGGTAAGTTAAGAAAAACCTCAATATACTTAGATTATGTTTACGGTTCTTTTGTCTATGTAACCTGTTTGTTTAACAAAGCAATATAATGATGTCGAAGATGGTTGAGATCGCTTATGCTTTAAAAACACAACTAAATAGGGACCGAATATACGATAAAATTACCTTTTGTGGAAACTTATAAACATTCTTATAAATACAGTCCACTTTATCTTAGTGATTTGTATGTAGAAGTGTTGAAGTGCTTTTGGTGTTTAACTCCTAAGGCTTTGTGTCTTCAAATATCAATACTATTAAGGTTCTTGAAGTGATTACACAACAACTCATTCAAATACAATACACAGTACGAGTATACAAGCTGCCTTAAATTGATATAGGCCTTGAACCTGTAATTCAGTAATATATATTCGAATAATTTAACCACTGGACCACTATAATCCCATATTTTAAAGATTGATACTTTGTCGATTAACTTATTCACCAAGTACAGATTTGTCTACTTGACTTCAAGCTAAACTATATGACTACAATTTTTTCCACCTTTGATATAGATTACCAAGTGTACATATAAACGGAGCAAAGTAGTTGTAGGCAGTATATAGAAATTTATAGACCTAATGTTACTGTTAATCTGGTAGAAACAAACGTTCCTTGCTAAATTTGAACCCTGATCTCCTAGTTTAAAATATAATCACCTCATTATTAGTGTTACATATCAATCGAAAACAATCATCATTGCTTTTCAAAAGATCTGTTCACTGATTTACTTTGGTTGAATATTAGTTTGTTTTTCTGACTATTTTCAATTGGTATGACTTGCGATTTTAATGTCTAAAATTTTTTTCTATAGTTATGTGAATGATTGCATCACTAATTAACTTCATATTGTTTATTGAGAAATGCTTAAAATAACCTGCTTAGGTTTAAGCACCCGGAGAGTATTCCAGCCCTCACACAAATTGAATGATGAACTTTGGCGCATATACATTTTCTACTTCCTTGTACCAATGTTTATATGTTTAAATAAAAAAAATAGATAAACAAAATAACGGACAACCAATCAGAAATAAAGAGACCAATTTATATCATTACAGAATGTCGATTACGAAACGTAAATAATGAGTTGAACTTATAAAGAAACAAAACACAATTACGTAATTAAAATCGGTATTAAGAATTTACGATTAGAAGTTTAGGTTAGAATGGAGTTTGATTAGTTAGTCTATGTATTAAATAAATATCATTGACTTTTATTAAATGTTTTCTAATTGACTTAACATATGAGATCATGAGTCAACTGAAGATAGACCACCATGAAAAACCTAGAAGCACTGGATGGCTGTTTCGTCCTACTGTAGGACTCCTCACCAGTACGCGTCTAGGATCCTACTCCGTGAGGTTCGAACCCAGGATCTATCCGTAGGACGAAACAGTTGTCCAGTGCTTCCAGGTTTTTCATAGTGGCTTAGGTTCAATTGACTCATGATCTCATCTATTAAAATTACTTATAATATCCACAAAACCTCTTCTGACTGAATATAATGAAGAATTTCTTTATCGTTCTACCATTTGTTTGTTTATTTGTTTTCTTCTGTTTATTTTTCAAAGCTTCCTTATCCTGATCCAAATATTATTGTTTCTTCTATGAAATCAAAAACTTCTATGGAATTTGGATTATTTATAAATTGTATGAAAATGAATATATTAATATTTGGTGATTTAGATATTATCCCTATACCATTAGTATTATTAACATTAAATGATATATATATTTCATCTAGTTTTCATTTATTAATAAATGGTATTAAAATGCCATCATGTATACAGATTAATATAAATAATATCCATTTAATAAATCAACTTGAAAAGAAATTCAATTATATACCACAACAACACCAACAACAACAACAAAATAGAACTAGTTCAACATTCAATACTCATTACTTAAAACAAACCAATTCAAAAAGTATTTTATTAAAATTGAATAATAAAATTGAATTGAAACGAAATAATGATTATTTAAATACGGTAGTACAATGTAGAAAACATCATTTATCATATGCTGCTACTGCTAATGGTGTTGCTGCTCCTGATGATGACAGTGTTTATGAATTAAATCAAGTAAGTTGAATTAAGTTTATTTATTGATACTAACTGATATTGATAATTACCATGTGCTTACTTAGTGACTAGCTTTGTGAAGGAATTCTTGGACGTGACTAGTGCAGCTAATCCGTGTCAGGTAGAGACAGGTATCTACCTCAGTACAATGGAAGATGGTCGCGCGATTCCGTTGATTGGTTTAGATTAGACATTAACACCGTTAGATGCCGGCTCAGTGATCTAGAGGTTAAGCGTTCCTGCGCAAGAGTGAAGGCCCTGGGTTCGAATCCCGCGAACGGGATCGTGGATGCGCACTTCCGAGGAGTCCTACAATAGGACGAAACGGCCGTCCAGTGTTTCCAGGTTTTCAATGATTGTCTAATATCAATCGATTCATGATCTCAATTTGAAAAAAATGGCTTTAATTCATTTTCGTATTGGTTGTTTGAACTAACCCATTGATGTTTAGAACTGCAATTGATCAGTGTCTTATTGGTATATGTGTATCCTGTGTGGATTGCCTCCATATTTATTGCCATAAGTTACAAGCATTCTAAGAAGAGATAGATGGTGGCTAGCAGCTCTGGGTTGAAGGTATATTCAACTGAGGAGTTCCGAAATAGGACGGAACGTGAATCCTGGATTCCACTGCTAGCCGCTATCCATCTCTGATATTAACTTTGTTTTAGTTCAATGCTTCAATGTATGTTTCTTTTAATACATCAAAATACACATGTTTACATTTGATTCTTATTTTATGACTGTTTTGTATGTGTTGTTAGTTGAAGTGAGTTTTTGTTGTTCAACTGTGAGAGTAGAAGATTAGAAGAAATAACTTTTATATATGAAGTCTTCGAATGCGAAGTGTGAAAATGTTGATTACAATTTGTTTAAGGATTGCCTAACTGATTTATCTGATTGTCCAATAGGTAATAATTCAAATAATTATTAAATGGTTGTGTATCAACAAACTATCAATTATTAGATCATATGTTCGAACTACACTAAATTTTCTCGATTTAGATCACTTGTGATAGTATATTTTACCATTTATACATAAATGTATGCTTCTCAAATCAGTGTACTTAAACCTGTTAATAAGTCATATGGATCAACATGATTGTAAGAAAACAAAGTGAGATTAGATTCTATATCCCAATTTTTTTTAGATTATTTCATACTTTTATATTTTCTGGTATGATAATTAAGAGTAAAGTAGATTATGGTTATCTTTTGTTAGTTTTAATTTTTATAAGAAACCATAGTATTTGTTCTAATTTCATTTGTAATGATTTGACATATATCTTTGTTTATATTTCGAATGATGTTTAGTCACTCTTAGTTAGGTAATTGGACTCGGTAGCTAAGTCGATAATGTATCGAGAGGTTTGTGGTGAAAAGCACTAGATTGGTATCTTGGATTGGAAATTAATGTTGGGTTACAGGTACATCTAGCTAACGGGTCCCCAATAGGGTTAAATGCGCATTCTGGATTCTACTGTTTGCATAAACTTGTAAGGGCTGTATTGAGGAAATACACACGGGATTCACATTTACCAATTAAAACTGGTCAAAATATCAACAACGCGATATTTCAAGTCATTACAAATTAAATTGAAATTCATACCTGTTGCACAAGCTAGTGGTTATCTGAACTCTGTAGCTCAGTATGTAACGTGTTGTGATCTGTAGCTGACAACATTCAAGTCCCAATTTAAACCTACACACTTTGCTTTAGCTACATTCAGTTTTGCAAGACCCCCATAGAACGAAATGCTCATCCTGCATTCTCAATGTCTTTAATCTTTCTCCTTATTATTGCAAGTAAATTCTTTTGATTTATTTGCTATTCATTTCCTAAATTGTAAGTTATCGTTGTAATGTACATTTTTATGCAAGGCACTTTATTGATTATGACTGATCGAATAGTTGACAATCTATGTTATCTATTATTATTATTATCATCATTTATTTTTAAAATATTTTAAATGTATTTCAGTAGTATTTATATTATCAACATGTTTTGATGAAATATCACTTGTGTTTTGTTTGTTTAGATATCACCAATTTCTTTGCGTATTATACTTTTATCTGATGAACATCAAACATTTTGTCAAGTAAATTTATTAAATTGTTTTTAATTGTTCGCTTAATTTAATTATTCATTAAACTAGTTCGTTGATAATTTGAAGTTTCACAATACAGATTAACTTTGGTTAGACTGTTATTGAAAATCAGTTGATATTTTACTGTTATTTCATCTTAGTATTGGACTTCACCGATTATCGAACCTTATTCCTCACAGTGAGTGTGTAAATGTCATATCAACATGATGGCACCCAACGGTTTACATTTCTGAATTAAATCAACTGGTGATGTTACTATTAATCCTGCTACTAACTCTACTACTCTGAGATTTGCTTGGACAGTTTTTTATCGCTACGCTGTTGGGTTTTGGCAACTCGAACTGACGTACATATGGCGGATTATGTGATGCGTTTGACTGACTGACCCAATCATCATTTAGTGCCATTAGTGAGCAAATGTTCCACTATCGACAGGATCTGACTCCACTGGTCATGCTTTCTCACCAGTTTTCTGGAAATTATATCTCGAATTTAGTTAATAATTACCGAATAAATGCTTGCTTTAGGGGATCTATTTTATCTCAATACTTCTCTTGTAACTAATTAAATAAGAATAAATTGAAATGTAGCGTAAACCTGTAACTCGAACTAATGGGTTCATTAAGAAATATGGCTTAAGTACTAATTACAATTTTCAGTACTTCAGTCTGTTATGCTTTGTGAAAAATGGCTATCCAAAATGAAATAATAAGTGATTCGATTACTATACCCTCAATTTACTATTTCCAAATGCTTTTGATGAATCAAATAATGTACTGACTAAAATGATGAATGAGTATAATCTTGAACACTTTAGATTCTAGATTATCGAATACACTAAGCTGAATAATATAAACATTTATGTTTTCTTTATCGGTTAACGATGTTCTTTCATTTGCTAGTGTACAATTTCAAATGAATTTTCTTTCATCGTCTACTTTTTCTTTTAAAATGAATTTTCATTTATTATCAATACAAGTATTTTATCTACCATAATATACATACATTTTTAATTCTGTTTGTTTTATAGACTAAATCTTTTGTGAAATTTATCTGCAATACAATTGACATTCAACTTTACTGTGAACCATGGATATTGATTTTGGACTTTTTCAATTTGTGCGATTATAAGGAAGAAACTCCACAATGTACTTTAGAACGATCTTATCAAGGTAATATTTTATTTCATGGTGTACCTCACGAATCGACTTGAGTTCTACTATCATTCAATTACTAGTTAGAAAGCATTTCATAGCTGTTTCGTTCTAATGTGAATTTTTTTTTAAAAAACAGTATCCATCAAATACACTTTATCAGAGATTAAACCTAGAACATTTAAGACTTATGGCAAGCGTTCGACCTTCAGATGATTGAGTTAATTAGTCATATAAATCATTGGATGGCGATTTTGTAGTGCTTCTTGACTTCAAATTGTTATATAAATTAGATTAGTTTGTGATATAAATTCTCTATAAACCCTTTACAATGAAAAGATTGACATTTTCTCTGTTGTTTTCTATACAATTTTGTGCAACTTGTTTCTATTCGCTAAAAGGGTAAACCAAAGTTTAAAAGACTATAGGCGTTATTGAACATTAAGGATTGAATTTCCCTCGTGTTATTATTAAGTTTTTGTTAGTATTTGACCATTCTGAATGAATGTGATTATATTATCGAAATTTAAAAGTTCAATGTATTTTAAATTATGGCTAACTTAGAAATTCAGGACTAGCTTTCTATTCTTTTGTGTTATACTTTTGCTGATTGCACCTTCGTTTACGTGTTGATGTTCACACGTTGTTTTTTTATTCCAGTATAGTTACATCCAGTTAATCAGTATCAGATAGAATAAAATGTGTCCCTTCGATTCCATTGGTAACATTTTGTGGATAGTTATAGAGTATTGTGTAAGGATAGCTTATAGATAAAACGAAACTCCGATAAAGTTACACTTTTTAGAAGAAACCCTTATAATATACTAGAAATCATCGGTATGCCTTATCATGAAATAAATGAAGTTAGCTATGTAAATTTCATGGCTTGAGGCTGGGCCAAATGTTTCTTTCGTATGATTGTATGTTTTTCAATTCGGGCACTTCAAATTACCTCTTATATACAATAAACTCATAAACTCAATGATAATAATCGGCAAATCATTCGGTATTTTCAGTGTGTTATTTGCAAGTTCCCAAATCAAAATCACATTTTGAGCATATCTTTGAATTAGGTGTTGAATTGAACCGGCCTTGATGATATTTTGAAGAGTTGTAATGTTAAGTTTTTGCCATATTTTAACCTACTTTAAAAGTAACAGTTAATAGGTCCTTAAGACTTTGTGTACTCATGGTCATGGTTGAAGAAATCAATAGCTCTCTGAACTCAGAGGCTTAATAGATAATAGCTCGTTGATATTTGAAGTAGAAGGTGCTGGGTTGAAGTTCAGATGTGGATATCAACACTGGAATGCAGTTACATCCAGGTGAAGGGCACTAACTTAGATCGAAAACACTTCCTGGAATCCCTAGCTTTCCAAATAACAAATATGCTAAATAACTTGTAAAAACTACATGTATTGAGGCATTCTTTACAGCATGCTCACAATTCAACAAATACTAGTCGAAACCTAATCCTGAATACCAACAACGGGATGATTTCAATCGTTACAAATAATGCGATTTCTTTCATTAGCTACACTGACATCCTGTATTACTACATAGATTACTATTGTGGTGTGTGCTACTGATGTCGACAGTAGTAGTACGTATCATCAATCGTATGTGAAATGTCTGGTAGCAGAAGGTTAAGAAGATCGAAGAAAAGAGAACGCGAACAGCGAATGATTGGTGTGGAAACGAAGGAACAAATGACGTATTTACTGTATGGTTCTCAGATTTGATTGAAGCATTCTGTAATTTTGTGTTCAAATACATTTGACTGTCCTCACACCACTATTACTGTACGTAATACGTAGTACTATATTACATATTTAACAAATTTTAGAAGTCATATTCCATATTGCAACATATATTCCCTAATGTTTGATTGTTGTCGTGTTATTTTTTTACAGATTTGCTTCATGAATCCAATTCCTGCGCGCTAGTTTCTTCTTGGAACAATCCGAAAATTGCTGCTCTATTCAACATTGATTCTATTAACTGTTTTGTTAACAATTCAGATCAAGAAGAAGACAACGAAAAAGAATGTCGGAATAGTCCTCATCTCATATCTAACAACAGTGAATCAAATATTGCTTTACTCTCCTTAATTAGAACGAAAGTACAAATTAATTATTTTATTACAGATGATGAGAAGTTCTCATCACTTAATCTGCCTGTCAGCTATTCTTATTTGGAAATTAAAGGCCAAATATGTGATGTTAAAGTATGCGATTTTTCCTACTTCAATCATAATATTTAAAATTAATGTATTTACATTAATCAGTCTTAACATTTACGTTCACTCCTGGTCGTTTAAAAACGTTCTCATGAAATTCCACAGAATAGTTCATGGAAGACAGTACTTTGAGCATGAAGGTAGTTTTCGTCATAAACCAATATCAACTGAATGATTATTAGATTTCGCATAACTGAACAATCGTCTCATTTGGACTATTCAGGGCTGTGGGTCGACGATTTTTCATACGTTTAGACCCATAAACTTCATCTATCGATTTGAACACGTAACCTCACCATTAAGATGTAATCCAAGTGCTTAGATTTCCAACTTCAGTCAATTCTCTATACAACATAATAGTCTCGTCCTGGAATCGTATTCGGAGTCGAGAGTGAGAAAAAATCAAATATTTTCAGTATTCACTTTTTTAATGTTATAGGTTCAACCCTTGTAACATACATTGATGTTTAATGTTATACCGTTGTATGTTTCTTAGGATCTCAACAGTTGTTACGCGTTTTTAGCGTCAGTATTGTTGAAATGTTTGAGTAGTATTAGTGTTCAGATCTCTGGTGAGAATATTGCATTAATTAACTTAAGAATGCCTGACCTTCACTTTGTTTGTCAGTATTTGTAGTGTTTATTTTTAGTAATTCACACGGTATGACAACATCCAGTATTTCAAGCGTAATTAATTTCAGACTTATGACTGAATCCCGTTATCAAGTTATCTGAGTTGGTTATTATGTAGCTTAATTTTACTTGAAGTACAGTCCAACTATTTCTTTCGATATGTAGGTTTTCTAACTGCAGAATGCAGTACCAATTGATGAAAACATTGGTAGTCGATAAGATAGTTTCTAACTTTATGAGTCCTAACTAATGTTTGAGAAAAGTCAAAATATAAGTTGCTCATAGAATTGAAAATATCTCTTTTATTGCGATCTTAATAAATCTAACATTCATTCACATTTCTCAAAGATTCAACTATCACAAGCGTTACATAATTACAATTCCTTTCCTTTTAATAACTATTTTATTTTTCAATCTTTTTATATTTAGTTACAAGCTATACAGAAGAAACATTCTAACTTATATCCAACACGGTTCATGACTATGCCACAATTGTGTCATCCGAGTAATATTATGAATGACAATGATAATTCACAGTTACCCTACATAACTTTTCAATTTACTAAACCTACTAAGCATTTTCATCAGCAAGTATCCAATCCAACTGTCAGTGTTGACGATGAACAAGATATATACATTTCAATACAATTACCAGCTATTACATATATACACACACAGTCATTTTTAACGAGTGTCATTGACTCATTGTTTAACTTCAAAGAACATTATGATTTTGTCAGACGAACAAGAGCTGCTGTTAAGGGCTTTCAAGTATGTCTTGCGTCATACATTTATTTACACTTTGAATAGTAGTATGTTATTATTTATTTTATTTTAACAAATAAACACTGCTACAAGGAAGCACCAAATTTATATGCGCCACACTTCATCACTTGATTTGTGTGAGGGCTGTGATACTACTGCCGAGGCACCCAAACTGAAGCTGGTGATTTTCTTAGGAGGTCATTCCCCGAACATTGACATAGAGGTCTAATCCATAGAGCATTGGAGTAACGCTAGGGTATGCAGTCCTATGGTAGCAAGTGACCAACAATAGGTTCATACTCCATTCGTTCTCTCAGGATCCTGAAGCTCATGTGCACCACTGGTTTGAAATCAGGATTTTCCAACTCCTCTAGGTGTGTCCTCCGTATCCACCAACCCTGTTAAAGCACATGATATTCTCTTTTGGTTCTCTCAATTTCGTAAATAACAACCTCGCCTCGAGAAGGCAGTGAGTAGGACTTATCTGACAGTGGCTTTATACGCGTGACCATGTGTGATATTCAAGTTCAAAATAGTGAGATCCATAACCTATCTATATACACAAAAACCGATCATGATTGTATAGAATTATTACAGTTATACATATATGATATCATAGTAAGTATTTGTTGATATTTTCTACACATCGCTACTACGGATTGAATGGTTTAGTGAGGTCGTTGGATTGGTGTTTTTGTAGTGACTTTGCCGCTCGACTGATGCTGAGAAGATGACCTAATTTGACTATTTACATACTCCATCATTCTTCCGATTCTGTCGTTATTCTGAGTACTCTCTGTTTACCTTCCTCTTCTCTTTATTTCAATCTTCTGCTGGTAAGCATTCCACTTCTGATTCCTGCTACATACTATTCATATCTGTTCGCACCACAATACGATTACATTGTATTTTTAAAATTTCAATTGATGATACAAATGTTTCTTTTTTTATTGAAATGTCAATACTTTCATTTTTATTTTGTTTTAAAACGATAATTTCAAGATTCCCGCAACTCGTTCTGTATCTTCACGTATACGTGTCAATGTTTTTGGCGGTCCATTAAATCTGATCATTCCAATTAGTTCTTATAGTTCCAAAGTACTTATTGCCAATATTAATCATTTGAAAATTAATAATAAATTTTTGTGTAATACAAATCAGGAAAGTGTTCCTTGTGAATCAATGTTTACAAAGTCAAAATCCAATGAGAAATGTGATAATCGTTATTTCTTTTCAAATATCCGGTAAGATATTAACCACTTGTATTTCATATTATGTCTACTACAAAAAATCCATTATTATGAAATGTTGTAATGTTGCACATTGAATAAGTGTAAATTATGTTTAATGAAAGTTATTACCAACTGATTCTATCCATTTGAAACCAAGGACTTCTTAGCTATAGGCACAAATGAGATTGTTCTCACGATTCTCAGATCATGATTTTAAGCGGAATCCTTTAGAGTACTGAATTACTGCAAGAATGTTCGATAAGAAAGCATTCTGCTTACTAACTGTTAATGGAAGTGTTTTTTTTTGTTATGAACAATATCTGATATGCTAAATAGTTCTTCATATAATCTTAAAAAATTCCTATAAGTTTGTTGAATGAATACTCGATTCGATTTCCTAGCCTCTTACTAATAACCCCAGGTTAAATCTACACGGGAACTTGAACACAAGAGAAAATACGTGAACTACGAAAAAAGCGCTGATATACACAGAAAACAAGGATATTTATAGATTTACCATTCACTGTTATAGTAAATTTATTTTTAACGTATTTACTATTTTACTTAATGTTTATTATTTTATTCACAGGTCTTTGAACAAAAGTGGTCTTCTTGGACTTTTGGAATGTTCTAATCTGAATTCAGAAGGTAAATAGTACTAAGTAATGTAAATAAACAACTGTATTCCGTGAATTATCGATATTAAGCTACCTCGACGGGCGACGATGGCTAATGTAAAAGTGTGTGGAATCAAAGCCAGAAATTGGCAAACTAAAATGTTTGATCAGTCCATCAAGACATTGACTATTTCACTGAGAGATTTAGGTAGATGCAGACTGCCTGTGTGATTATCGTAATCAATAGTTAAAGACTTAGAATGACATGGCTCGGAAGCGCTGATGTACTCAATTTTTATCTTCCCTTATATCCCAAGTTTCTAAATTCTTCATACCTTTTATATTTTATTCATTTACTGATAATGTAAGAACTGGCAAATATTTGCATTAATCTGATTTAACACATCGTATCAGGATAGCAGAAATAAATTAATAAGATTATCATGGTTTCTGCATTTTCATAGTTGTCAGTCGCATCCTCACTGATAATCCTACTGTTCTGTGTTGATTAAAACCTCTGTTTCTTGAGAACATAACTAACCAAACAGGTTGGTTGAAAACTAGCAAATGTACTGTTTGAATACGAAATCATACCACTGGTTGTGGCGCAGCTTGTCAGCAGTAAATGGTTTCTTGAAAATAGCATGCATCTCTATTAATACCACTGTCTTAAAAACTCAATTAAGTCATATGTATCGGTTCATGTCTAAATTTTACAAATTCCAAGTTCTGGCTTTAAGGTCTTAGAACTATGGAGTTGATGCAACGAAGACTACGTATAAATTTTTGTTTATAGCCGACTAGAAACTTGATGCTTGTACTCTGGTCAGTTAGGTCGATTAGAACTTTTATGCTAATCGAGTCTATTCAAATATCATTCAGTAATGATTCCATCAATATTCAATTGTTTGTTTTTGTTATCAATCCATATACAAATATTGGTTTGAAATTTGTTCTACTCTCTTCTAAAAAAAAACTGTCTTACTGAAATCAGTTGTTCATGGATTTATTCTTGTTTTTCTTTATTTTTAGATCTCGATGATTCACAACCTTTGTTGATCGATAAAATATTTATGGACTTTTATGGATTTTCTTTATATTGTGCAGAACAAACTAGTTTATTTGATCCCAACTTGATAAGAAAATCAGGTATTGTGAAAACTGTTTTGGAAAAATAATGTTTACTTACAAATTCTGACTTTTTCTTTGCTCTCGATGACTATTCTGTGGTTCTCAACAATTACGTAATTATTAAATGATAAATAGGTTAGACTATATTATTAGTTTACAATAACATGTTTTATACATAACTAGAAGAAATTTAACATTCACTGGTTGTCTACGATTAACTCATGAAAAAAAAATGAATCAAACTTTTGGGTAGAGATATCAAACAAACATATTAGTCAGTAGAAATACAAAGATAGGTGGAGACTAATTCTGATACTTTAATTTAAGCTTTGATTGTTTCAACTTTATTGTATGTCACACTAAAAGATGATGCTTTTTTTTTCTCTCTCTTTAGAACATAACTACAACAATACGTATGTTCATTTACCAAATCAGTTATTCATACCTATCGGTAGAGTATATCCATCTCATTCTAATAATACCACTTTCTTTTTTAATCCTACCGGTTGTGTTAATTTAATTTTGGAGCACAATTTAACTTCTGGTAAAATACCAGATTGGAAAATAAGTGGAGAATTCACAAATTGTCAACTTCATATAGATCAACATACATACTGTTTAATTCGTGGTGTATTATCACATAATTTTGGTGAATATTCAAATTCTAGTGTCGATACGAAGGTAAATTGTAAATAGAATTATTTTTAATTCCAGTTTTGTTCACTATTTTTCATCTTAGCTAAGTCTTGTGGAATTTAAAACTGTACTTTACATACATTGAAAAATGTGAACTCTCAAACCAGTAATTCTTTTTAGATAGAGTTTCATGATTGTCAGTGCTAAGTGGATGGTTTTGTTGAAGTTTGGTTCTCTAAATTTGATGGTTTTGTCGTGGAGTTTACATTGTTTTTCTTAACAGCATCATCAGCGCAAACTCCAGATAAAATTGACGTGTTTGAATTTCTTCATATATGACTAACAGCTTGTCCTGTTGGACCTCAATGTTGACTGGTTTTTGTTAAAGGTTTAAGAACAATAACAATCATAGAAATCACTTGAACCTATTTGCTACATATCCTCTTTATTTCGTCTCACTGTTACAGTTGTTGTGAGGTAACTTTGACCAGAAAAAATATGTCCCAGGTCCTAAGTTGTTTTGACTAACTGAATGGTTGACATTTTATTCCTCCACAATCTCGGTGTTCTAGAGATCATCCAAAATAGAAATTGAAGACTTATAATTTGAAATACTGATTAAAAATTGACTAGCCATAAAGTTTTTCATATGCTTACTTGTATCATATTTGTAATAGTCATTACATTGATTTAAATGTTTGTTACGCAACTTTAATGTATATTAAAAATTTATTCTGTGTTTACTTCATTAGAAACCATTTCTTGAATCAAATATATGGACTAAGTTTGCAATTGAAATCCGTTTGAATTCAGTTCAAGTTACATTATTTGATTCATCAAACTCATCTGTTATTATGAATAATAATTCTACTGTTAATGCAAATCTAAAAGAGAATGAGAACAATAATGAATCTAATCAGTTTGCTATAATCGACTTTTGTGATACACTGTTAACTTATGAATATTTTTCAAACCGAAGTACATCTATTCAACTTCAATGCTACGATATAAATTTATTGAAAACTCAAATGGACAAAGGTAATCTCAATTTAAATAATGTTATTCTTTTTTTATTAACCCCTCGGTATTTAGATTTAGGCTTTAATTTATCTATGAAACATGACTTTTTGAAAATGAAGGATAATTTTAGGCTAATAGTGTGTGCGATCATGGATACCTTCAGTGCATTGTCGGAATATCACGAATTAAGCGAGGTTAGTTACAGACCACTGGACAAAGATTGGAAATCAGTTTTTGAGGTCGTTAATTTCCATCAATCGAGGTGTCTGACACTTATGTTACATATACCTAGCTACCACTTATATTGATGAGGGATGTTTACTGATTTGAAAATAGACTGGAGCTAAAGCTATGGGCAACTAAAGGAAGGTATGATATCAGTGCATGATATCATTGACTGTTGGTCGACATGCTCGCGTCAGAGATATGACTCAGAATTGATCACAATGTTCCTTATCCATTCACTCTTTGTCTCAAAATATTCATTCCCTTTATTCTGCCTAGTCATTATTTCTCAAACTATGGTATCTATGTCTACTACTACTGATATTTTTACATATTCTACTATAATGGGATTTATCTTGATAAATTAATCTCTTTATGATGTAGTATGACAAAGTGGATTGTTGCACATATGCACTGTGTTCTGAGATGCGTATGACTCATCAGTCAGAAAATCAATGTATTATGGTTTTGAATCCTACTCTACTCTTAATTCAGTTTTGCTTAGTTCGAGAGTATTCGCTAACTTGAACACAAATATTATGGCTTAAAGATAGCTTTATAAACCCCGGTACCAAACCAAAACATGGCATCAGTTCATTAAGTCACTGACAATGGGATTACCTGGTTGGGGCCCACGGGATTATTATAATCAATGGTTAAAGACATTGAATGACTTGGCTCAAAATCATTTGTAATGGCGCAGGTGCCGTCACGTATGACATTCGTTGTAAAATACATAGCACCCCACCCAATTTACTTGCGGGAAAGTTTAGGCGAGCAGAAATGAGTTTCTTATGAGTGCCATGTATAATTAAATTTCCTTCTGTCAATCGGACTTTATAGTACTCAGAGACTTTATTGCTTACGTGATGGATGCTACTGATATGATGGAAAGAAAAGTCAATTTTCGATTGAATTACTCATTATGAGTTTTATTCAACATTGACATCCGTTTTGATTCAGCGTGAGGATCATTCAGTGTTGTATTTGATTTGTTTTTCCAGTATGATATTTTCTTCTGTATAATATACGATATTCTTGTTCAGTTGACATGAACTATGCTCAGTAAGTGATTTGTTATAACTGAGTTTGTGATTTAATCCTAATTATTAATCAAAATGGGTGTACAATCAATATATAAACCAGTATTATTATCATCGCCGTCATAGTGTTTTGGGGCTAATAAATCTCCACTTATACCACGTCGTGGGAATTGCCGAGGTCCGAGTATAAGTGGTCAGCCTTTTTCCGGCACAGCAATTAGCGACGACCAAATATAACAGCTACAATCAGCAATGACAGCAACATGCAGGTTAGCTGCTTGTTAAAAATATCTAAACACGGCAGCCCACAAATGTCTTTAGTGATTCTCCGATAACCGGGTGACCAGTATTCGGCACGTACAGATTGTCTCATCCTTGCGCGGCATCATGTTGAAAACTGCTGGGCCGTCCTTCAGACATTCTCTTCGCGGTATATCGGGGACCTCTATGTCAACACGATACAAGATTCTATCAAGATATATGACACTTACACGAGGGTCTCTAAGTTCCAATGAGTCTTTGATTGTCCTTTTGCCTGATAGTTACTATGGTGGCTCTGTGGTGGATTGCCTTGAGGGTAGCTGGTGTTGAATGTCCGATAATGGGCATTTCCTTCTTTATTCTTCGTTTTTTTTCTTTTTTTGGTCTGAATTAATCAACTATTGTTTTATATTTTTACAGATAATGAACAAAATCAGTTTATTTTAAAAAGCTTGTCAACAGATTTATCAGGTCAATTAATTGAAGAGGAGGAGGAGAGTGTAAAGCAAACTGATGAGATATTAGTGAAAACGCCGAAACTTTTTATTTGTTCAAATAGTTCTTTGTCACAATCAACATTTATATTCTCTTTAATGAGACTTCATTTAATTTGTGACTGGGATTGGTTATTGCGTTTTCAGTATTTTCTCTTATCATCTCCTTTATCATCTGACAGTGAAAATTCCCCGATTGTTTACACTTTACAAAAGTATGTTATAAATAAATTAACTTCTGTTTTATTATATAATGAATATGATTTTGGATAAATCATTTTAATGTTCTAGTGATAACTCGGTCATTGTTTTAAGAATCAATGAATTCACTAGTTATCTGACTATTCATTGATAACCTGACGTTATATGATCATTGTCTTTGAACTGGAATTCTATGTCCTCTGTGATGTACCACCAGTTATTCACATGGTAATTCTAATTGAATGAAGCAAATTTCAAATTCTGTTTTCTTTTTAAATCGATTCTAGAACCTATAACTTCATCTAGAATCAGTTAAGATTATCCGTTTAGATCATATGTAAGTAATATCTGTCACCAAACCTGATAGATATAACGACATTTCTTCTTTAGGGACCAAAAGTTAATGGTAAATATTTACTAACTTATAAAGAGTTCAATAATGAATGCCAGAAAACTTCGCTGTATTTAAACGTAGGACTTTTCGCTATGGCTTTGTGGAAACTCAAAAGTAACCATATATGCCTATTTGTGTTTCCTTTTTTTTTCGATAGAAGTTATGGTCTTTATAGATTTACGGGTACTTTATTAATTTAGTGCTTATCTGTTTCTCTGTATGTTAATTTGTCTGTTGATTATCTTCATCTATAGCACTAAAGTGGGTTCATGTTTTTTTCCCCAAATATCTTTAAATTAGGCCTATTTCACCTTGTATCGACTGTATATCCACAACTCGAACAATTTCCAAATTGCAGATGTATTCTGATGAACCAAGTTATAATCATAGACGGGAGTCCAACTTATCTTCCAGTGTACTGAATACGTCTTTACAGATATTCATAGAAGATTGTGAAGCCTGTATACCATACAAAAAATCAAGTTTTCTCATTAAAGTAAGGATTTTATTATTAGTGATCACTTGTCCATAATTGTTTGTATTCTAAATGTACAATTATCGGTCACCCAAAACTTATGTGAAACTGATTTTCCAAGTCCATCAACCCTGAATTATATGGTTTATAGATGTGTGTTATTTTCATCTTTTTTACTTTAAATTATTTGGATCCACAATTGACTGATCACTTATTTAACGTTTTCCCTATCCCCAAAGTGGTATAAGATTTTCATTAAGAAACCTCTGATCCATGTTTCTGGCCAGTTAACACTTGTTAATGCTAAAGGACTGCACAAACATGAAACTATTCTCGACTCAGCGACCAGTCAATTATTTATTTATTCAATCGAACACATAAATATTGTTACAAAGAGGTACCAAATACATATGCGCCACACAAATCTCATTTAATTTGTGTGAAGGCTGTGATACTTAACGGGTGCACAAATCGAAGCAGGTGGTTTTCTTAGGAGCTCACATCCGGTGCCTTCGACCTGAGGGTCTGATCCACAAGGCAGTGAAGCAACGTAATTAGATGCAGTCCCATGGTAGCCGGTGACCGACGATTTTCATTAAAGAATATATATTCAATAAAGAGAACATCTTAACCATCACAACGTTAATTGTTGAATTCCTCAATGTTTATTATTACGATAATAACAGCAACCTTTAAATATTCAACCAGGATAGATTGATAGTTCACTGAAGAATAGTTTATTGTTTAGTCGTGAATAAATGGTATTTGTTCACAAATATATAACAATGAATTTGGTTTTTTGATCAACAACTTCTCAGAATTGAATGTTTGTCTTGCACTATATCACTTGAAGTCTCTAACTAAAGATAACAAATATTATTAATTTGATTATTCACTAGGTTAGTGTATTGCAACAACTTTGATTGATATCCGAAGTTTCGCAATAAATATGAATGAATGCTAAGGTGTAGTTCGATTAAAATAATAGATAATAATTTGACTTAATGTAAAATTTCAAAACTTGCATAATCTAATGTCATAATATTTGGTGTCAAATGAAGTGTTATTTCAGGAATATGCGGATTATCCAAATAGTATTTTAGGTGTTCGAAGGTTTTCGGAAGACAAAGATTACATGCTAGTTGACACTGATTAATAAGATGCTTGGCTTGTTAGCTGAAAGCTACTTGTCTTATTCACTAGTTCATCTCTTTATATTTTGTGAGCAAAATATTATCTTGAATAGAAATGACTATAAACGTTTACAATTTCGAGTCAATTATCTGTGATTATTATTTTGTTTCACTTGTGTCTTTTTTCTCTCCAGTCAAGTGTACGTTTCTCACGTCATACATCAAAATATTCAATATCTGAAATACTAAATGATGAAATACATACTGATATTCTACAATTTTGTTTATATTCTAATTCAAATTCATTGATTATTATACCTAGTCCATTGAAATTCTACTCTAAATTATATCATCACTTGTTAAATAGTAAATCATCTTTTTCATCTCAACTGTCTGCATCATCCACTTCAACAATTTCATCTATGAAAGGAACATTTATGAATACTGGATTACTTTGTTCGTCAAATATATTTATTGAATATCCTCCTTGGCAAAGAAATTTATTACATATTAAAGTATGTTTATACACTTATAATGAATGATTTCTTTCTTTCTTTTTTATTCAATTATGTAATCATATCATATTATTTCTAATTGAATGAGTATACATGTTATAATATTGATAATATCTTTGGAAAAAGAAATTTCCACCTATAACATCTCAACATTCTATTGAAATTTCATAACCCATGGAGTTTAGTCAAGTTTGATACTGAGGTAATTATGAATTTAGCAACAGATGCTAACTGGAATATTTATGAATTGATAAAAGATAGGAATGTGAATCGTTGGAGGGTCAACTTTCACTACGAGACCTGAAATTCTTCAATTCGATCATTGATGAGGTCATTCTAATCTTAGACTAGTATTTGAATAATATGAAGTATTTGTCTTAAAACTCTTAGCTTCCAACTGTTATTTGATAAAGTCATCTAATAATGTTAAGGTCTTTATAACGTTTAATTTTTCATTCATTGTCTGCTAACTAAAGACGAATTGTGAACAAAGTATTACTCAACTATTCACCTTCATTCGTAAATAGTCGTTATTCATTTTAAGTTTATTATTTTAAATCCTGTAATTTTGAAAGTTGAACACTCATATCATCAGTTTGTTATGTACATTAACGGTTTGATTTGGCGTTTTTTGAAACCAAATTAGTTCAGATAATAAAAAAATCTAAGGATTTAAATTGTCCACTAAGAAAATTGTCTCATTATGTTATTATCACTTTCCAAGCTCAATATTTACTTAATTTCAATGTTAAATAAATAATCTAGAATGAAAATCAATCGATGGATGTATTTATCGAACCAAAAGCATCCATAGAGACAAGAAACGAGAAATGTCTGCTTGAAGACAAGTTATTTTCGTGAGTTTATTCTCAAACCTGTACACTAGCAGATGAAGAGGGAGAGAGCGGAGTGAATATCTATGCAAAACTGGAGGTTACTATCATGACTGATTTATTTCCGCATGGTTCTGGCTTAAATAAATGTATAACAACAATCTCAGAAGTGGTAACAAACGGGAGTTTAATTGCCTTTGATAGATTTCGATTCACTTTGTGGACGTCTTGAAATAATTATCAGACACTTGGATGGATAGCTTAGTGATTAACGGAATTGAGTTATTGCTGCTAACACCATATGTTTGGATTTGTCTTCGTCTAATTTGTTGGTGTTACTAGATTGTGTTTCATAGCTTAATACATGAAACTGTACCTGGTAAACGCATAATGTTTACTTTATTATTGTTGACGGTTGCTTCGGTTTACACAACTGTTTAGTGTTAATAGGACTCACATCAATGTTAGTGTTTCTTTCGTCCATGGATATAAATCCTCAATACATGTTACCATCATAGAGAGTCAACATTTTTATTTATTTGCTATCTTCGCCATATTGTTTTATTCAAACGTTTGTTATTTTCTTCTTATATTAGCCAGCACAGTTGCAGCTTCAGATGTCTTTAACTGCGCCCAACATTCATGTTACATCGAATTTCTCAGAATTACAAAATGTTATACATTTTTTCTCTTCTCTCTATATATCATCATCAGTTGATGCTCACACTAATAATGCCGGTGAAAACCAGGATGCTATTCATTTGTTACCAGGTAAGGTACAAACGGCATTTTTAATACAAATAGTGTCCCATAACCTTAATTGAAACTTGTAAGTTTGTGTAATCAAACGATTAGAAATCGTCCAGAACTCTTTAATAATAGCTCTTTAATAACTTCTGTGTCCCCGAAATTCCTCGGTATGGCCGAGGGTGGTGGGAGTCCTTCCTTCCTCTCGAAATGCTCTCACATGGCCTGTAGGCTACATCCAACCACCGACCTAGATGATCTATCTATTCTGGATAACAATGGTCCCACCGTAAGTCAAAAATGCATTCATGATAGTAGCAGTTCTACACTAGCAGCCATAACCACCCCTTTTACTCTCATACTATTTACAGAAGATTAAGAGACTAAGTAACTTTTTTTCACAGTTGGTATGAAGTGTTTTTTGTATAAAGCTTTTAACATCATAATAAACCTCTCGTACGCAGGTAATACGAACACCGTCTTATTCAAAAATCTTATAGTTTCTGTCTTCATGTACACAAAATAATGTCTATGTACAATAGATTGATTACTTCGTAAATATCTCAGCTCATTAAGTGTTCAGTTATGACCCATTAGTAACGTCACAGATTATGAAGCTGATTGATTTAGGTTGAAATCCCCAAGGCAGTATCAGTTCCTTCATGACTATTGGTATAACTTGCTGGAAATTACTAACTAACATGAAATCAAAATCTAACATTAACTTTTGACTATTGACAGTCGTTTAACAATGTATGCATCTGTGTACAAATTACTCTATGACTACTAATTATTAAAAAAATTTCAATTCTGAATTGCACTCTTTTTGTTTGGAATGTTACATCAATGTTCCTTCGTGTATAAAAAACTTTTTGTCATCAATAAATTCCTTCCTCTCATTTACATTTAGATGTAAAATCCTCAGTAACAACTTCAAATCAAAAATCATCATCATTATTGGCAACATTTTGGCCAAATATTTTTGCTGATTACATTTCAAAACAATTAATTAATTTCGATGTAAGATATTTATATTTTTCTATTCTGTTTTTTTTTCTGAATTGTAATTTTCTTAAAGCAAAACAAACAAAAGTGATACCGAATAATTGTAGTTAGAATAATGTGAATTCATTGTATTTCAGTCTTTTACAATCTAAGAATAACAGTATTTCACAGATTGAAATCATGAGTCAGTTGAAGCTAGACCACCATTGAAAGCCTGGAAGAACTGGACGGCCGTTTCATCCTAGTATGGGACTCCTCAGCAGTGCGCATCCACGATCCCGCACCACGCGGGGCTCGAACACAGGACCTACTGGCTTTGCGCGCGAGCACTTAACCACTAGACCACTGAACCGGCATCCAATGGGGTTAATGTCTAACTTCGACCAACTCACTGCTGAGGAGTCCCATACTAGGATGAAACAGCCGTCCAGTGCATCCAGGTTTTAAATGGTGGTCTAGCTTCAACTGACTCATGATTTCAATCTGTAAAATTTCTAAAATCTCCACAAAACCCATTCTAATAACAGTATTGTTTATTTTGGTCATATTAAATATCATATGGTGCGAGACAGAAGGTTGTGGGTTCGAGTCTCTGTGTATAGTACCCTCTATCTCCAGTATGTGTGTTCATTTGTGTTTACTGCTTATGGATCATTTACTAGGCTGGAATAATTTATCCAGTACCCCTTGATTGGTGATGATACCACAACGAGTGATGAACACACGTTACCTAAAAATTATAGTTGTCGTTTATATAAATGTTGTAAAGTAGTTAGCTTTAAAAATTTTTTATAGGGGGATGTTTCTCGATATACCTTTCCAGTACGCTATAATTACTAATAGTACTCTCATTTTTATCCCTATTCCTTGTGTTAATTAACTATGAAGAAAAGTTTTTTCTCGTCTGGTACTTAATGTTGAATATGTATATATCCCTTGATTCTTTAATGACTACTAATTATAGTAACGGTATTTCTGATGATTACAACAAACACTTTTCATTTTCGATTTGATTTTCTAGATTAAAATTTCATTTTCAATATGTCTGTTTGATACAATAACATCAGTTCAATCTTCATTGTTAGCTGAAGAGATTCCATTGATAAAGTTTTGTGTTGAAAGTAAGTAGGCATTTATTATCAGTCAAATTATTACATATGATGTGTTATGACCTGATCATTTTCATTGCATTAAACTACACGATGTAGTCTTAAACTTGTGTTTCACATAATTCGATTGTCGGTAGTTTCGATCGAGTACATAGACTTTGTGTATTTAGTTAATGAGTGTTATAACATGAAATATATTCATTAAATGGTATTATTTATAAGTAGTGAATTTTTCATTCTACCTCTGAACAACATGATAAATAACGTCATAAAAAAGATGACCACTGAATGAAATTGAAATTGTGAGATGGTCATGATCAGAATAAATGTGGATAACGTGGATGAAGGGGAGTGAAAGAGATAATAGTGTGGAAATGCTGAGAAGGTTGTATGACGACTAGTGGGAATACGTGATCATACCATTGAATGATGATTAAGTAAGGTAAGAGGAGCAGTTGAATATATTTTTTTGTGGATGTAGAGCCCTGAATTTTTTATTGCAATTGATATTGTTTCAGTTGTCTGACGGATTTAGATTGGTATCGACACCATATATGATTGTAAATGCTTACTTCATGTTAGCTTCGTGACCGCCCCGTTTGTACTTAATGAGCTAGAATCGAGCTGTTAACAGTTTTAAGTATGGCTATGCTTAACCACACTGGGTGCTATTTACGAGCACGAAAGAACAAATTCCTAGAACACATGTTAACGGAACTTGCTCCACCAGAGCAGTTGAATTGGTAGATGCGGAAAGAAGTGGCAAGTGTAGGTAATTTAACTTCCAATCTCGGACGGTTAGCATTTCTCTGGGTGCATCTCCTCTAAATTGTAGGCGTATATACGAAGACGTTTTACTCACAGTTAGGTCATCCTTATACTCTATTTTCTTGGTTAGGTGTTTATTTATAGTTTTCTTAGGATACCCACTTTGTTTCAGTATAGTATTCAATGCTTTTGTTTCTTCTCCAAGTGCATCTGTGGAGCATATATTGTTGATTCTTTAACGAAGTGTCTTAATCAGGTTGATTTTATATCGTAGAGGAACAAAACTAATAAAATTTGTATATTGCTTAGTCTAAGTACTTTTTTGTTTCAGTTTCTTCTTTGTGACTCGTCTATTCTGTATTTAAGTCAAACATTTAGAAAGACTATCTGTCCTTCGTTTTCTTCCTCGCACGTTAATTTAATAGGTAGATGAACATCGTTTAGTCGCTTGAATATCTCCATCCGGTTAGTATGTTTCTTACATAGAGTGAACGTATCGTCCATATAACGGGAGTAAAATAAAAAATTGTCAATATGTTGTACCACTATAATGTTTTCTATTTTGCCGAGAAAAATGTCATCCAATATGAGAGCTAGTGGTGAAGCAATCGCAACACCACGTATTTGTCGATATCCTTCATCATCGAATTTGAAGTTTGACTTTGATAGTTCATTTTCGTAATAATTCCTTAACGATGTCCACAGGGATTTTAGTCTCCATTTCTGGTTATCTAAGTTGCTCACAGATATATTTTAGTCTTCCTGAGTGGGATATTTATAAACAATGTTGTTACATTTAACCACACCACTTTGTTCTGTAGTATTTATGTTTTTGATGTTGTCGATGAATCGATGAACCAAGCTATATTCGTGATTTTGTTAGAAATGGGCTGTTCTCAAACTCTTGATTAGTTTCAGTGACTGCTGTTCTTGGTTAACATCTATCCAGGTGCTGAACAAGTTGAACCGTCATAAAATTACTTCTAATTTTTGTTTTGTCAAAAGTTATTTTCCTATTTTTACCACGATTTAAAATATTTTCTGATGTATTTATTGATTTTTTGATGTGCTAAGTTTTTCGAGATAAAATTAAGTGATTTATTGCCGAAGGGACCAAAATAACGTGGGATAAATGATAAATCGAAGACCGTATATCGGAAAGATGGTTTGATTAGACGGGATATAAAGGTACACTTGATTGGTACTGGAACTGAAGATCCATATGGAGTTAAAGAGTTGTTATGTCTACGTCATTGTGATCAATTTTGAGCTATACTATCTAACGTCTCTGAGAACTGATTATGCTTAACACACGGAGCCCAGCCAAGTAGCCTGAATCTAATAACACTATTCAGATCAATATTCAAGTGACTTCATAGACTGAAGTTACATTTTGGTATGGTCTCTTTAGCTTTCTCATAACTTACTTCTACATCAGGTGATTTAACTGCTTACTTGTGTTCATATTTACAGATTGTTGTTTATGTCATCCAACCTTTACTTTGGTAATGTAATTTAACGTTTAACCGATATTGCATTTGTTTTTTTTCTAGTGTATTCTTTGATCCCAGTAAAGTGAAACAAAGTAACTAATGTTGTTTTATTGTTAAGAGCGTTAATTTTAAAAGGGAAATAAATTATTTAATGCATAGTTGTGATTATCATTGTTTTATATAGACATGAAACTGTTTTGGAAGCGATCAAATTTACAAGCTACACTGGAATGCATTGGGATTTCATGTTCTTATTACAATCAAAATCTAATTGCTTGGGAACCTGTACTGGAACCATGGAGGTGAGATTATGTATGATAGATATTAAAAAATCTTTTAGAAATTAGTGCAAATTTAAATAAAATTGTTCACTTCTTAAATACTCATTACCATATAGACAGTTAATTTTAAGTGAAGAACGTTCAGTGAATATAATTTTGTTAAACGAATTGAAACAAAACGCTAATATGCTATATCGTGATGTCAAATTGGTTCTCCTCATCTGACTTCATTACAATATGAAGGTATTCAGTATTTAACAATAGATTTATATGATACATCTTGGTCAAGGTTATTTATGTGTTATTCTTGTTGAGTTGTGGCTCGAATCTGTAGAAATTTGGTGACTTTCAACGTTGAATCAAATCGGTATCGATTTTTGTGATCACCTTAAGTTAGTGTCAAGCTATTAAACTATACAGCTTTGTCGTAACACTGAGCTATTTTCTCGTAGCATTAGAAATGATATTTTATGGTCGTACTTGTGTAGACCCAATGAAATTAACGTTGAATATATGATTAAAACTATATTTCAAATATGGCTTTTCTTAGTGATCACTCTAAAACCCTAATAATAATGATAATTTATATATTCTGAAAATAATAATTACATAATTCACGCTGATTTACAGGCATGATCAATTTGATATAAATAGTAACATTAGATGTAGAGAACAAACATGTGACAGAAGAAAGTTTTAAGTATACTAGTTCAGTAATTGTTTAGGTAGTACATGTATTACAGTTGTCCAATGCATCAGCCGGGAACTTTTAGTTTTTCTTAAATGGACAGCCTGTTGATTTATGAACGGAGTAATTAAGGTCATTTCGTGTACCAAATCGAATTAATGATAATTATCTATAACTAGAGAAATTGAAACGAAAACAGTGAGCACGGAACAACAAAGCAGTAATCACCAAAATATGTCAATCAGGTCTACCAAAATGCGTGTGTCATGTGACACAGTGATATACTGTTGATGTTAGATATTATTCAAATTAGTTAAAGTTACTAGGGACGGTGTTAACATATTGACAGCAAATGGGTGGTTTTACTTAAGGGATTCACTAATAAAGATGGCTAAACATTTAAAGTTCCTAAAATATCACTTGTGGAATGAGATACACTTGCAGGTGCTAGACCATTCAGTGCATTTTCAGAGGAGCACTATGCATCGATGCAGCGAACAAATAATGGGAGTGATTTTATCGTGCGGATAGATTGTGGTACGTTATTCCAGAGTCTAGAAAATTTACAGGTAAAGTAATTCATATAAAGAGATGATTTAGAACAAGTTTGTTTCACTAGTGACAAGGAATTACGGATGTCATAATGAGGAGTTTCTGCATATTGAATCACGTGATTGGATGTAAAGGATGGTTTATTAAGTAGTTTGAAGAAAAAGATAAGATTTAGTTTGAGTCTCCTCTTCCATAAAGGCTCGAATCCAAGTTTATTACATCTAGAATTATAAGTTAAGGTACAATCAGCTCCAAGAATACGAAGTGTAAATCGTCTCTGTACTGATTCCAGCCTTAATCTATCCTTTATGCGTGCACTTCTAAGAATAAACGTGCAATATTCTAGAAGTGGTCGAACACAAACTTTGTACATTAAAATACGTGACTCATTGTTATAAAGGTTTCGAGTTATGTAACCTACAAGACGTTGAGACTTAAATGTCTGTTTCAATATCTGTAAACGACAAGTCGTGAGTGTACTTAAGTACACTATTGTATGTAACCTAGATAACACTTCTCCATTAATGGCAAGATCTAAGTTGAGTGATGTATCGCCGAAGCATATCCATCCACATTCAGTCGTATTAAGCTCCAGATGCCATTTTAAGCACCACTGTGCTACCTTGTTACGCCACATGCTGATGCAATTTTGCATATTTTTCAGCTCATGTGGAGAAAATGAACATACTACTTTAAGATCATCTTAATATAGAAGGGGCTTACCGGCACAAAAACTTCTACAAATATCATTGATAAACACTGAAAAGAGCAAATGGCCTAAGACACTACGTTGTATTACACCACTTCTAACAGGGACAGCGTTAGACAATGAAGAGTTAATTTTAACTATTTGATGTCGATTGCTGAGAAAGGAATCAAACCAAGAAAGCAAAGGATTTTGAACCCCATAAGATGCGAACTTACCTATAAGAAGTTGGTGGCTAACCATGTCGAAGGCTTTAGAAATATCCAGATATAGCGCTAAGACTAGATATCCTTGGCTACGTAGAGAATAGACTAAATTAAAGAAGTCGAAATGACATGTCGTACAAGATCGATTTTTAAGAAATCCATGTTGGGTATCATTGACAAATGTTCCAGCGAGTAAATAGTTGGAAAGCTCATCATTTATAATTTTTTCCATAATCCTAGAGTTAACTGGTGTAATATTTATCGGCCGATAATTGTTCATGTCAGTCTTATTTTCAGATTTGTAACGTGGTATGATGTACGCGGTTTTCCAACAGTAAGGGTAAGAGCCTGTTTCTATAGAGAGTAAACAGCTTTATAAGAATAAGTGGAATATCTGGACCACTATATTTGTAGAGAAACAATGAAATACCGTCTGCTCCATGACCTCTCGAAAGCTTAAAAGTATTTATAGCCTTATTAATTTTCATGCAAGTGAAGGATATAGATTTTATTGAGTCGCTAGTTACGCACATAACTCTTGAAGCAGAGACATTTATGATTTCTACAGCATTCGCAAAAATACCACTGAAAAAGTCTATCAATAATAGCTTAATGTGAACTGTTAATTTATCCATCCTCACTTTGAAGAGATTCTAATATGGTCAAATAAGTAGTGGATCCCTCAGAAGCATATTTGATTGCGCCCATCATTTCTTTATAAATTTTATCCATGTACTCAACAGTTTCTCTCCAATTTTAATGTAAAATGCATCACATCAAATACAAGTAGACAGTTAATTTTCAAAAAAATTAGTATGGAGGATTTGTTGAGCAGTCCTATACTAGGACGATACGGCCATCTATTGCTTACTGGATTTCCATGGTAGTCTGTTTGAGATTCTTGAATCATAGTTTCATCCGTCAAAATTTTACATTATTGGTTCGTTTCATGGGATTTTCTTTTAAAAAAATTCGTTTCTTTTTCAACCTGTTTTCTTTCTCATTGTATTCAGTTGTTTATTGAATTGGACTGAAAATTTTGAGCAAGATTTCAGTAGAACCATCTCTTTCAACTGCTCATGTAAGTGTAAAATTATTGTTTATTCTTTATAGTTGGTAAATAGATGAAGTTTCTTTTCACTCAAATGTATTTGTGACTTATTATAGTATTAGTAAGAATTTCAAATTATACTGTTGTCCTGGATTGAAACTCTTATAATGCAGCGGTTAGCCTACATTATTGAGGAGTCCCAAATTTGAACGAAACAAATGTACCATAACTCTCGGTGTCTTTCAGTGTTATTCCAACTGACATTAGACTTCAATGAAAATTAAGGCTAAAACGATGGTGGTTGTCCATTGTTTACAATTTACACTCACTTACTTACGCCTCTTGCACGTCGTGTAGGAGCATAAACCGTTCATCAGGACTCTCTGACGAACTCCATCCTGGGCAATCTTTTCCAGTCGCTATTCATTCTTTTGATATCTTCTTCCGATTCTCGACACAATGTATTCCTTGGCCTTCCTCTTTACCTTCAAGATTACAAGTTAGCGCTTACCTCGAGATGCAGTTTGATGATTTCATCAACGTATGTCCTATTCACTTCCATCGTCTTTTCTTAATTTACTCCTTATCTGGAAGCTGGTTTGTTGCTTATGGTATCCAGTCAACAGACATTCAGTATCTTGTGTAGACATTTGTTTATAAGTAATTTTACCTTTTTCATGATGACTGTAGTAGTTCTCCAAGTTTCGTCTCTGTACAGTAGAACTGTCTTGACAATCGTATTGAAGATTGTGACTTTGATATTGTTTTAAATACTGCCCTTGATTTACCAATTCTTGCCTTTACGTCTGCATCTAATCTTCCTTGTTCATCGATGACACTACCCACGTACTTGAAGGTTTTTACATCTTCCAGAGCTCCTCCATCAAGTGTGATTGGGTTTGTGTCCTCCGTATTGTGTTCGATGATCTTGCTTTTTCGTTTGTGTATGTTGACGCCTACTGCTGCAGGGGCTGCTGCTACACTCTCAATGTCAATTAAATTGATTACTTTTACGTATTTATACTTTTAAACATACTAATTTCAGACACTTGTGAACTACAAGTTAAGATGAAATAATGACGTGTCATTATTTTGTTTTCTGTTATGAGGAATATATCTGTGATCTTATTTAATCATTAGAATTCATTTGTGTTTGTAACCATTTCGGTATGTGTTCAACCCTTCGTTTTGTGTTCCTTTCTTCCTTCTTTAATTTAGCTCAATGTAGTTTGAAATTGAATCTAACAGTTCCACTAGTGCAAATAATTCGTCGTCTACTTAATACATGGATCAAAACACAACAATTTCCAAAGTATGATGCAATGCCAGTAGTAAATCAACAAGACCTTTCATTTTTAACTAGTCAAAATACTGGTTCATTTATTTTAATTAATGAAACTGGAACATATTTACGATATAAATTGATAAAAAATCACCAATTAGATTCATTATTTAAACCAGAAGTGTAGGTTTTTTTTATTATTTAAAACAAATTATTTCAAATTTTGTTAAATGTTTTAATTATTATTCAATGTAAATCTAATCCTAGCCCTAACTACTTAAAAAAACACAAGATTAAACTAGGAAACTAGACAAAAAGTTAATTTCAATGGTTGAGATCATGAGTCAGTTGAAGCTAGACCACCATGGAAAACCTGTAAGCACTGGACGGCCATTTTGTCCTACTTTGGGGCTCATCAGCAGTGCGCATCCACGATCCCGCCTCACGAGATTCGAACCCAGGACCTATCATCCTCGCACGCAAATGCTTAACCACTAGACCAGGTTTTCCATGATGGTCTAGTTTCAACTGACTCATTATCTCAACCTTTGAAATGACTATAATATCCACAAAACCGTTTCTGATATTAAAATGTTAATTGTTGACTATCTGTCATGATCTGTGGCCCGTCAAATATCACGCGACAAAATTGCCAATCACTATATCGACTTCTATGCCCTTGTCCTTATGCGACACTAACGGTACGTCAAATAGCAAGAGCAGTATTGAGTCTTTACTGGTCCTCTGTACAACAACTCACTTAGCTTTACCCGTTCAGTCCAGAACACAAATATTAGCCTCTGTCATATTAATCGTATATTTTAGACATACATGGTTTATAAACAAACAGATCAGACTTCATCTCACCATAAGCTGAAGAATAATAATTATACAAGATCAAACCAAAAATGGCTGTGCGTGTGAGAGGTTGTAACTAATAGATTTAGAAAGACGTAAGAATAGTAAATCGTATAATAGTAGTCGATAGGTCAAATGAAAGCTTATGATTATAGGAGTATGAATATAATTAATAATATAATTGATTCTTAATTATCTAATAAGAATAAATGTAATAATAGTCCATAAATAATTCCTAACAGTTATCATTCATTTATTCTTCGTTTGGATATAACGCTATCAATCTATGAGACTATCATGAATACATTATGAAAATGTAAATTCACCAAGATGATAACACAATTACGTCAGGAGAAATTTGGCTTAGTAAACGTCACATTTTTATCGTGGAGAGAACGTTGGAACTTATTCTGAATTATGTCATCAAATTTCTTCAAATTTTAGTTACCATAACTCCGTGAACCCCAATCAAGTGGTGTGTACTTATCTACATAACTCAATTCAACAGTCATCTACTTCATGAATGGATGCTACACCTTAGCTTAGCGGCCCCTATATTTCTTTCAATGTACACTTACATCAGGAAACAACGAGTGCCAACTAATGTATTGTGTCGAAATGGTCTGATGTAATAGGTTTTAGGTTTTTCATCACTTATTCATGACTATTTTAAAAGTCAAATGATTGTATGATTTTCATTCACAACTGTTATAATCTTTAGTTCCTTAATGTTAGATGATTGCTAATCACTATATAGTAGTTATTTAGTCAAGTGTCTAATCTTTCATATGTTAAGCCAAAACAAATCAAAGCGCATTATCAGCTCGATCAGCACAAATGACTGATATTTAAACTATGATCGTTGAAATCCATGATTTTCATTGATAGCTTAATGGGCTATGATCATAAATATTTTAATGTAAGTGATCAGTTAACTAATCAATCGATATACAAACAATAAATTTTGACAAATTATCGAATTATTATTTATTTATTTATTCCATCATTTAGTTTGATACCGGATTTATTAGACAATAGTACTGATGATAATTCTGACGAACTTGGTCCAGATTCACGTGTATGTTTACCAATAAAAATATCATCGTTTGCTTATAATTTATCAACAAATACTCTACAAATTAATACAAATGTAGATTCTATACAACTGCCTAGTTTATCAGTACAAATAAATGGTTGGAAACCAATTTATCCAATATCTCTTGATCGATTAGGCACTTATTATCGTGTTATTGAACGATTAAATAATGCGGAACCTGTAAGTTTTTATTTCATATTGATGTATATATTCTGGTCAATTTTGTTTTCATGTAACATTTTCGATGAATTTTAACCAGTTTATCATCTTGACTTATTTTGGAAGAGTTTTCTTCTCATTTCAACGGTGAGATTTCATAATGGTCTAACCATTCAATGGACAGTAACTAATAGATATGTGCTTATTGAAGATTTTACAACGTACATCTTACGCGTCACTGAATTTGGAATCGTTTTGTGTTCTAATAAGAATAAGATTTCTTTAAACTAGTGATACATATTATCTTACTTCAGTTACATAGTGTGGCGATTTTCGAATGTCACCGATTAGTACATACTTTCTTTAATACACTGTCGAACTAACAGTATCTTTCGCAACATTTAAAGATTTTTATAATCATTGAAATTCCTAATGCATGTAATCAACACCATACAGTATATTGATCTATCTGTCCAACTCAGTCGAATTACTATACATTACTATACGTATAACAATAAATAACTCATCTCGTGCAATTCATTTCTTTGTTAATACATGTGAATTGTTTATTTTTCTTCAATTCTTTCTTATAGGAAATATTGAAAAGTGAACAGAATGAATGTTGGAAATATCATTTACCAATATTTAATCGTTTGATCATTGATATAGTTCATGATCAAAATTCACATTATTCGATTTATTTAAGATCTGGTTTAACTATAACAAATGATTTAAATCAAAGTATTAATATTGGTTTAGAAATTACATCACCGAAATCATCATTATCATCCTCAGTATTCGTATTGCATAAATCGTCGGAATCAGTAATCAGTTCATCTGATGCATATCTTAAAAATGTACTTTATGAATCAGTATTATTATTAACAGTATGTAGACCAAAATGTACTTATGCTGTCCCAATTAATATTGTTGGATTAATGTCACTAGGATTAGGAAATTTATGCGTTTCTCCAACAAAAACAGTTATGAATCGAAAAGATCTTTCTTCGTTATTAATGAATAACACTAATGAACAAAATAAATTTACGGATAATTTATACGATTGGGCTACTGTTTATCATCATAACAATGAGATAATGACCGAGGAAGAACAACTACAATCTACATGTTCTTCTTCAATTCCAACCTCTACAGTTTCATCATTGTCATCATCATTAACTGATTTCGTGGATAAACGAAGGAATTCATCTATAAGAATGGTGAATTGGACAAGCTTAAAACAATCGGGTTAGTGTTGTTAATGAGATTTTAATAAGAATATTTGTTGAAATTTTGAACTTTGATGCTGATATAGTGGTAGAAGTAATCATGTCAGCGTGCTGGTAAAAAAATAATGCTCGACTCTCAGCTTCAGGAATCGCAGGTTTGAATTTCACTCTGTCTATTTAGATTTACGAATGTGAGTAGAATCACCACCTTCTGCCTTGACGCATGCATAAGGTAATTTGAAAAAAGTGCAAATTGGTTAAGCCATAACATGTGGTCAGCTTGTTGAGTCACAGATTGTTGAACTACCTGTTTCTAGTATGTTTGGTAACTGGAACCAATATTTGAAGACTTTGACATATGACTCAGAACAAGTCACAGTCACACAGATCCAATCATGTTTTGCCGTAAAACACTTAAACTTCTCATTCCTAAAGTTCTTTTTTCGTCTCAAACCATATTTTCCTTTGTTAACTACATCTTGTTGTCCTAATATATTGTGTCAAATCAAGCTGATGCACACGTAGGTCAAACTCTACTTTAGTTATTACCATTAATATAATTACCGATTGACATGTTATAATCACACTGTGTTGTGTGTGTTCGAGTTACTTGTCCGCTGATCACGAGTATACTTTAAATGAATTTGCTGATTTGAATTGCTCTCTTGTTCACTTTTACATGCACTATGTTTGTTAACATGAGATCGACAACTACTTCTCGTCTACCTACATTTGACCAGTTTTCAAATTTTTACCCAAGCTAACGAGCAAAAGAACAATGTAAGCGGTGCGTAACCGTGTGTTACATACGTCTTAACCATTTATAAACCGATTCGCCTTTCTTGCCTAAAAATCTTTTGTTTTCTGCCTGAACTTCCTTTGGCCGCTTAACATTAAAATAATGAACCAGATTTTGAATGGCTTGAACTAGTCACATAGCAAATTAATCGATTGAATTTGACTAGTCGTACTGAGGAGGAGTATTCAAATACAATATCATTTATTGGTTAGTGATCAATCTCTTTGAAGTTAATTGTATTTATTTCCTTTTATGTTTCATTGTATTCACATAGACGAATTGTTAGAAGCTATACTGATATCAACATGTCAACTTCCATCAAATTCACGAGCAATACACCAGATTAGTTCTTTACAACGATTTCAACAGACTAATACTACTACTTCTACTTCTATATCATCATCTTTGAATAAAACATCTTCATCAGGTTTTAATAGCAATAACAATAAATTTCATATTTGTGTAACTGTTGTACGTGATCAATTTCCCTTGGATCCTCAGTGGAATAAACTATATTCTAATCAATGGTATACGAATTATAAACATTTGTTACCAATCACTTTACCAGGTCATCATATTACTATTGGTCCAGTGTTAAGAATTACTAATTTATTACCATGTGATATGATATTTTTTATTTTTGAAACTGATATTAATGGTACATTGGGATCGAAAGAAGAAGCATGTGTCCATAATGTAAGTATATCACTCACATAACTAATGCACTTACGCCTGTTACTCCTCGTGGAGGAGCATAGGATAACTATTGTACGATATATATATATATATATATATATATATATATATATATATATATATATATATTGATGTAATATATAAAGTGTATTGAATAGCTGAGATCAGTTCTATGTAAAGGGTATTGACAAAGAATTTTCGATAATAATAATAAGTGTGATGTGTAATTCATTAATTAGCTTATGCGTTTAAATGGCATTTGATGAGCGTGAGAACTTGACTCTACTTAAAGGCTTGAAAGCAAGTAAATCGAGACGTTCAATGAGTATAAGACATATTGAAACAAAAGACACCTTTGATGAGTTCGAACCCGTTTTGCACGGTAACTAAATCATAGAAGCTGTCATTGTACTGTTCTGGGCGCATCTAAACTCTCAAGAGTATGATGTGTTTATCAACTCATAACTCTTGTATTGGTATAAGTCTTTTAACGATACATTCTGATAAAAAAGAATTAATATTTAAAGTTAAGTAACTTCAGCGTGTTTCTTTCAAGTATTTGGTTTGCACTTTAAGGAAATAACCAATATAAATCTATCGAACATGACTTGAGTTATGAAGATAAAGCCTGTATTTGTATTTTTTTCATTTGAAATATCCGACTGCGATACACTGAGTACGTCTATAACACACAATTTCTGATAACTCCAGCTGTTACATGTGCATTTGCGTCTAACCTAAATTTTCACTATGGTTCGGTTTAAACATTTCAGTGTATAAGTAAATCATCTTGTCCATATTTATGTGTTATCATGCTCATCAACAGTGGGGAGAAATGAAATGTCTAAACATAATTGAAACTAGTATAGATGGACTTGTGAATGTTGTAAAATTTCCACAGTTTAAGTCACGAATTCATCATAGCTACTCTACCATTGAAGATCTAAAAGCACTAGACGGCAGTTTTATTAGTGCGCAACCACGACTGTGCTCAGTGATTTGGATGTTAGGTGATCGTGCACGAAATCGAGTGTCTTTAGCTCGATTTCCAGTTGTGAGGTAGTGGATATGCACTTCTGAGAACTTCCGTACTAGGAGAAAATGGCCATCTAGCATTTTCAGATCCCTAATGGTGGTCTACTCATGATCACTTCGTAACTATTTCATGTTTTCCATAAGGATACAACTCATTTTTCAACTGATCAAATATGCAATCACGACTCGCCACTAAAACTCTTCAAAGTCTGTCTGCAAGAAGTGAGTTATTCTTTAAGTGTTCCTGAAAAGTAAGTACTGAAAATAGTAATATTTATGGTATTTGACCAATCAAATTGAGATTGCTTTATAATTCACTGAAATTTGAAATATACTTTTACAGATATTCGTTTTTTTTAAAATGTTTTGCTGATTTTTTAAAAGTTATTTCCAGTGAACACCATCAAATTTGGTATTCATTTAGATGGATTTCCAAAATGCGATCCATTGTCTATTCCATCAAATACTTACAATCAAAAAGTGCTCATTCGTTTATATGATACTTTGGGTCGACCATTAGAATTACAAGTAAGTAATAAAATGAACCACCTCTTTTTATATGCCATACACTAATTAAATAATCCAGTTTTCCAATGAAACGCATACATTTCATTTGGGAAGGTTCACCGAGCTTAATCGTTACTGCCAGCTAGATGCGCTGGTCGAGTTTCGACATCCTCTTAACCCAATCAAGCTATCCTGATTTAAGTGCTCATTCCTGTATGCTCTATCCAATCTTTTCAATTTTCTCTTGAAAAAATATACTTTCACAGTGTGCTCATCCGAGAAGTGGAAATCACCCACATACTTTTTACAGCACTCGTGACATGACATTGCATCATCGATGTTTACCGAGTATATGTATAATTATTTGATCGTTTCTCGATTTCGCCCATTTATTTTCGATATCTTCACTATCATATTCTGTGGCTAAATCTGATTTACACATTCAGAATACTTTTTATAATACGGTTTTTCTTTAATAAACAATAAGGTTTGCAAAAAATCTTTTTTTATGGAGCTACAGATTATAAACGAATTGATACTGCATAACCTTGTATTCTGTGTCATAAATAAGTCTTCTACACGTAGAGGATTTGTCGTCATACTTCCTATTAATCCTACTTCAACGAAACGTTTTGTTCAAACGATCACTGAAAATAAGGTTTTAATATATCTCAATAAGATCCAGGATTCTATGTTATTTTGTTATTTCTTTTCACAAAATTTTATTTATTTACAATCAGTTTCATCATAAACATCTGAAAGAAAATTAAACAAACGATGAATAAACTGTCACATACCGTTCAGTTCTCATTGAATCATTAAATTAATCTATATCAACTTACTTATAATTATGTATCAAGAACATTCAGTACATTTTTTTCCACCCCGTTCCAAGATAAAGAGCTTGAACAATCAACTAGTTGTGTTCTTGTTTTTTTTTGTGATGTGTATTAAAAATGTGACCCACTCGCTTTCCTTATTGAAATTGATGTTTTTGAAGTATCTATTTCCCCCCTCAATTCTTTCTAATTTGACGGCTCGCTCTGTTCTACTATAAAGCGCTTTTGTGAAGTATCTGGATAGTTGAGTTTTTTTCTCTCTTCTCATTCATTCAGAAATAAGTGAGTTCTCTTAGTGTCTAACACGGTATCTTATTCAAAGTTAAACTGTTATCTTCACCACTTCTCACTTCGTATTATGAATGGATATATCGTTGCTAACAATGATATCCCAGACGCATGTTTCTATCTAATTAGGATTCATCATTTGGATGTACCTGTATTTCAGTGTTGATACTTCGACGATGGAACTCACTAATTTTCGTGAAGTATACCAACACGTAATCCATTCATGTATTATTATTATTATTATTATTATTATTATTATTATTATTATTATTATTATTAATGGCTTTATGTACTGAGACTTCATACTGGCTAACTTGTTAAACGGGCAAGATACTTATGTATTTTAAAACGTAGAGTGCTGAAATTGAGTCTAAGTATTAAACTTAATACTGGGGTGAATGTGCATCTAACTTATGAGTTCCTAATAGATTGGAGCGCGCGTCTTCAATTTGACTATTAGTCACGATTCATCTTTTATAAATTACTTGTGACAAATTGTCGATCTGTCTAGATCCAACGTACACCAATAAAAACTGCTGAATACACAATACTGAATATCAATATTGGTATAACTTAAACGGTTACTAATTCATTTTCATGTTTGATTTTTTTTCCATATTACATTTATATGTTTAAGGTCCATGTTTGTTCCAGAGCATTTGGTGCACGTCATTTAACCGTTAGTCCTGTTATATGTTTATTAAATAAATCTGGTATACCGCTGATATTTGCTCACTCATCATCGTCATTATCATCTAATCAACTTAATTTACCATCACAAGCATCTATACTAGCTGCTGGTCAAATTGAAGAACACGAACAAGCTTGTGCTTTGATGCCGTTACTTTTTTCATTTGCAAATAAATCTGAAGGTTATCTACTACGTGTTCGTATAGGGAAAGGGTACATATTAGTTTTATCATATTGCTATATATATATATATATATATATATATATATATATATATATATATATATATATATATATATTCCTTTCTTTCTGACCAATTTTTGACAGTTATGTAATTGGTAATTAATTAATCGAATATTGATTATTGACTAATATTCTGTTGCTTAGTCATAAGTATTTATAGAATTCTATCAACTTGTAAATAAAACTCTATGACGAATATTATTTGGTGGGACTTAGGTTGATTCAGGAATTTTGCGATCGTTAAAAAAATAGTGTACGGTTATGTCAAGTTACTTTTGCCTTATTAAGTCACATTACAACTCGATCTGTAGAATAAGATTGACAATATCAAAGGCTTGACAAGATAACAATAATATGTAAACACATCAGTGGGATAAAAAGTCAATGGTTTTCTGAATAGGTTCCTTGCTGATGTTTCTGACTAATGTATCTTCACAGAAAGCATCAATTCCCCGATAATTCACATACCTTTTGCTAACGATCCTAACCTGCACAATCTCCATTTGATATTCGCATGGTAATCATTAAACATTCAACTGTTTAAAGTAACTCTCCTTTTGTATCTGGAATACAATGGATGTGGATCGTTTTAACTAAAAAGCAAATAAACTAGAGGACATACAATACTCATGGTTATAATCATTTCCTGACACAGAACTTTGTTAGTGTTTAATAACAAGTCAAATTATAACTAATTTGATATAGTTCACTCATGAATTTCATCTACAAATTCTAACTGAATAGATTCGACAAAATGGCATCTCTAATCATCAATGGAATATAAGTTTTGTGTAAAAATAGTATTTATAAATTCAATTAGTATTGTTTTACTTGAATCTTCGCACTGATGTTTAGGACTGCAATTGATCAGTTTCTTATTGACATATGTGCATACTATGCGTATCGTCACGATATTGCCTTAATTCACAAGCATTATAAGCAAAGATGGAGAGTGGCTAGCAGTGGAATGCAGGACGCGCGTTTCGTCCTATTTGTGACTCGTCTATAATTTGTCTGCAAAATATTCCAACAAAATTGTATAATGATCATACTTTTAAAAACGTTTTAAAATGTATTTTTTAAAAAAATCAAAATGTTATCTCATTTTCTTCCTTCCTCTTTCTCTTTCTCTACCTATTACTTTTTTTGTAGGTATCATAGTGAGAATGATGTTTTACCTAACAATGAAAATGATCAACTTCTGACTTATAACATAAAACGTTGTACATGGTCACCTGGAATATCTTTAGATAAATCTGGTGTGGATGTATTGCAGTTGAAAGTGTACACTGAAAATAATCGGTCAGTTATTATTATGATTATTTACTTTGGACATTTTAGGGATTTTTGCTTAGTTATATGAGAATTATAATACTTGTCTATAACTTACTGTTTTAGGGTCCTATCTATACACACTACGTTTTAACTGACTGTTATGTGTTACACTCCTTAAATTTCTGTCATTTTTAATCACTTGCTACTTCAGTTAAGATATGTCACTTTCTCTTACACATAAACGTTTTACCTCATGGATTGAAGTCTAATCTGTAAGCTCATCAACTTTGAACTATTGAATCCGTAACATGCACTGAAACCGAGACCTATCAGTTCTTGTCAGAACAGAATTAGACACCAGTCAATCAGTGGTCAGTCAGTCACAGTATCGGTTCAAGTTGCAATATCACATTAGCACAGAGAGATGAAATTGTCTAGTCAAATATCAGAATAGTTGACGTAGTAATAGTATCAGTGGTGAGTGAAATGATTAGGGATCGAAGATATGATTCAAGAAATTTTTAAATTAGTGAATTAATTACACACAAATAGTTACGAGGAATTTAAAATCTCAGAATTTGGAGCAAGACAAGGAATCGATGCGCCTATAACATTGTAGATGATTTAGAACTATGTTATTCAAAGTCTCTAACCACTGGTTGTTGTTCTGCGCCAAAAATCCTTTCAAAATTAAATTAATCTCTCCACTACTGTCGCGTGTACTATCATTCACTTCACTCTCTTTCTACTCTGTATTCCAGCTTATCTTCGGTACGTTATTTAGGTTTTGAAGTTGACACCGGTCATGATCCCAATGATTCATCACTGCCAACTACAACAATGGTCACATTTCGACCACGTTATATCATTGAAAATTTAACAAAATATCAATTAAATGTTACACAACGATATTGTTTAAAAACAGCTAATAATTTACCTGGTGAGTTCATAGAGTACTTTTCGCCTTTGTCCAATAAAATAATGAAAATGGGATAATTTTCAAATAGTATTCCTGGAAATACTCACTTTTGATCCATAAATGTTGTTGAAAGGTTCGTAATGCTACCCAATTGTCAATATTAAACAAGGAAAATGTGGGCTTCCAACCTAAATGTTGATTAAAATTCCACCTAAGTTGACGGAGCTACTTTGGACCAATCATGTTAGAAGTTTTAACAGGCCCAGTAAATTAATAACTAACAAAATCTCCAAAAATGATACAAAACCCTCGTTCAAATTTTGACACAAATGTCATCTAAATCTCAGATAAAATGATTATCGGTAACCTATTTATTAATTAACATGTCGACCAAGGAATAAAAACGAAAACCTTGACGCTTATTGGTCCACCTTCCAATCAGAAGGTCAAGATAAAGAGTAGATCTGTTACTCATTGTACCCAATTCAATTATAACTCAAAACGTATGCAATACTATACCTGAAATATTCTGACTACACAGCAACATTATTGAGAAATGACAACATGTACATAACTTGGCCATGAGTAAAAGAAAATCAGAGTAATAAGTTAATAATTAATGCCAAATCTGGAACTGTAAGATATAGGACAGTCATTTATGGGTCAAACAAAAGCTTAGGACTAAGTGATATAATGGATGTTTAAAATATCTTATCTCACTCTCTCACACATTTTACGATAATACGTTAGTACGACAATAAGACTAGTCATGTTACATCAGATTAACACTATTAAGTACAACTTCAAACAGTCACACTCAGTGAGTCCGGAGTAGAAATCAATGCGAGGAAGGGAAGTCCCTTATTTAATAGTTCGTAGGCTGTGGCTATCAACAACCAATCATATTTTGATGCCACTACCACACAATAGGATAATATAAAAATACTGCTGTGAACGTGAACACAGGTAAGGGACAACCAATGTGTCTTAATACAAAATTACAGAGTTCTTTCGTAAAATGTAAAAACCATAAGTCCAATACTTCATTTGCAAATCCTCAATCAATTGTCTTAAACTCCATCGTTCGTTCATTTCTATAACAATTACTCTCTGTTCTTGTTCTCTTCGATTTGATCTTTCCAACCTTCTGCTATCAGGCGTTTCATATCTGATTAGTTTCACATACTACTCATATCTGTCGACATAAGTAGCATACACCACAATACAACAGTCCAGGCGTTCAATAATTATACCATAAAATATGAATAATAATCCTTTCTACGATAATCTCGGGTGTTATACTTCCGCATTACTCGTACCCTTAATTGTTATGTGGGTTAGAAGAAAGTTAAAATGTGTCAAATCAAAATATTGAGTCACTTCATGGACTCAATAATTAGTTATCAAAGCCATTTAGGAAGTCCATAATTCCTGTTTGAATATCGTGAAATAATAATAATTTTCATAATCGGTGGCTAAAGCTGTTGTATATCATGACTTTAAAGTTGATGAGAACGGCTCAAGTGTATACTTATTATTCTTACTGAACAGTATTATCATTTATCAAATTGTTATAAAACCATTGAAGTTAGTTCAAACACCTATCCATCTACGTCGTTTAGGATACCTGGTTGGTTTAATTATGAATAGATTTGATAATTTAAAGCTTGCACTTCAATTTGTTAATTACCTTCTCACGAAATACTGGGAAGTATGAAATGATCTTTATTTTCAAAGTTAGTCTACATATAGACCGCATGGTAATATGTGACCTCAAGATTCCAGCTACTTCTGGATTACATGCTGCCAATGTAAGATAATCTATTGTTTTTCTACCATTCTCTTCTAAGTTCCTAAACGATGCTGATTGATCGATGTATTATCGAATCATTTGTGTTTTGTTGGTTTCTTTATTATTTTAAGCTTCAATTATCGTTTATCCAAATCGTAGTCAATCATTTCATTGGTCTAACGATGATTTAGATCGTCTTTTATGTATGCGTGCTGCGATTAGCACTTCATCATCATCTGTTGTTCATGATCAAATGACAACAGGAATCAATAATCGATCTGATGATTTATGGACGATGTGGTCTGGTGGTTTTCAGATAGATCATGCTCATTCATTTATTATAATGTTAAGGTAAATTTATTTAAGACACATCTTGGCGATTATTATCATATTTCTTTTATTCTCAATTAATCTGATATACTTAAAAGATTTTAATCCATTTAACTATCGAGGTAAGCAATTATTTGACATATGTATCAGGTGTCTTGCCTTACTCAATGGATCACTGTTGAACGACATAACGTATGTGATGTACACTTTCTATTGGCGATTGTAACGCTTTAATTATGGACTTATAGCTGCAGACCATAATAGTCGAGTTTTTGTAAACGATTATTCACTTCAGAAGGGGTTTTGTGGAGATTTTTAGAAACCTCACTGATTGGAATCCTGAGTCGATTGAAGCTAGACCACCATGGAAAACCTGGAAGCACTGGACGGCCGTCTCGTCCTAGTATGGAACTTCTCAACAGTGCGCATGCATGACCCCGCACCCTGCGAGACTCGAACCTCGGACCCATCAGTCTCGCGGCAGGCGCTTAACCAACTAGACCACTGAGCCGGTATCCAACGGTGTTAATGTCTAGGTTCAACCAATCCATGAAGTTGCGCCACCATACACCATTGTCTTCAGTGAGTTGATATCTCACAACAGAATTGATTGAACTCCACTTGTAACAGCTTCTCACTAGAACTCCAGGAGTATCTCTTGAATTCGGTCACTAGTGGGCAAATGATTATTATCAGAAGGGGTTCTATGGAGATTTTAGAAATTTCACTGATTGATTATTCACTTGAATATTTTTTGGCATTTTTGGTTTTGAACATATAAGAAGTAGGTCGAACGTGGATAAATAAACTTTAAAATTCTAATCACAAAACATCATGAAAACTACGTAATAGGAAATGGGTAAAAAACGACAGAAAAATACAGGATGTGAAAAAATTGATATAGTTTAATAAGTCATATGTGGTCAAGACAGAGACTGTTGTCACCAATTACGTTTGGATGCATAAACTAGTATTATACATTCGGATCTCTGCAGCTTATGCTATATGTAGTAAACCAAACCACTTTTTATTAATTGGTTGAACTGACCTATTGATGTTTAGTACTGCAATTGATCAGTCTTTTTTTTTGCATATATGCATCCTGTGCGGATCGCCTCGGTATTACCATAAGTCACAAGCTTGACAAGCAGAGACCGATGGTGGCCAACAATGGAATCTAACTGACGAGTCCCAAATAGGACAAAAACGCACGTCTTACATCTGACTGTTAGCCATCATCCATCGCTATTTATAAGGACCAAAACCATGTTGTGAAGTAAATGACGAAGATATACGATAAGGTCATTCGAATTAATTCGATTTTATCTACCATATCTCTTCTATTCTAATATTCACAATGAGAATGTTTAATGCGTTTTTCTTCTATTTTATTATTTTTTTAAATTCATTTCAATTTTTCTCTCTGTAGACTGAATCGTTTTCATCAAATTGTTGATTTTCCACAATCGTTATTTTTTCATGTGATTATCACTTTACAATCAGCCACTTTTTTTATAAAAATTCAGCATTACCATGGTTTACCACCATTTCGTTTTGAAAATCTCAGTTCAATTTGTGTTTACTATTGTCAATTAATTGATTCAATTCATTTAATGAATACAAATTCAAAATTACAACATATTAGTTCGTTTAATTCTGATAAACATATTCATGATAATTATTTTCGTCGGGGTGTATTGCATCATTCCATGTCATCGATTCATGATGATGAATCGATTAGCAATAATGTTGATGAAATTAATAATCAAATTCTTGATAAATGGGATGGTGGAGCTTGTCCATCGTTTTTAATTCCTGGATCTATAATTCCATATGCTTTAGAAGAACCATGTGGTAGTTCCTCAGTTATTTTTAGTGTACAGGTAGGTAATTGAATTCGATTTTCTGTCGATTATTTCTTTACCCTGATATCCATAGAAGATACTTATTATAAATCGTTTCATAAACAATGTTAATATGTATCTGGATATCTTTAGATTATTTTTGCAGAACTAAATTGTATGATAAAATAGACCAAATGAAACTGAATAATTGTATTAAGACGTTTTATTAGATTGTTTGTTAAGTGTAGATAATTTATTTTTCAATCTCGAACTGTTAGCATTTCTCTGGGTGCATCTCACTGTTGGGTCCTCCATATGCTCTATTTTCTTGGTTAGGTGTTTATTTATAGTTTTCTTAGTATACCCACTTTGTTTCATTATAGTATTCAATGCTTTTGTTTGTTCTTCAAGCGCATCTGTGGAGTATATGTTGTTGATTGTTTAACGAAGTATTTTATTCAGGTTTCCTTTATATTTCGGAGTTGCAAAACTAATAAACTTTATATGTTAGCCAGTCCAAGTTTCTTCTTAGTGACACATCTATTCTCCTTGTAGGTAATACTTTAGCCAAAAAAGTTACACAAGTAATCCATTTAAATTTAAATTAATACAACATCCATTCATCACTGTGCTTATCTAATTGATTTTTGATCTTTTCAAAATTCATTAAAGTATACTTATCTTTCTTGTTTGTTTTCTTTTTCCAGTCTCATTTTCTATACACTGTTAACAGTTTAATGTTTACATATCTTAATCAGGATGAACTTATTATTTTTATTTTCTGCATAATTTTAGGATGATATCAGTGAAATAATTAATTTGGATACAATGAATATCAGTAAAATTTTACGTTATGATAATTTTGTTTACCTCACTTTATTTGGACCATTAATGGATTATATTGTCCCAACAGAAATGAAAACTGATAATGATTCACTGCGTAGAAGAAGTTCATCATTACCTAATCTTGTTTTTGATATACTCCCTGGATCTAATTATGTTGTTTGTGCTATCAAGGTTAGTAAGTCTAAGGTATATGTAAGATGGTTTACACTTTGTTGACTTTATGAATGACTACCTTATTCATTATCATTCTTATTTTTGTGTTTTACTTTATACTACTTGATGGTATTCAGTAGCGCTTTTTTTGAAGCAATTTTTACAACATCGATGAGCCACATTTTTACTGTGAATTTCATTCTTATCTTTTATTTTGATGGACAGTATGATAGAATCAGACCACCAAGTTTAAATTCCGTGTCCAGTATTATCAAATTCACTCAGATTACGTCATAATAACGTCTTTAGACATATTTGCCTCTTTTTCGATGTGGTTGTTTTCTCTGATCAGGACTTCTCACGAGAACTTCGGGGCATCTATCGGGATATTTGCCACTAGTAGGTAGGCACAAATAAATTATGGTTGAAGATAAAATTCTTCTGAAGAGGAACATAATTGTTCACTTACTAATTTTTTCTTTCCACACTGCCTACATGTTTCCCGTATATTTGAACTATGATAGGTAGTGAAATCTAGGGTGTTTCGTCCTGAGATTTGTAATTTGAATATACTTGAACCTCAGTGTTGATATTGGAACCGAGATTCATAACTGAATTTATTTTTAAATACTATTATCTATATATTGCTTATAGTTAACTACCATTCCATTCCTCTTTCATCTAACATCTTGTGTATTTTCGTCTCATCTTTCAATAGTCATCAAGGCGTCATTCACAATTATGGAAATTATCTGATGATGGACTAATTTATCATGAAAATACTTCATTGTTGACTCCATCATCGTCTAAGTCCGCACGAAAAAGTTCAAAGAATAAACATCAATTTGTTTTAGATATAAATCGTAAAGGTGATCCAAATGCACCATCGAGTAATGATCAATTGGTTAGTATCAATGGATTAATCGATCCAGAAACTTTAAAACATTTTGAAGTTGTTCAACTTATTATTGCTAAGCCGAGTAAACAACGAAAAGCCTATCAAACCTGGAGAATCGATCAAGTAGGTTGTATATATACTACTGTGTATATGTTTATTGTCTTATGTCAGCATCTAGTTGAACCCGGATAAATTCTCATGACAAGCATGCAATATTGAGTTCAGTAAAAAGTCTGCAAATAGAATCCTGCTAGTCTCCTATCAGAGAAATCTGCCGTATTTCATGGTTTCCATCTAAGTACTTGTATTTGGAAATGATATCTCTCAATAATACATAATGTATTATTTTCTCCGGCTTACTGTTACATTAACATGATCATCGAGATAAGCGATGCTTAGGCATATGTAACGCATTTCCTAACCATTTCAATTAGTGGGGATTCTCTGCTGCATCAATTGATTTGCTACCATTGCTTATTACGTTACATCTTATTTTAATATTATACACCCGATCGTCCTACGATAGATGAGCAGTGCTTCGAAGATACTTATGGTTGGAAGCTTACAGTATACTCTTGTGCTCTTTATTTACTTACTATATTTTACAGCCGTAAACGTATGCAGGACGAACTTCTTCACTGTACGCTCGCTCTTTAGTTAACCAACTGATATCTCGTCTACTCTACAAGTTACTTAAGTTGCCAAGTTCAAATAGAAATTTCTTTGATCCATGCTGAGTTTTTGTCATACGAGACTCTCATGATAAGAGAAATGATTAACTACTTTATTCCCTATCATTAGTTTAGAGGTTAACGTAGATCGGGCTCGAAGCAAATTTTCTCATTTAAAGGGAGGGAAACGTAGCCTAAAGATGTTTGCAAAGCAATCAGAAGGCTCTGAGCTTTCTTAGCGTCTTCGTCAAATATAACTATGTTATGTCGATAATTAAACTTAAATGCAAGCCTATTTGTAACTAAAGAGTGTCATTTCAATTTTCCGTATATCTAACTACTGCACATCTACTCATACCTTTTTATATATCTAGAATGGTCTGTTGGTCAACAGTGCATTGTTTTGTGTACAAATTCGTCGTGATCTAATGGATGTTATGTCGTCTTCACAATTATCATTGGATAGTAGTTTTGAAGAGAGCAATGTTGATGACTTAATGAATTTATCACATCATATTTCATCAAATCAATTAATTTTATTAGCTGCACGTCCACGTCCATTAGCAACACGTTTAATTAGTTCATCTATAACATCAGCAATGATTTTACCAATATGGCTTCGTCCCGGTTCCGGTAGACTACGTTTATTCACTTATCTAGATAAAGCTACACGTGTTTTACGTATTGAAGATGAAGATTCAAAAAATACTGAATTAACTACACAAAATACAGATAATGTAAAAACAATTTCACGTTGGGGTAGAAAAACATCATCAATAACATCACAAGGAGATGTAAGTGTTGTTAGATTTTTTTTAACAAAAAATATGAATAATTTCTTGATGTTTTTAAAGATTTCTAACGTAGTATGAATCCTTTCTTCTGTTTACTGTCTGATGAAGTGACTTACCTGAAGTTACAAAACATCGGAAAGTCCATTTATTTTGTATTTCTTTACATCATCAACTTACACTAGATTGAATAGTTTAAACATTCCACCTTATATTTACATTGAGTCGCTTGAAACTCATTATAGCTTGTGGGTTTGTGTCACCTATCAATGTATTACGTAATGATGCCGCCAATTAGAGAACATTGATTTATCGATTGGACCGATGACGCGTAAAACCCGTACGAGCAGTCTAGAGTCTTTATCGGTCCTGCTTCCCGCCTAACTCTGCCTGCTAATTCCAGAACATCAATCTCAGTCTCCGCGATCAATATGAATCATATATTTCAAATATACTGGGTTTATATACAAGCTAAACAGATCACATCACACCATAAAATAGGAAATAATATTTATACAAGATCAAACCAAAAAGTGGTTATGAACATGGGAGACTGTATTTCATAAACTGGGCATAACTTAAGAATGGTCAATCGTATAATAATAGTTCATAGGTCAAAATAAAACTTATAATAAGAAGAATATGAATATACATAGTTTAATTACTTAACAATTATACAATAAAAATACATGTATAATATTAGTCCATAAATAGATCCCAACAGTTACCATTCATTATTCTCATCGGAATATAACCAAACTATTATTCATTTATGTTTCAAATGTTATCATCATTTGCATGATAGAAAGCAATTTACAAATGAAAGTATTTTAAATATCAAAATTGAAACTATAATTATCATCCTAGCTTATCAAGAAAAGTGGTACCATTATGGTGAGATAGCAGGATGCGCTTTTCTTCTCATTTGAAACTTATTAAATAGATTTATTTGTATTCTAGTGTTGATCATCACATTATAACTTTATAATTGAAGAATTCAAAGTTTGATATTGTTATATCCGTACGAGAATAAATGGATGGTAACTTTTAGGAATTACTTATGGACTAATATTATATGAATATTCTTATTGTATGACTATTCAGTAACTATATTATGTGTATATTCATATTTCTTTCATTATAAGCTTTTATGTGGCTTACTGACTCTTATCGTACGATTTACTATTCTTGAGATATTCTTAATCCAGTAACAGTTTCTCATAATCACAGTCATTTTTGGCTTGATCTTCTATAATTGTTATTTTCTATTTATAGTATGATGCAGTCCAGTTTGTTTGTATATAAATCCAGTATGTTCGAAATATATGATTCGTATCGCGGAGGCTGATATTGACGTTCTGCACCTAACAGGTAGGGCTAGGCGGAAAAAGTACCAATCGGAACTCCAGGTTGCTCGTATTGGTATATACGTCATTAGTTTGGTCGTATCTTAATTTGGTAGTCGTATTTTGCGATATCGCATAAGTTAAGTACATTACAGACACTTATTAATTAGGTCCCGGGTTCGAATCTCGCGGGGTGCGGAATCGTGGACGCGCACTGCTGAGGAGTCCCATACTAGGACGAAACGGCCGTCCAGTGCTTCCAGGTTTTCCATGGTGATCTAGCTTCAATTGACTCATGATTTTAATCTGTGAAATTTCTAAAATCTCCACAAATCCCTTCTGACTTATTAATTATCTCTGGTATATTATCAGATTACAGTTAAAAAGTATGTTCCTTTTTTGTTTATTGTATTCATTGTTCATTTCTTTTCTTTGTAGCTGTACCTGCAACGTGAATCATCAGTATGGGAGGACTCGTCTTATCAGTCAAATTTATGTAGTAGTCCTGAAACACGAGATCTTCATCGATTGGTGACCAATTTTAAGGTATATATTGTTTATTAAAAATAATCTCAAGATAATGTATTTCAATAACCTTCTTTAGTTTTTCTAATAAGCACTTCATAACGTTATGAATCAATTATAACGATGATAGCTGAACAGTCAGTTACTATCACCAGTCAGAACGAAGATAATTTATGTCAAAGCATAGTAAATAAGCTTGTATTTGGTTAAGGAATAACAGTTCTAAAGTTTTACATTTCGTTTTCTTTTCAGTTGAATCAGATATTTCTCTATAGTGCATCATATCACACTTGTATGTGAATAGATAATTAATGAAGCCGTATTGTAACAATGAGCCAGTTCAAGTCAAAATATCGGCTATTTGTGTAAAAGTAAAACAATAATATCTGCTACGACTCGACTTATGAACCATCTCGTAGAAAATATCCTGATTTTATGCTTAATACGTGTAGGACCGATTAAACAGTGGTTTAGTAAATAAAGCGTTTTACGTTTAGCCCCTAGATCCCGTTTTCGATTCCCGTTCCATCTACTTCGCTCTGAGCAATCTGGTAGTATTATTACCTGTTACATGTGGAGTATGCCTCATATCCTAGTACCTGGTTTATTGTTATTGTTTACATACTATTAGTAAGTGTTTACAATTTCTCGGTGTTAATATTCATTCCTACTATTAATCAGTTTTCGTTACTATTTATGCCTCATGAACGGATTACCTTGATACAGCATTTACTCGCAAGTTATAGTATATTTGATATGTGTCTGACAGTGGAACCCAGGATACTAGTTTTACTCTATTTGGGCTTCATCAGTTGGATATAACTACATCTTATTATAATTCGAATCTATTAACTTCCTCTTTAAATACCAAGCCATTGTTTATTAAAGCACTGAGTTGGAGCGTATGGTATTGATATGACGCTTAGTCATAAGTTATATTGACATTTTTATTTCTGTGGATATAAACTCTGTTTTTCTTACTTTCTAATTTTTCTAGGCTAATTTAACTCTGCCTAATGGAATTGGAATTAATGTTATATCATCATTTATGGAAGAACTTATCTATATTTCATTAAGTGATATAAATTTATCATTGATTCGAACTTATTCTGATGTATTAACTGCTAATACTACCCCTACTACTTCATATCTCGTATCATCTAGTGAAAATTCAATGATGAAACATGCTAATAGTTACTGTAACATTTTAAATGACAATCGTTTATCATCTATTACACATCATGGTTTAAGTTCAATTGATCTTGCTCATCCATCTGGTATCTCACGATCTTCATTGAATGATGACAATGCCAGTTACAATAATAATCTTACGGATGAGAATGAAAATGGATCTTGTCTTACTAAAGTATCTGAAACATTTCAATTACTTATTGGTCATTTTCAAGTACGTAGTAACACATTTTGAAGTAGTTTTTTTCTTAAATTATGACATTTAAGTAATTATCAACATGGAAAATGTTTTTCAAAATATATTTTACCTCAGGAGATCCTTCACATCATAGGAACCACTTTCTCTGTTATAAAGTATCTGAGCGATCTGCATCTACAACCCTGTCAGTGATATAACGTATAATCTCTAAAGGATAAATGAAACAGTTATCGCGATGCATAAGCATGTTAATTCAACCCTGTCTGTAGTGGTTCTGGGGGGCTGATTGTGTACTTCTTAAGTTTCATGTAGAAATAAAGTGATTGTCAAGTGATCCCTTCTGATTTACTGGGTTTTTTTATAGCTAATTTATGTTTATTTGTCAATCAGTTATAAGCAACATGGAGTCTGACACATATTTAGTTCAATTTTTGTCTTACTATATTGGTACAATGCGAGGAAGTTGTCAGGTTAAATACTGGATCACTAGATTTAGTGTAGACGATTAACTATAAACGATCTAATTTCAGAAGACACATTGATTTATTGGAATAATAAGTCTATGGTAATTTTGCAACTTTAGATCTAAACAAAAACAAATGGTGAAATGCATCTTAGTCACTGTGAACGATTCTAAACTGTGTCAGCTAATGTCTCCAGTCATTAGGATCCCAACCAAGTAGTCTACACCTACCAACGCGGCTCATCTCAACAGTTATAGATTGATCTTATATCTTGTATTCTTTGGATTGTGTTAGTAGATTCCAGTAATTTTCACTGTATCTCTAATTGTTCCGAAGATTTCGCACTTTAAACTAAATTCATCTGTCAAAATATCGCCAACATTTTCATGCTTTCTAGATGAGATCAGTTGATTTGTGGGTCCGAGTCCCGCGTGTGAGGTCGTGAATAACGCACTGCTGAGGAGTCCCATAGCAGGACTAAATGGTCGTTCAGTGCTCCTAGGTTTTCAATGGTGGTCTAGCTTATATCAACTCGTGAATTCAACTATTAAAATGATATCCCTATTGACAAATGACTTCTTACATAAATTCTTTTTCTGTCGTTTTTTTTTCTTCAAAATAACTTAATAGATTGATAGTCAATTTACTGGTGCTCTTTTCCCAGTACTTTTGTTTCAAATCAATACAAAATCAATAACCAATGATGAATATCATCTTCCTCATTTGAATGTTAGTGCTGATCATCAAAAATTAAAAATGAATTCATTTCCAAGTTATGCTACAACAACTACTTCTACTACTGAATTCATACAAATGAATGAAATGAAACATTTATCTACATTAAAAATCACTTATTCACGTGATGATATTCAAAACAATTGGCCAGTACACTTATTTAAAATATTTCAGGTAGAAATAAATCAACTATTTCTATTATTATTATGGTTTTTTTCAATGTAGTGTTTACTACTTGTACGGATGGATATAAGTAGTATGTAACTGGGATTGAAAGTAGAATTCTTATGAATAGAAGGGGAAAACGAAGAGAAGAGAAATAAAAATAGGAATAGAAGAGAGATCGATTTGTAAGGGGATACTCAACGAAGATGAGAAACTTTTGTATTAGTGTATTGTTTTCATATATTATTGACTGTCTCATGAATTCAATCTTATAGACGTAAAATCATAAACTTTATTCAAAAAAAAGCTTTGCATATTGAAGATTATTTAAAAAGTGATCTGAAAAGTATCAGGTAGGAATTATCTGGAACAGATAGACTGTCATTATGATTTACATTATGGTTGTATTTTTAATTACACACCAATTGGTATTGATTGTAAATGAAATGTTCGACAATTTACAATCTACGAGGTTGACAATAAACATAGGGTCATTTTACTAAGAACTATTGAAATATTTTATTAGATGTTAAATCGAATCTTTGACATCCTGAACCCAATAGTCGTTGATGTTGTTCATTTTGTTATGTCGGATCTAATGTAAAATTGTATTGGTCTCATTATTTTAGAGAATTGTTAAGTAAAACTTCGAAGTGAGTTTTGTTTGTACTTCTTCACATCCATCTAACTAGGTTCGTGTATACTTGCTCTTAAAGTATATATTTTAATTGACTAAGTCTACTAACTCAACATAGCTGTCTCAAACAATTTATGCTCTAGTTAATTGTTGAAAATCAGATATTTTAACAAATAAGCTGATCACATCCGTTGCTGTCACTTGTAACCATCTTCGGAACTCGATTTTTTGCGAATTTGTGGACATCAACTGATGAAGAAGAAAAAATTAAGATAAACTAATTGTCTAGTACTGTTACGACTTAAATTAGCTTACGATACTTTCACATAACTGATGATTAGGATATTCTTCTATTACAAAACAAAGTCTTCATTCATCATGTGGATCAGAAAATTAATATACAACATTTGAATGATAATCCTTCACATGATGGATGGTTAGAGGAGTTGGGATCTCAGAAAAATCCTCGATATTTGAGCAAGTCAAGTAACAACGTGTATGATCTTAAGATTACAAAAATAAACAGCCAAGACTCTGAAAAACCTGTCACGTAAAAGTAAGTCTAGATGGGCTGAAATGAATTGCAACGAATTTCACGGTCTTCTTTAAAGGTTAGAACTACTATTTATTAACAAAATATAGAAAAAAACTGGATAATTGGAGATCTTAACTAGCCCATTCTGGGTACAGTGATATCCTTTGTTGAACTCATTTTGAAATTAAACTAAACGTATAACAGCTCTCCTACAATTAAGTTTACTGATGGTTAACTCTGTCTTCAATTAACCTATTTAACGGATAGTGTTTATTTAGACAGTAACCATTTGTCTATCTTATTATTATTATTGTCTGTATGAACGTGAATATCCGTCTCTCTCTAGCTTAAATGTTAGTTGCCCAAAGACCACTTGATGAAACATTCGCTTTTCTGCTTAAATTCGTTTGGTATGCTTGTAGCTTTTTGATCTGCGCTGTCCAACGATAAACTGTAGTCGGCACTTTGTGTTTCTTTCTGTATTCATACACGATTGGAATTTATTTAATAACGGTTATCAGGGTGATTGATAAACGAAGTCTAAGGAATTATCTCGAAGCTAACCCGCCACAGATTTTCTATTCAGTCTATATACTGAATCCAGATACTCGGTAAATAACATTTAGAATAAACGTTTCATCATTAAACATTTACGAGTTAATATATAATATACAATAATTAATTTGTAATGATGAACATGAATATACACTTACATTTTTGCTTTTCTGTCCATAGATTGATATAAGTCCGTTGAATGTACAAGCGGAAGAATTACTTCTACTTAAATTAATTCAATTTTATCAACATGCTTTTGAGGAGGATACCGATACTGATGAACGGAATAATTCTTATAATCACCATCTTCATTCACATCATTACTCACATAATTATAATGATAACGATCCTGCTGTCTTGAATCCTTCATCTGATTCATTACCTCACAATTCAGATAAGTATGTTAATAAGTTGCTTTGATAACTCGTTATTATCACTATTGTTATTATTTCTAATTATTCATGCATTATTTCCCCGATCAAATCTGCTGTTATTTACTCAGAGATATTTGTGTGACAGTAAGTTAATGCTTACGATATTCTACTTTCAATCATTGCATTATAAGTTTAAGTTCCACCTTACCTATATCATTTTAAGAAACCGAATAGAATATCTCTAGTTCAAGCCTTGAGTACCCAAATTTTGTACTTGATGACTGAGTTCGATTGTCATCATGTTACTTTAAGACATATTCCATTAAATAAGCATTGATCACCTGTTTCATCCTAATTTGGAACTTTTCCAGCTATCCACGTCGACGAATCAGCATACACAAACATGAGGTCAGTTACATGGCTTACAGTAGTGTCATACAGTAAGCAGGGTACCTGTAAACTGTTAGCTCGAAATCCCTTGATTCATATTGCAAACTCCAATCAGTTCATGATATGATAATAATGATTATTCAATGTCATCAGGCTTCTCAGTGTTAGAATATCACTGGTTTATTCAACTGATACGACATATATCTTCACCTTATTCTCTGTATTTCGAGAAAAGCTTATTCTATTAAAACCCATTAGACCCATTTTTCTCTTCCTTTCTTCCTATAGTTTAACCTCCTCACTGTTTTTTTGAATTTTTTCTTTTTCTTTTTTTATAAAAAAAACTATTTCTAGAAGGAAGTATTCAATGTTGCATAACAATAAATCAGAAAATAAAATATTCTGGTGTGATCGATTTATAATTAGTCCTATACATATGAAATTAAGTGTACAAACAGCGAAAAGTTCATTGACTGAATCATATTTAGCCGGTGCTAAACGTTTACTACCATCATTAATGAGTTTTACAGGTGCAGAAATACAATTAGGTAAGTTTTGATTTATTATTCCTTAATTTTAATGTTAATAATAATAATAATTGAATAACTAACACACTACAACATTCCAATCAAAATGGTTGCAGAAACAAATGAATTCCAATGGTCAAATAAGATAATAGAATAGACAGACGTCATCCTCCATTGCAAAATATTTGATATGGTTGATATCAAATCATCATTTGTCAGTCAGTCAGCTACAACGTAGGACCAGGCACATATGTGCATCAGTCCATGTTGTCATACCGCATCAGCACAACAAGATGAACACGGGATTCATAACAGTGGTTAGGTAAAAGGTGGTAATATATAAGAGAAAGATTGCATATAGAGATATAGTACAAGAAGAAAGAATTGGTTCGTAGAAAGAAAGATATGAAGCGATTTTAATCTCTTAGTTTAAGGGAAGACAGGGAGTGTATACACCGACGCCATTGTGATCGATTCTGAGCCATGTCAACAAGAGTCTCAAACCATTGGTTACGATAGTCACGCGGACCCCAACCAAGTAGTCTGCATCTACCAACATGGCTCAGACTAGAAGTTAGTGACTTCAAACACGTGGCATCAGTGCTTGAAGTCACTAACTCTTTCAAGGACATATACTAAGGTTTATTGAAGCCTTGGGTATACGGAAACTGAGACTTCCTTTATACGTTCAATAATAATTTGTCATTACCCTTAACCTACCCTGGTAATACTGATTTATTATCCAGAGTGGTAATCACATTGTTTCTGTGTACTTTATTATTTCTTATCTTTAACCTGTCTAGTTGATCTTTTAATTTTCATATAAAAATGTCTTAGCAAGTATATTTGGTGTGATCAGATTGTTCGAAATGTATTGCGCAAATACGGCATCACATAATTCGGGTAAACTTCGTCTTCTTATTGCGTTATCGCAACATATAGGAATGAAGGAGAGAAAACTTGTAATGAAGTTGTATTTAATGAAGAGAATACAAGAGAATTCGACACTGAATTAAATCATTTAATGAAAATCTATTGGAAATTAGTTAAATGAAAATCATCTAAATTAATTCCCTTCTCATATGTTCCATTGAAAGAGTTCATATCCTCAACAGAATTTTTATGTATGTATATTATTATCGTTATGTTATTGAGTTAGTATTCATGATAGATATTAACTTTAATTGGATGTGTTTATTGGGTATGAATATACTCTATTATAGAATCTTAAAGAATCCAATGCAAAGATTGAGTTACATATGTGTAAACATTAAATCAAAAGATGTAGTTTTTTTTTAGAAGATACTTGTAATTTACTAGTATTTGACCACATATGCCTTAGAAATATTGTTCGTATTTGCTGGGATCATCGGGTAAGTAAGTTAAACTCAGGGTATTAAGGAATGATGGTAAATCAGTTGATGAGGTTGTGAATCTTCATCGATTGAGATGGTTGGGCCACGTGTTACGTATGCCTGAACACCGATTACCACGACGTGCAATGCTAACCGGTGTTGGAGATGGTTGGAAGAAAGTTAGGGGCGGCCACACCAAAACGTGGCATCAGTCCTTGAAGTCGCTAACTTCTAGTCTGAGCCATGTTGGTAGATGCAGACTAATTGGTTGGGGTCTGCGTGACTATCGTAACCAATGGTTGGCGACTCTTGGTGACATGGCTCAGAATCGATCACAATGGCGTAGGTGTATACACTCTTTGCCTTCCCTTAAACTAAGAGATTAAAATCACTTCATATCTTTCTTTCTACGGACTAATCCTTACATAAAATCTTTCCTTTATATATTACACCATTGAGTTAACTGCTTCTATGAATCCGATGTTCGTTTTGCTGTGCTAGTGAAATGTGGCAACTTGGACTGATGCATATATGTTTCTGGTCCTACGTTGTAACTGACTGACTGACTAGAAGATGGAACTTTTAGATTGAACATCGTTAGCTTTTAGGTTTACAAACCTTTAGTCATGAGATATCCACATGTTGATAACTCATCAAAATAATAATCAGTAGAAGTTTTCTCTTAAAACAATTGAACAAGAATTAAATTATGATACATACTAGAAATTATAGGATAACACCTGGTTTTGTCAAATACTTAGCAATGATTGGTAATAGCTTAAACTATTGAATATTTGTAAGTAGTATAGTTTCATGTGGTAAAGGTATAGGAAAAAAGATGAATAACCAACCACGAACACATTTGACAACCGTATATTTTGAAAGATGAAAAAATGGCATTCTTGGGTTCAATCCATAGGTAGAACTGTAGTTTACCGAATGTCATGAAAAACTACAACACAACGAATTCTTTGGTTTCGACCAATACTGAAAACTAAACTACGTGATATTGGAGACTAGTTAGAAACTTTTCAGTATATTGCACAAGATATCAGCAGATAATTTAGTTTACCGGGTTTTATAAATTATATCAAGTCCACAAGATGTAAAGGGTTTCATAGTTTACATCATGAACTAACCTTAGTTATTCGAACATTATAAACCAAGAAGCACTAGATAGTATGTGACTCCTCGGCTGCATATACGGTTCTACTGACGGCGAAACTCAGGACCTTCAAATCTCTTAATGAACACTTAGCTTTTAGACTTGTGAGTTGTGAAGGAACAATGATCTGCACGCATAATTTTAGTAAATCCTGGATATTACACGACAATCAATGTTGTTGTCAGGTAAAACTGCCTTACATCCAAAGTGGTTTAACTGAACTTTACATGGTTTCTATTGAAGACATTCATTTTTAGTAAGTTAAAACTAGATCCTATTGCCCAGTTTGAATTCAACCATACAATATCATGTGATTCATTTCTTGTGATGATGAAGATTATTTTTATGAATTTATCATTTGTAAGGATCGTGCATCAAACCAAAATATTCAGTGATGTCGATTGAATGACTGACTTTTTCGTTCACCGACATGACCAAATATCTTTATTCTATACCCCGTGGGAACTTTTTCTATTTCAGATCCAGTAGAAAAACTGTACATGTTGGAAACTATTCCACAGTTAATAAATTATCTTAATACATATTATCGATTACAACTTCGAGCGCATGCATTGAATATATTTGGATCAGTTGATTTTCTTGGCAATCCAATTGGTTTAATTAATGATTTAAGTTCAGGAATATCAGGATTGGTGGAACTAGATGTCGGTGGTTTAATTCGACATGTTGCACATGGTGTCGGAGATAGTGCAGCAAAAGTGAGTAGTGACTTAAGTTTTGTTTATTTTTTTCCTATTACCAGTCATGATTGATAGGATAGGTTTAATTTAATAAACCATTTCTCAATTATTTACGATTAAAGTTGGTAATACGAATTCACTGAATTCCGTTCAGTACTTGTCTCGTCAGTATTTGAAGGATCTTGTTTTTTTTCATAACATATCAGATCATCATTATATTACCGTATGGTTTTCAGTATATTTATATTCTGTGTTCTTGATGAGAATAGATGGAAACCATATACAGATCTCTCCACAGATCACTGAAGTTAGCAATAAATTGATCTCAACTATGACTGCTACGTCGATGTGGTAGTTGGAATGGCCTATTGTTATGACTCTATTGAGCTTTATTGGCTATAACACTTGTTCGTTTAAGTCTCATCACAGTTTCGCCAGACATCGGTGAAACTAAAGGCGTATAATTAGGTCCAAAGGATGCTATCGCGCTGCCAACTGTACTGGAATATGATGAAAGTAAAGTATTTCCTTCAGACAACGAATATCTGCGATGATACAGCTTTCTCATGACAGATGAAAGGAGTTGGAAAAGGTTGGTCCTAAAAATAACAAACAACACTATTTTACATAGATTTTTGTCATCCGTAATGAAGCCTTTAAAGTATGGGGCTAACACATCAACAACTACTCCCAGAAAAGCCATATCTGACCTTCTCAAGCAGTTATTTCTTATCCACCACTGTCATGCTCTTAGGTTGTAGAAATCACCTCTAACCCACTTTATTTTTCAGGTTCCTCTTTCTACTATATGGACAAAACGGAAATGACAACCAACCCTCATACTTTTAACAACACTGTTGTGGTTGACTGACCTGATCTTTACTAACAATCGGTTTAGAAGTTAATTTGAAATGCTTATAGCAAGTTATCATGGTCGGTAGATTTAAACATATCTGTAGTGCTATGGTTATTGTCAGTATGACCTTGTCTGTTCCTCTTTATTGTGAATTGACTGACGTTGTAGATGTAGACCATGGAGGGTTAATGGTTATTCAGCTTTTACAAATATCAATCGTTCACCAACTGATACTGATCCACGATTCAATCAAAAATTCATTTTTTAAACAAACTGTAACACATAACCTGTGTTATATATGGTTATGTCATTTGTAGAAATGATATACTTAACTTCTATACAGAAATATTGGTGAAAGATTTGTAACTCAAGTGAGATACCTTTGATGATGATTTATCCTAAGAACTATTTTCACAGTTGAACCATCCAATTAAGGAAATTCGAAATTCTCCCCATACTTACATTTTATGAAACGTTGTTTCCAGTTTGTATGCAGAATAATTTTCAAATTGTTTATTTTAGTATTGTTGTTTTGTGTTCGTTTTTTCAGGTTGCTGGAAGTGTTTCTCAATTACTAACTGCTATATCATTAGACGATAAACATGAACAAGAACGTGCAGCTATATTGGGCAGTCGTATTGATTCGTCTTCATTATTACAAACATCACAATCTATTTATAATTCGAATTATTATGATGACAGTGAAGTGTCTTCTAGTGGAATCGATGAATCATTAGATGATTTTGAATTGACTTGTCATGACATATACACTGATATGAAATCAACTTCGTCGACATATAGTTCTTCATCATCATTATCCTCACCGCCATCAACATCATCATCAACCATAACATCACTTCCACAATATCCGAAGCAAACTCACCATTCATTTGATACAAATCGTTCTGTTACAGCACCTTTTAGCGCTGGAGTTCGTGGCCTGATGCATGGTATCGTTGGTGGAATGACATCCATTGTTACACAGCCTTATCGTGGTGCAAAAGAAGATCAGTTAAGAGTGAGTTTTTTGTTTTTTAAGACTATTTTTGTTATTGCTAACAAATATTTGGTTATCACAGAGATCATGAACCAATCAATGTTAGACCACTATTGGAAACCTGGAGTCACTGAACCCCCATTTCGTCATAGTATGGGGCTCATCAGCAATGCTCATTAATGACCTCGCACGTAGGAGTCGGACCCAGGAACTTAAATGCATGTTTTTAGTCAAACTCAACAATCTCTACAACCTTGTACTGATGAGTATTTAATTACAATGTTGGTTAATTGATGTTCTGAACTTAATAAGTGTCTACTTTTTAGTTGAATAAATGTAACAAGGTTGATGGTTGCAGTCTTAAGATAAAATTATATATTACTATAGTCTAGATGCTTGGTATCTACTTTTGTAAAAAAGTATTGTATTGCGTAAACGGGAAAAAGTACGAATCCTTTGGAAAAGTGTATAAAACGCTCTGCCGTATCCCAGTATTTCGAGAGAAAAAAAAAACTTTCGTACTCCATACTTCTGCGCAATGATTAACAATAATACGTGAGAGAATGTCTCTTTTATAGAATCCTTAAATTTTTCATTCGTTCATCATCTTTAAGTAATCTTGTACATGAACTGATTTGTTATTATTTCACTACTAATAGAGTTTAGTATAGTAAACCTTAATTAACTACCTAAGCTTGCCTTGGTAGCATAATAATGTTCAAACCATCAAAGCTTTCATTCAATAGGCCGTAAACTTCAATTTTACTTCTATATGTTCAGCTGAGTGGTACCACTAATACACGACGACATTGTAACTCTAACGTGCCTACATAAACCTGTACTTGGTACGTGAATGTAAATCATAATAATATATCCAAGTATGCAAATTGTAATAATATGGTTTTTGGTGAAACTTGAAAATAACTTCTAGAAAATTAATAAGGACAGTTCTTTGAAGACAGATCATTGAAGAAATCAATTATTTTCTAAGTAGCTGAAGCATTCCAACATGTTTAGTGAAGAATACAAATATCATACAAAGCCAAGACTATTATCAACCTCATGTGCTAATGAAAACAATCAAACTGTTTTGGCAAAATGCGACATTATACGAGGAAGCTGTTAGATCTAACTTTTATTAAATCTCATAAATGTTCTGAACAAAGTTGACAGAGATAGGATAGGTTTGTGGACACTATTGTGATGTATTTTCAATGGAATAATCTTAAAGGAGAACCTCAGATTTTCTTAAATGAAGTTTGTATAGCTTTCATTTACGCATTTCTTGGACAGGTTTCATACATTTGACCGGTAGGATTCTATTAACACTAAGGACAAGAGTAATGGGGAAATGACCACTTCTCGGTAATTAATCAATTTAATCATCTCAACCTTACAAGAAATCAGTCGTTCATCCAATAGCTCAGTTTTAACTTCTCAGACTGTGAACCTAATTAATCTGGTTTACAATCTACTAGGAAGTATCACTCTTCTCCAGTATGTAAATACACGTTATTGACGAATAGCAAATAGTATGAAGCCTATGTCCATAGTTTACTATTGATCATTTCTATCCATCTCACATCAAAACATAATGCATTCGGTATCGAGTCACTTAGACTACTTTCCACATTACATCTTTATCAATAAAATTCGATCAGCCGTACTACGAACATGACTTTAGTTATTACTCAATGATCGACCAGTATAAACACCAAAATTCATCACGAATACAAATTAATCAGTTAATATTCTTACCCCCTTTTTTTACGTCTTTCCTTTTTTTTTTTATAAAAAAAACAATATTTTCTTTCATACACTTTTTAGGGTTTTGTCTATGGTGTTGGTCGTGGATTATTAGGTACAGTAACAAAACCAGTTGGTGGTGTATTCGATTTTCTATCTGGTATGATGAGTTCAATTAGTGAAGTTGCACGTCCATCAAATTTATATCGTCCAAAACGATGTAGACCACGTCGTGCTGGTCTATCAAAATATTTTTCACGACCATTAATTATTTATAATTTAAATGAAGCAATAGCTCAATTACAAATTCATCATCTTACATTATTCAATGTTACACGTCGTTATTCATTAAAAAATTATTATTCATCTGCATTGAATACTTTTAATTCTATAGTTAATTCATTGAATACATTTGAAATTGGTGAAGTTCCAATAGACAATACTAATATTACTACTAATAATAATACTACTAATAATGTGGATGAATTCGATGGTACAAATAAACTGTCTCCTATTAACACTTGTAAATTAACTAATCTTGATTTAACTTATTCATTTAGTCATATGTTATATATTTATGCATTATTACCATGTAATAATAGTCCAGAAGCTTTAGCATCACATCATCTTCGTTATTTACTTTATTCACCTGAATCAATATTACATATTTTACCTATACAATTAAATGGTGTAGTTGTATTAATTACAGATCAAGCTTTATGGTGTATACGTGATAATTCATTACAGAATTGGATTCTTTCAAGAAATCCCGTTAGTATTAATAATAATAATAATAACAATAGTAATATCAATGTAAGTTATCAATTTAATTCATTCTATTTTTCTTCGTAAAATTCATTTTTCATTTTACTCTAACTATGTTCAATTGGTATTTTGGCGGTGAATCAAAGTAGATTTTCTTTGAATGTCCAATTAGTCGACAGTCGTCGTGAAGATAATGTCTCTGTGATTCATAAAGAAAATTGTTGCTTCTCTAAAAGAATGTGAACCTATATCACTCAATGTCATTGTCAGCTATATATTACTAGTAGATTTTCTTTTCTTAACGTTTGTTCTAGTTATCATTTTTTTTGCGTGGGTTATTTGAACAGTTACCAATTGTAGGAGGAAATAGTTCTTTTATACTGTTTTTAATTTTCGACTATGATGTCAGGTTGTAGTGAGAACTTTCTTTAAGTTTTGGGTGGTTTAAGGTGGGCGGCTTCTAATCTTGGACCTAAGTTTCCTATTATTCGAGACTCATCAACATGACAGAGTGTTCAACCTTTAGAGAACTGTGGTATTCAGACCGAAGTCATTCAATTTCATAGATTGAGACGTTGCTACCGAGTTATTGGAGCCACAACTGACCGCCATGTATGACTTATATGTACATTAATTGGTCACTAAGTCACTTATACTTGACCACTAGCGATGCTAAATACTAAATAGCTAGATAAATATGATAGAGACAGCTGATAGAAAGCTTTAATCGATTTAAATGTCCAACTATTCCACACTCTTCGTGAATATATTGTCTCTATGATTCATAAGAACGCTTTTGCTTCTCTAGAAGAATGCGAACCTATATCACTCAATGTTATAGTCAGAGACATATTACCACTATACTACTCAACTTTATTCTAAAATATTTTGCTGGTAGACATTTATGTAACTTCTTATAATTATTTCGTGGAATTATTATTCACCTTTTTTAATTTGTAATTTTTTCGCTAGATATCGGATTCGAACTCATCTGTTACATCACATCAAACCGCACCGGTATTTTCCCTGACTGAAAATACGACATTAATGTTCATGTTGCATTATCATCGTCTAGATCAAATTTATGTAATGCTTTCTCAGAATACTAACACACTTAGTTCTGTGTTGACTGCTGATGTCAATACTACTACTAGTAGTACATCGACTACTTCTACAACTACTAATTCTCCTGTTTATGTTGTTTTCTCAGCTGATTGTGGTACAAGTAAACAACAATTACGTTGTGACTACTTAACTTGGGGTTTAGATTTAACATTACATGTAAGAAATGCACAATTTCGTTTTGCTCAGGCTAATATGCGTGTAAATCGTTTGAACACTAACAATATCTCATCGTCAACTCTTTCATATAAGAATAATAAACAACAATTGACTACTGTCTATTATAATGTGCCTCGTTTTCAAAATCATCCTGTTGCATTGGCTTACAGTCCAATTTGTCACAGATAACTTGTAACTATATATATATATATGCCTTCATATGGATATATATATATATATATATATATATATATATATATATATATATATATACAGTGATAAGTTACCTTTAAAGAATTCCTATACAACATTTGTACATGTTTCTTTTCTGTATAAAAAAAATCTGTATATCAATGTATAATAGAATTGTGATGTTGATTTTACTAATGACAACTATCTTGATTTGAATTAAGACAATTCATTCATTCATTCAGTTCTTTGTCTTTGTAAACATGTGCATATCGATCTTATTTGTATTCACTTTGGTACTTTTTCAAGATCAACTATATGTAGAATAAACTATTTTTTATGGTAGAATAATAATTAAAGATTTCTAAGACTGTATGATAAATTCATGTTCTTATTATTATGATTATCTTAAGTTATTCATTTATCTTTTCTTAGTTAAAGTTGTTTTTTTAAGAATAATTTTCAACAAAATAAATCTTGTACATGTCGGTAGTTTTCTGCATGATATGCGGGAGATTTGTCAATGTTGTTGTTCATATCAGAATAGGTTTTGTCAAGATTGTAGTAATTTCAATAGTTGAGATCATGAGTCTACCTTAAATTGACTGATGATCTCAATCATCGAAATTACTATAATATCCACAAAAATCCCTTCTGATATTAAGGGCCCTCAAATGCCCTGGTACGGCCAAGAGTGGGCAGAGTCAGCTTCCCCTCTCGAAATGCTCTCACATGGACACGCGTATATAGCCTCTGCCAAGAAAGTCCTACTCACTGTTTACGAAATTGAGAGGGTGAAAAGCGAATATCTGGCGCTCTAACCGGTTTGGTGGACATGAAGAGTCCACTTAGGGGAGTTGGAAAACCCTCATTCCAAGGGCTCCAGTATCCTGAAGGAACAAATGGCGTATGAACCAATCGTTTGTCACTGGCTACCGTGGGACTGCATCTCCTTACGTTGCTCCACTGCCTTATGGGTCAGACCTTTAGGTCGAGGTCTACGGATGTGGCCCTTTAAGAAAACCACATGTTTCGGTTTGTGCACCCGGTCAGTATCACAGCCCTCACACATATCAAATGAGATTTGTGTGGCGCATATGTATTTGGTGCCTCCTTATACCAATATATATGTGTTAAAATAAATAAAGCAACATATGCTCACTAGTGACTGGCTTCAAGAGGTATTTCCTGGAGTTCTAATGAGAAGCAGTGACCATTGGAGTTCAACTGGGTCAGTTGTGAGATAATAACTCACTGATGACAATGGTGGATGTGTCGCTCAATTTCGTGGATTAATTAAAGTTAGACATTAACACCGTCGAAATTATGAGTAACCAATATGAACAGGGGAATATCTCAATTCTCATTGATAATGATCAATCCAATATGAATTACATTTGATAGACAGGTTGTAAAATAGAATGAATTATATTTGTACAGACAATCATATTGATTTATACGAATATTCGAACGAATAATTTGACAAAAACTGAACGCCAAGTATATAGGGAAGACATTATTTATGAAAATTATATTTGGAACAATCTTAGCGATTGAAATTTCAACAATTCCAACGTTTTGTCCAGCGAATTTGTCTGAACTTCTTCAGGGTAATAATCAAAGAAATATATAGATAGTGTTTAACAATCAAATAAAATCTTTACTGTGCTTATCCAATCATATTTAAATGCTGACGTTAGTAAGTAGGACAACATGGGTCATTTATATGTGAATCATGTGAAACGTTCACAATGTGTAAATGAATGTATAAATGATTGTGTGGTATGTATGTGTAAGAGATTGAGTTAATAATAGTTGATATTAGGTGTTAAATTTGTTATTATATGAAGGAAAAGATAGAGGTTCAAGTTAAAATTGCTTCTGAATAGTCGATATACATGTAAAATGAAGACCATCAAATACATAATTGTAGTGCTAAAATATCCCAGATTAATTTTTATCAAAATAATGATGCATGTGAAATAAACAGGCTGGATAGAGAAAGGATCCAACTACTTGTTAACGAACATTTGCCAAGTGATTTCTAGTTGAATACCATCCCTTCTGTTTAGGCTGTTCTTATTAGCCCATATATACGGTGCTTCTGTCAATCTCTTTATGTTATGATGAAATAGATCTCTTAAATTAACCTGATGCGAAATGGATCTACATTATGAATCCATGTCCCTATATAAAGGCCACAATTAAGACGAAAGTTATCTTGATAAGTGCCTAAGTGAAACAGATCAGTGGTCATAGTGTTGTATAAAAAATAACTAGGATGTCGACAAACAAAAGTTTTATCATTAATTTAAGCCTACTCTGATAATATTGATACGTATTTCATGTGGGGCCATGTATTCAGTTCGTTCGATGTATGTTTTATCCAAAAGAAATTCAAGAACATTACCTGTCTTGGTCGAAAAGATGTGGGAATCGATCGCTAAGAAGTTCTATAATCGGACACCTTATGAACACAGATCGTTTGATCAAAACGAACTCTGCATTCAAAATTAATTATAAGGTGAGTAGACAGCCCTCAACGACGGACAACTTTCATCTTCTTAGCATCACTGAAGAATTTTACATGTATTTGGAAAAACCAGAATTATGTGCGCAAAAGAAACTTGTGTAACCTTTACTTGTAGCATGGTCTTAATCTGTCGTAATTTTTTTCGTTTCTTCTTTTCCAGATATCCGTCTCCCTTCTATTTTCTCTTTAAACCTTCTACCCTCAAACTAATTTGTTTGTGTTTCAATGACTCTCCTGATTACAGTTCACTGAGATTTCATCTTATCACGCTAAACATGCTTTTCCCACATATAATTCTCGATATTATCTGCATAATGAATATTCAAGCTCTCAATAACGTTGATAATAGTAGTTTCCCTAATATACATAACCCTTTTATGCTTTTGTTTGTTTATTTTACCTCTCTATCACTATGTTTAGTAGGATTTTGTTATCACTATCATTATAATTGTTGTCATTTGGAACAATCAGTATATACTTGCCATTGTACAGTTTTGAAAATGAATTCGTTAAATAGAAAACTCTTCATTGAACCAATTTTCCTTAGTTTATGTCTCAATAATTATAAAAGATTGGGCGGTGTATTTTATTTTTGTTCTTTTATCTTCATTTTTATTTCTCCTATCTTATCAAGTTATTGCATAATCAGATTCTTGGAAATATTTGTTTAGAATATGTACGCTTATTTATTGATTTTTCAGGTTTCTACTAGATTGATTTATGATAACCTTGGCGCGGTAGCATCATATTCATAATTAAGGTGAATTCGACATACGAACATGATTGGTCAACTATTTATGGGGATCAATATTGTGACCTTGTTTCTCTTTTATACTTTTGATTATTTCCTTGATGAAACTTTAATTAAGACTGTATAACCTCAAAGTTATCCAACTGAAACTTGATAAAATTTAAAGCAAATATTCTCTTTATCTTTATATTGTTTACTGGAAACTTACTATTGGGGTATAAGACTGCAATTGACCAGTCTCTTATTGGCGTGTACGTATCCTGTACGGAATGTCTCGATATTACCTTAAGTCACAAGCATTCTAAGCAAGGATGGATGGTGGCTAGTAGTGGAATGCAGGATGCGCGGTTCGTCCTATTCGGGACTCGTCAGCTGGATGTACCTGCATCTCACAGTTGATATTCACGATATATATATAAATCTATTGCAGCTGAAAAAGATATAGGACAGTTACATGGATAAACTGTTGGGTTGTTTATGTTATCCATTTCAAAAATGTTAATTATTGTATGAGCTATTCTTATTTAATTTATTAAGCCTTACTTAGGGGCAAAAATAAATGTTAGTTTTTTACAAGCTTTGCATAAAATGAAATAACGTCCCGAAAAACAGCTTTCGTAGTTTGTCATGGCTTCTTGTTTCCCTGTTCACATCAGTAATGAGATTGAACAGATAAAAAAAATCATTTTCATTGTTCTGTTAAATTATGTTAATCAATATTCCCAGTTCAATATGATACTAGACAAAATGTTTAATAAGGTTCATTTGCTCTTTCTGCCCACATTATTATAAGAAATTTTATATACTGGGAAGAAAAAGCCTATTTACACGTCCGCGTCGTACTTCCTAGATAATGGGACAGATGACGCATAAACTAACATGAGTCGTAATCCAGATAATAGAGATCAGACTAATCACCTACTTGACTGATACCCTCAAACCGATTACGAAATCCACAAATTATCATAGCACAATTACTTTGGGATAGAAAAACAACAACAAAAATTGACAAAACTGGTGCATGTAATATACGAGGTTGCTCCTTATGGGGGAAACTTTTAACGGTTGCAAAAACAGCTATTCTAGCCCTGGCAATTATACCGTGCTTCAATGTGGCCTGTTTCTCGTCAGAAGGGCCTATTAGGCTTCACCAACTTGTTTGGTTGTAAGGGGCAAACATATATATATATATACTACTGACAACAGATAATAATCATTACCATTTATAACATTCTTTTCTTTTACTGATATCTGATTAAAAAATACAACAGAGAAATATAATTTTTTAAAAAAAACACATTAAAATAACTCTGTAAATTGATGTCAGGAAAGGTAATAAATTCATTTTAATAAAATTAAAAATGAATAAAAGATTTGTATGTTATAAATAGTAATGGAAATATTACACGACGGACAGACGGGCCGACAGACAGATAGATAGACAGACAGAGAGAATGGAATCTTGAAGGTTAATGTGATTTTGGGAACGAAAATTGAGAGAAGGAGGAATTATATCACTACATTCAACATATTAAGCAACAGATACATATTACATAATGAAATATAGAAATGAAGAAAATCTGTTACATACAAAGAAGTTAATAAATAATATCTATATTGAATTAAGTATATCAGTAGTCAATTACTATTTATGTATATACATATATGACATTATGACTATTATGCTCAATAAAAACTCCGTATGTAACTCTTCTA